AAAAAGAAAATGCTGACTCAAACGGTGATCGGTTACAATTTTTAACTAAAGGTTGTACTTCACACTGCTACAAGTGCATGTATGTTCTGGATTCGGTTGTTCAGTATAGTATAAGAGTCCTGCTGTCACTGCTGAGTTAAGCAAGAGGAATAGACTTCATCGTGTCAGCTTCTCTGGGGATTATCTGTGCTATTGTCTGCTTCCCTCTATCCACATAAAGAAACATATCCAAACACACATGTGAACATATACCGGACCTTTGTGTACACAAATATAGCAAGAATGTGAACTCTGTAAATTCCCATGGGAGCAAGCCAATATCAAAGTCCCACAATATCAATATCAGAGTCTTAATCAGGTTATTTCTATGACACAGATAGCAAATACATTGACACTCAAACAGGCATTAACAGCTGCATGCATCTGCAACGCAGTTTTAACAGCAGCTGAATATTCTGTAAATCAAAACTTATCATAAGATAAGAATTCTCCATCCAAGCATATTACATCTTGTGACATTGCACATGCCATCTAGTTTTATCTCACCACATCAAATATTTTTTAACCATGTGAACTTGAATTCCAACACCTCACAGAGAGGACATTCATGGTCATGAACAACAAGGATGACACTGTGAAACTCATTCTTTCCAGTCTTTGCTGAATCAAGCTCTAGGTCACCTCTAAAAATGCTGCAAACCAAGTTTACAGTAGTGTGAGTAAGCATTTTGTACCTACCTTGCAGTCTCTGCATCACACTGGCAATGTCTCGCTCAGAGTGTCTGTAGTGCCTGGGTGATGCCATGCTGCTGTCCTGAGGTCACCAAAGTCACGTCCCAGCTCCTGTGCGTCAGCCTTGCAGCACTCTCGTGCTCTGAACCGGCGTCAGATTACAATGCAGTAATGTGCTATCTTCATATTGACTACAGGACATCAGAACTGAATCACGTCCAGGTTACTGTCTCTTTTCAAGTCATCCTTGGTACAGTAGGAGTCTGCAATCTTCACACTCAGCAAAGCTCCTCCCATGATAATGATGATGTAAGTGCATACTGTATGTGTATGCCAGCATGCATGTGTGCCTGCTGAACATCTTAGCGCCCCCTCCCATGCCTGAGTTAGTTACTTCTGCAGACAGACGATGTTCATGGTCTGTATGCACTGCCACCTGCAGTCCATCCAAAGGAATCGCTTCTCAGGTCCAGGGCTTGTAACATGCCTAAAAAGTCTATTGCAAAATAAATCCAAGCGACTCTGGGATCACACATGTGACAGAAGATTACTAACGCATCACATATTTCTTTTGTCAAGAAATTAACAGTCTTAAATATAACGTACACCTTTAATAAAACGTATTTGTTCACTCTGATATTAGATTTAAGATTCATGCTGGCAGACTCATTCAGAAAGGACTGGAACACAATTTTTTATCAAACTGTATGACTCACTTTATTTATTTGGAGTGAATCCGGCTAAAATATTGCAACATAATTCAGCAACAAATAGCATTGATGATAAGTAAATTGACTCAACATGGCAGCCAAAGCATTGCAAAGATTAAACTAAATAATAGATAAGTCTAAATAATAGATAAGAAAGTCTGTGTCAAATAAATGTATGTTAAAGTAAAGTTTTAGAGCTTTTTTTGTTTGGTGCTACAGGTTACTTCATGTTACTGTTATCAAGCAGCTCCATAAATTAACTCATTACATCACCACTACAGTTTCCTCTGTTACTGCTCAGGCTAAATGAGAATGACTCTCACAAATGAAATCATGTGCAGTAACCTGGAACAGGGATTTCTCTGTTTAAAGGAAATTATTGATGGAAATAATGTAGCTGAAATATAAAGCATTGAAAGTAAATAATCATTAGCCAAAACATATTTCAACCAATAAGCAAATCTCAAAAGCACAACATCTAAGATGTCCTGCTCCACAACAGATCAATGCCACTCCTTAAAATGCAGAAGGGAGGTGTGATGAGCCACTGGGCTCTGAGCACTTATCGCAGTGTGTAATCCCATTAGACAAGACCTTTTATCATCATCTCCAGAGATTTAGAAGAGCCGAAAGAGCACCAGTGCTACAACACAAAAAGAAATTTGATAAAAAGACAAAAAGAAGTGTGAGTAATAAAAACAAAAAACTTAAAAAGAATCATGACCTATTGCAGATTCTTCTGTTTTTGGCAAAATGACTGGCAGCAGGTGATTAGGTACCTTTAAAGGATGGGAATCCGTAAGACAAAGCAATATTTTCACATCACCTGGAGAGGTGTCTAAAGATTAGCTGTACATCCTTTTCTGTGAGTATAGGAAAATGACTTTGGTTTCAAGTGAAGATGAAAATATCATATTAATGACTTCAAGTTTTAGAAAAAGTGAACCATCAAAATCAGTACTTTATTTATATTGAGACTTAAAACTAAAAAACATGTGAAAAAACATTCAAATGTCATTGCAGAAGAGCAAATCCACTGCAAAGCGAGGGGAGAATCCTTTAAAGTGGGTACTTTAACCACCATTCAGCTTTAACTTTATCAGCACTTCATCCAAATAGATGTTCACGTGTGAGAATCCGCTGCTTGAATTACCACTGCATTGGAGGGTAGTAGGATTGGCTGAGCTCTCTGCAGAGGAGCTGACTGCTGATTCCTACATTTTTACGCAGCACGGCTCGGGGTGACCTCCACTGTTCAGAGTCTCTGAGGACCAAACCGATTCAGCAAAAGAGTGAGCAGACAAAGCTGCACCAGAGGAAAGCAGAGAGCAGAGTAAAAGCTCACGGGTCAAAAAGAAATCTTCCAGTGGTTGCAAAGACCTTCTCTTTCAGATATTTTTTCTTATCTAATCATTACACAGGCAGAGAGCTGGGACCAAGGCTGCCAGTGGAGTAATCTCTTTAATGCATAGTCGGCGCTTTTCTGAAATCTCATTACAAAGTTTGCTTGCAACCTGCATGTTAAGTTTGACGTAAGAGTATTGAAAAACTGTGTCTGAATAGGCTATTTAATCCGATGTTAAATGCCATTTTTAATTTTATGTGGAACAAATGTGTACACATATATTGCTGTTAGTAGCCCAATATTCAAGAAGGTCACAGGCTTTGCCTCAGGACACCTAACTGTATGATGTGCATCAGTGGTTCCCAGCCTTTGCACCGCGTTAAATTCTATTGAAACCCTGCAATTGGCTGTTTGCAGAGAGTGGCTGTATTATCAGGCATTCCATTTGAATGAGAAGTGCAGTGGCAGAAAATGGACTGGGTAGTCGTGTATACCAACAGTGTCTAATGTGTGTGTCTTCACACCAACACAAATGTGTTGAGATTTTGTTAGTTGTGTGCAAATGTAATCAGTACAGACAAAACCTTGACCGTGTTCTGTGATGTTGAAAAGCAGACCATTCATATTTATTTGCAGGGGCTCTGATATCAGAACTTTTGGATGATTGCTGGATGGTATAATAATCATGTTCAGCCCAGAATTCATATTGTGTCACATATTATCAGAAAGAATTTGAATAGTAGATAATAGGAAGTACATCTTATTTTCCACATCATCAAATGAAAGGTGAAGATGTAGAATATTAATGGAGTATGACTCCACCTACTGTTTAGAGAGGGAATAAAAGAAAAACGCTTGGGCTCCCACAGTTAGCATTTTATTCTTAACAGCACAATGTTTCTACATCGAACTAATAACGAACTTGTCATTTATACAAAACTAGCAATGTCTTTATTTTTGTCTTTATCAAAAATAAATATAATGGGATTCCTTAATGTCCCAATGATAGAAACTCTTGTTACAGAAACTACTCAAATCAATCTTTTTTTTAATTCCTTGCTGCTCTTAATGACTTTAAATACACTATAATATAGTGAATCCTGTATTAACTTATCCGACAACTCCACAAACACATTTGTGGTTTCCATTTTCTCAATACAAGAACACAATGGCCATGCATACCATTTCACATAAGGTTATGGGTGTTTGCCGGTTATTTTGGACAGCTTTTATAGCAAAGTTAACAATAAAAGGAAGTTCTAGCTTTGGCCCAGCTATTCTCTCCTTCATTGCAAGTACAGAGGGTGACATTTGTCAATTGCTTGGCAAAACACTCAATGATGTGTCCTTTTTTCTCTTTTGTTTTTTTGGCTGACTCATGTTGAGTCAATTTTATGTTTAAACAAAAGTTAAGATTAACAAATTAACTGAATAGTGTCTAACAGGCTGCTCAGTATTGAAATGATAGTAGCAGGATGTGTGTGATTGAATTTAAAAAGCTTGCAGATTTAAGACAAGATAGATTAAAGTTGGGCTGAGGTCTTAGAATCCCTTCATAAATGTTAACTTTTCAAGGTACTGACAAAAACAAAACACAAAAACAGTCAGTGTTCAAATGTTGGTGGATGTTTTTAGCTTATCAACCTACAAAGTCCAGCTAAGAAAAGAGCAGATATACTCAGGCTGCGCTGATCTGGCAGATGCTGTGGAAAGACTGAGCTCATGAAGAAAAATGCTGGAATTCAGAGAAATATCCACAAACTCATAGGCTGCTTCATTTGCAGCAGAGTGCTCTCTTTTCTGCGTCGCTACAACTGGATATTAAAGCACTCGCAAAGTTTCCACCACCAGTTCCAGCTGTGGATTTCCCTTCAACACTCACTGCAGGCCAAGAACTGTTACGACTCCTGCAGTGTCTTGAGAGGAAGGCAAAAATATGAGAAGACGTTGAAATATCTAATGCTTCTGTCAAGAAGTAAGATGTGAGTACAAATAAGCTTCCTATGTTGAAAGCAGGAGGATCAACTCTTATGCTGATGTTGGAGTAACATGTTTTACATTAATCAACCTGAAGGAAATGATGGGAGAGGAAGTGATTACAGAGACACCCCTGACTCTCCACCTCCAGGATCTCTGTCCTGGAAAGATAAGCCACTCCTGTTGCTAATTTCAAGCAGAAAAGCAGGAAATGTGACAGTGTAGTTTTCCGCTTCCATAAACAAGATGACTGCCAGACTTTGCCGCCAGTCCTGTGTGTCTATGGGCTGAGTTTTCCTCACAGAGCGACAGACACACTCAGAGAAAGTTAGCAGAGGGGCAGAGGGAAAGTAGACGAACAGGAAAGAGACTAAGCAGAAAGACAGGAAAACCCATCAGGAGAAAGGAAAGACAGGCAAGAACTGACAGAGGAGGAGAGGAAAGTTAAAGTCAGACTGAACAAAGGATCAGTCTTCTTTTGTCATGGCTGAGAACAACACAAATGTCTTTTTGGAAATTCTGCAGTCCTTCGATGCTGGTGAGTTTTACCCTGAAGTCCCTTTTTCCTGAACCTAATCTTTCTTATGTGGGCTCTCTGATTGGTGTTGTGGTTCTTTTAGGAATTTCATCTGTCATTAACCTCTAAAATGGTTACAATATGTGTGTTCATCTACTTGAAAACTGTAATCAATCAGGCGGTTTTGAATATTCAAAGGACTTTTTAAAGACATATGCATTTTAGTCTCACAGACAACCGACATGTTTACTTAGAGCTTTTTTTCTCCTCCCATTTCCCAAATGTCATTTCCAGATGATGTTTGTTATATGCTTTTTCCCTTTCCAAAAATTAGAGGAAAAATCTGGCATAGAAATCTGAGCTAGAAGTTTTTGCAGTCGTTATAACGCTTATTAGCGTGAAAGGAAACACATTTGTTTTCCCTGGAAGACGTCCAATAAGATTTATCTTATCTACCACATTCTCTCTCTTCTTTCAAGCGTCAAGTTCCTTTTCTCAACTTTAAATTGTAGAAGGAATGAGTAAGGAGTTAAAAGCTTTGTTGTGATAATCTCTACATGTGCTCTCCTAACCATGAAAAAGAAAAGTTTATTTATTTGGTATTGGCTTATAACTGCTCAGGAAACCTTGATCCTACTGTGTATTTCTTGAGAATGAAAGCTTTGGACTACAGGCAGACCAGTCCAGCACCCGTGCTCTTCCATTATGAAGTTGTGCTATTATAATAATGCAGTATATGGGTTAGCAATTTCTTGCTGATATATTGCAAGCCTTCTATGAAAAAAGACAATATCTGTATTTGTATATGTTAAGCATTGATGATACCTGTCCAGATTTGTTGTCCTGACAACTTTTTTTCTGATGCCTGACAACTTTTTTCCTGAGACCTGGTGAATCTTTGTCAAAATTCAAGATGAGCTTTTCACAAATTTTCAGAAATTTTAAAACGTCTCCCTGTCATCAGTTGTTGTTATTTTCTGCGCTCTATAACATTGAATTCAGTTTCCTTTACATGATATATTTTTGGAAAACAGGTTTATGTCTTAACATATTACTTAGTGTAGGTAAAAAATTTGAAAAGTAGTTTTAAAAATACATTTGGAGAATGTTTGCGGTGCACTGATCAAATAAACTGTATTGCAGATTATACATTTATTATTATGTTCCTCTCTTCCCAGTCCCTCTGATCATAGCTTTCTGTGTGTCCGTGGCTGTGGGTCTGCTCTTGGGTGCCCTGGTTTACGTCATCCTGACATGGATGTCCCGGCGCAAAGCAGGCTCTGCCAGCATCACCCGCCGCCCACCCCGTCAGTCTCACACCGCCTCCCGCACCCGGCCTGGCTTCAACCGCAACAGCAGCTACGATCGCCGGAGCAACAACAGTTTAATAAGTGCTGCTTTCAGCTTTCACCGCCAAACTTCAACCCCAGATCAATTTGACCCCCTGGGGCATAAATCCAGCTTCAGAGCCTCCACCTTCCACCCTCTCATCCAGTGCAGCCAGATTGCGAGGGAGGCAGAGGAGGGCAGTCAGACTACACTGCCTCGAACACCAACTCTGACCATGTCCGCTGGATCAGCTCATACCACGGCCCAAGCAGGCGCCACCCCAACAAGACCTGACTCACTTTGGGGAAACAATGGTTTGAGGGGTTTTAATGCTACACAAACTCCACCTCCTGCCTATGAGAGCATCATTAGGGCTTATCAGGAAACATGCACCTGAAAGGAAAGAGGACACCAAAAAAGAAAGAACACTGCATCTTAAATAGATATGGAGAGGATAATGAATCTATTCTGGCCAAGAAGCCCTGATCAAGACAATAAAACACAGAAACGACTTATTTTTTTAATGTCTTTTTCTCTTTTAGCCTTTTAATAATCAAAATGGAATATTACGTGACAGTTGAAACTGGCTGGTAGCTATATGATCAGAGATGTTTCATCGAAAATGTTTATTCATGTTGACTGACTATGGTATACAGTTACACAGGTTAGGATAAAACATTTACAAATGCTGCAATCTGGGCATTTAAAATGGCAGGAAAGATGTTTGCTTCATCTGTAGAAGTCATATAATAAGTAAGCAAAAATAAAAGAAAATGACTTTATAAAATGAGGAAGTGTGTCAACTTGGTGTTTAAAAATGTATGCAAAATTATATTGAGATGTGGTTAAAATTACCTAATATTTTTTCAATTGTCTGTTACTGCCTCTTATATTTTTACAATGCTGCATAGAGTGAAAGTGTGTGCATGAATAGTATGCATGAATATGGAAGAAGATGCCATAGGTGGGCTCTGTGGTCTGATGTCTTTGAGTTGTATAAATGTTTGTTAAGTTAATGTAATAAAAGCACGAATGAAAAGTTTCCCATACAGAGTTCATCATTTTCAACATGTTTGTAAAGTATTTAAAATTTGTACTTTTCTTGCGCAATAAGACACAATTTTTAGTCACATGCAAAGCTTCATTTCAGATTCAACAAGAGATGGAAGAACACGAGAGTTCAAATAAATCTGTTTTGGCATTTTCTCTTATCTACCATTTCTGGTTTTAAAAAAATGAAAGAATTTGAATGTTCACAGTAATGGTTAAGAATACAATAACAGGAAACCATCATTGGAAGGTTGAAAACTTCTTATATAATCTAACATTTTAAACTACTGAACAAAAGGTTAAGTTCGAAGCAAGCTACTCGGAGTGTTGGAATAAAAGTGCATAAATGAGAAACATTCCATTACTGAGCAGACCTAAAAGCAATACTTTATGTCCCTCCCCTGTTTTTCTCATTTGTTTCTTATGAAGGAACAATCAACAACAACAAACAAGTTTGGAAAGTATGATAAGGAAACATAATAAAAAGTATTCTCATGAAACGAACAGACATTTCTGGCAGACAATGACACTAAAACATTTTTTAAAGGATCCTAAAGATGCTTTTTCAAGACAATTTCCTGATAAACTTGGGCTCCAGTTCAAGGTAACCATCCAGCTGGAAGCATGGCTGGCAGGCTTATGAATTACACTTGATGACGTGTTATTTGTGAGACACAGTTGTGTTGTGTTTGTGAATACCGGCTGCAGTCGTGGAGGACATTTCCGTAGTTTTTAAAACGTTTTAACTCTGTAGCTCAGTAAATAAGGTAATATCACTGCTCTGTAATAAAATTAACCTACTACACGAGTGAAAGCCTGTATGTTGGGAAGCTTGTCGTTCGTACGAGCTGTAAAAATTAAACATTAGCCAAAAGCTAATGAAAATGAAGCGAGTTTTAGCTAAAGGTTATTTAAACTACAGACGTTGTTATGGTGACGAGAATGTTCCAGTTAATATTCGCAATATAACAATAACCATAACAATAACCTCGCGATGTTTGTAAGTTAAATGTGACGTGAACGATGGGGGTTGCTGTGGTTGTACTAACCCTTTAAATCCATCATTAATCGCTTAGTTAGCTAGCGTTGGCTTGGGACAACGTGTGCTTTACATTAACTTGTCATCAAATTCACGCTAAAATAAACGAACCAACTGTCACAACTGGTCAACCGAATTACCCGGTTTAAACTTGAGTGGAAGTGTCACGCCTGACGGATCTGGGGTTAAACAGGGCTGAGTTATTTTCTGTTGTGTTCTAATTAATTCAGAGCGGTGGAGAATGTCTGTTGCAGCTCTTCGTTTGATCCGCTGTCGGAGATTGAGCACAGCTGGGTCGCCTGGTGTAAAGAAAGTGCTTCAGTGGAAAGATTTCAGTAAGTGGATAGACCGAATTGGCTTACCTGTAGACCCTTTATTTTGACAATCTGGACTCAAATCTGGACTCAAACACATCAAAGTTATTCAGAGAGAAATGGGGTGTTGTGTAAACCATAAGTTTACTATAAGGCAGTAATGCTCAAATTATTTAAGTCTAAAGTCTACATTTTTTTATATTGGACAAGCCGGCCACCATAAGATCATAGTTATTTAATAATCTTCTTTTTACATTTATTCATTTCTGGGTTTCAATTAACTCAATGAACTCAGTATGTCATTGATCTGTTGTGAATGACCTTAATCAGCTGTGAGAGAAGGTCACTTTGGAAACTGGAAAATTACTAAATTTGTTAAATGAATGTTTGAGTTCATGTATACCTCTAAACTGTCTACTAATTCCAGTTCTCTGTCTGTGGAAATTTAGGGAAAGTCGCTAAAGTAACTGGTGCTGTTGTTTTTGGGTAAGTTGTAGTATTAACTGTAGATTTTTACATTTTACTCCTTGGTGACCAATAAAAGCTGTTTGTGTGAAACATGACCTCTATGCCACAGCTTGTCCATTGTCTCTGCAGGGGCTGTCTTTTTATCACCTATGAGGTGGTGGCCTTGGATAAGGCTGTGACCATTGACACAAGTGCAATCCTACAGGAGAAATACAAGTCTTACATCTATCTAAAAGCCACTCCTTCTTCAGAAAAGGATAATCTAGCTGCAGGTAACGCATGTCTGTGCAGTTTCTTAACTAGATTGCCTATGATTTTAAAACTGTAATGATTAAGACAGTTCTTTTTACTTGTCAAATATTTATCTGCCAAGTATGCTGACTGGCCTTATTTAGTTACATGAGCACAAAGGCAAACTGAGTATAGCATGTCCAGCTGGTCAGTGACATCTGTACCATGTCATCCTGTCTTTCCTTCCTTCTCTACTATTTTCCTGTGTGAGTCAGTGGCTCACTATGTGTTGTGATCTCATTTCCATCAAGAATACCCACCAGCAGCCATTAATGCATTTAGGTGGAATGTCCCTTCAGTTTTGAGGCTCTGTTGGGTACTTATGGGTTCCACCTCTGTATCTCTTTCAGGGCTTACACACAAAGCAAGGAGAGAACTTCATAAAGCAGCAAGACGCTTTCTGGAAGCATCCTCTAGACTTTTGCTGCAGTCACTGGATGGTAAAAATTAATCCCTTTGATTGCCTCCCCAAGTCTTAGAAAAAGAGCAGTGGGACACAACATGGATAAGATCCAATAGAATTCCTTAATAGATCTGATCTTACTGCTGAAATGAGCATAAAGATATAATTCAATAAAACTCCAGTAGTCCAACCTTTTGTATGCACGCCATGCACATGGAAACCAAAGGAAACACCTGCTTTGACCAAGAGCATCCTGTTTTCGAAACTCACATAGTTTGTGCATTGATGTGTTTAATGTGCAGTTGACTGTAACACACATTTATTGGATTCTATTAATTTATTGAACACTTGTTTGAATTACATTCCACGTGTTCTTTTAGGATAACAGAAATGTGTAGCACCCGATTCCACAAAAAATTAACTTTTAACCTTTTATTAATTAATAGCTGCCAAGTTGAGGACAGAAAGTTTGCTTCAAAAAGGTTTGTACTGTAACTCCCTAGCTGAGGTAATAATCAGAGGCAGTACTGTAGAAATACCGGTGGCTCGCTAGTTGTTGTAGTCTGAATCCAGTTTGATGTTGAACACATGGTTATTAGTGGCAAATCTCCAGTAAATTCTATGAATATGAGGTACGTTTACGTGAGCATTGTGTGTCCTAGAGCACTTCAGCCATGTGGATGCAGACCCACATGAAGTTGCGTTATGGGTTCTGCTAAAAAGGACGCAGTCGCTCAACAAAGCCGTCAGACTGCAGGCTGTGCAGGAGCTCGCAGATAATCGCCACTGGCATGGTAAAGAAAAAACTCAGCTGTCTTATCAGGTCAACTTACTCCACACTAACTGAAATTAAACTAAATCACTTATATTCTGAATGACGCAGACTACCAGTACCAGACAGCAGCCCAGGTTATAAACCAGCAGACAGCTGTGGGCCTGGCCCGAACTCCGCAGGTAGACCTGCGATTCTTCCGACCTCCACCTGCTCTGCCTTACTTGGAAAACGTATGTACCTTTAAGAGACATATATCCACTCTTTAGGATGTCTGCCAGCTGTAGATCAAACTCGGCTTTACTTCACACAGTTTAATTACCATTGCTTCCAATTTCTCAGGGGACGTCAGCAGAGGATGGTCTGCGGCAGCTGCTGGCATCTCTGCCTCAGTCTGAGGTGGACAAATGTGTTCAGTACTTCACCTCACTGGCTCTCAGAGAGAGCACTCAGTCCATGGCGGCACAAAGGGTATTAGTGACCAACACATTACAGTTGCTCATAATCAAAGTACTTGGGGTGCTCACTGCCTGGAACACAGAAGAACGGGGCAGTAAAAATGAGTAGAGAACTGAAGTCCTGTCACTAATGTATTCACTGATTGACATTGCAGGGGGGTCTGTGGTGCTTTGGTGGTAATGGGCTGCCTTATGCCCAAAGCCTCACTTCTGTTCCTTCAGAGAAGGTGGAGTCTTTCTGTCTGCAGGCACTGGTACAGCATTCAAAGGTAATTATGGCCATAATTTGTTAAACCCTCTTTTTAACAAGAAAAAGACGCTAATGATGTGGGGAGAAACTATATTGTGTGTATTTTAATCAACCTCAAACTTTTTCCACCTTAGATTGAGGTCAATACTTGTATTACCGATTACTGTGATGCACTAAAACCAGAGTTTATGGTCTGCAGGTTCGGAGCCACTGTGACCACATAGTTAAAAATGGGGGCCTGCAACTCCTTCAGAGAGTGTATCAGCTCCGAAGAGACTCCCTAAAGATCCAGACCAACATAATTCGTATTGTAGGAAACCTGGCACTAAATGAAGGCCTCCACCAGGCCATATTCCAGTCTGGTAAGTCTGGAATAAATATAAGCTTCTATAAATGTAGATTGTCTTTTATGTATACTCTCAAAAAGGTAATCCAATTGTCATTTTAAATGTGCCTCTTTGTGGGGATCTGCTTGTCATTTCTGCTTTTTAACTACTTTTTTCTTACGATTTGAAAATGAATCAACAGTGTATAAAGGCACTGTGCGTTGCTCTCTTTCTTTCTCCCTCGTGTAACACATTCAGGCTGGCTGTATGTCCTGGCGGAGATGATGCAGTCTCCCCATGTCATCCAGGCGTCTCATGCAGCTCGCGCTCTCGCCAATCTGGACAAGGAGACTGTGAAAGAGAAATACCAAGATGGCGTTTATATCCTCCACCCACAAAGCCGTGACAAGTAGGAAAATAATCGTTGTTCCGTAATTTTTTTCTGACGCTCTGATTCTTTTTTTATTTGTTTCATCCAACATATAACCCAACAGTTATCTTTGACAATGTGCTCACTTGCAGCCAGCCCATCAAAGCAGACGTGCTGTTCATCCATGGCATCCTCGGGGCAGCTTTTAAGACATGGAGACAAAAGGACCGCAATGCCTTGGAGGAAGAGGTGGAAACTGACAGTAAAGATGATTATACGGAGTGCTGGCCCAAGGTGACGAGCTCCCAATTTCTCAAAAAGCTACAGGAATAATTATGAATCATTTTTAGAGTTTGTGTCCTATGAGAAGCAAAAGCAATCCTTTTAGCAGTGTAGTCTGTCAGGGTATTACACATGCATAACTCAACTTGAGGCAAAGCATCCTCTCAAACTTGTATTTATTGATTGACAGTCCTGGTTGCCAGCTGACTGTCCAAATTTGAGAGTACTGTCGGTGGAGTATGACAGTCATCTTAGTGACTGGATGGCCAAATGTCCTGCTGAGAATCAAAGGTGAGTTTTTTTGTCCCAGCGATCATATTATTGTAGAATTACATTTCACCTGTTTAATGAGATATCCCGTTACTTTTTATACAGTTTTAATCCAAATATTCAAGCTACTTAAATAATCTCTCATAGTATAAGTATAAATCGTCTGTGTTTTGAGCTCATTCTGGGCAATTCCATCAAACCAGACAAGGGGTTATTTGTCTCCCCAGGAAGTCTTTGGCCTACAGAAGTCGAGAGCTGCTAAATAAGTTAAAGCAGGCTGGTGTTGGAGAACGGCCTGTGGTCTGGGTAGCCCACAGTATGGGAGGTATTCAGAATTTCCTTCCACAAGCATGTCAGAGTTTAGGGAACTCCCCTAAATCTAACTTTAAAAAAAAAGATTTTGTCGCACACTTGCACTCATGTTTGACTACGTTTGTCTGATCTTAAACCTGCATTCTTGTATTTGGTTCCTCTGCCAGGATTGCTTGTGAAGAAAATGCTGCTCGATGCATCCGAGGACCCAGAAATGCAGGAGCTGTTAAAGAACACTAAGGGCATAATGTTTTATAGTGTTCCTCACTATGGCACCTTCATGGCAGAGTATTCAGTCAGTGTCAGATATCTTCTCTTTCCATCTATAGAAGTCAGAGAACTGTGTAAAGGTCAGTGTATATGTCTCTGGTTAAAGACTGTTTGAACTGTTTATTCCTCATGATCAACTATAAGGTCATATTTTTTGTTAAAGACTCGCCAGCTTTGCGCAACCTGAATGAGAGCTTCCTGAACATTGCCAAAGAAAAGGAATTCAAGGTGCTGAGCTTTGCTGAGACACTGCCCACAAACATTGGCCCCATGATTAAGATACTTGTGGTGCCACCACAGTCAGCAGGTACGTAGCACTACTGCACAGAGGAAATAAGGCCTGCCCAGCACTGGTGTATATCTTAATAGCTTAGTTGTGATACATAGAAATGTAACGCTATGTCCTTAACCACCCGGGACTTTGCTGGTTTGATTTCAGACCTCGGCATAGGGGAGCTCATTGAGGTGGACGTCGATCACCTAAATATCTGCAAGCCCGAGAAGAGGGATTCATTTCTGTACAAACGCAGCCTCCAGTTCATCCAGGAAGCACTGCAGAGCTACATCACCCAATGATTCAATATCTGAGTTCGATAACAATGATGCAACCAACAGTATACTTGAAATGTGGGACACCACATTGGTCCCCCACCACCAAACAGGTCACATTACTGCCACTCCTCTTCGTTGCACATTCACACAAATAACCTCCAATATGAATGGTCATGATAAAATCAGACAGATAAGATTTATTTTACAAATATGATACATGTGAGAAATTTGTTGAGATATCCTCTTTACATTTTTACAAGTTGTAATCACAATGTTTATTAATAAGCTCAGATAATGGGAACATGTTCTTATGTTGATTTAATCTCTTCCTTTGATTTCAAATGCAGCTTAGTCTGTTTTAGAACCCACAGCACTTATTTATACATTTACTAAGGGATGCACTGAAATGTAATTTCTAAAAATGCCTCTCGGTAGTTAGGAAAGAATTTTACTTTAAAAAGGTATTTTTGTATTTAAAATTTTATTCAGACTAATGCATGACAGTCCTATTTTGTGCCAAAATGCATTTCCTCCTGAGCCTTACCTGACTTGAGCTTCACATTATTTATTTTAATGGGAATAATCAAGTTATTGAAATTTTTATTTCAATCTGTTTACAAAGCCCAACTTCCACTAACAATGTTGACTGCAGGCAATAAATCAGATATATGTCTAAAGTTGGTGTTTTTTGTACTTTTTTGGTCAGTGCTCATCTCATTTTTCTGTACATTAAGGTGATCTGAGTAGGTTATTCTGAGTTTGTGTACACTAGACACATGAACGTGTAACACCTGACACACAGCGTGTGGTCATACATTTATTTATTAATTTATTACATATAATCGACATGCAGCAAGCCGTTTTTCCAACCACTCCAGTATTATTTATAAGAATTTGATTGCGGAACCGCAATTTTCTGCCTCATGAAGATTGTCCCTCCTCGCTTATTGTACATTTTCACAATATTAGCATCTGTTAGCACTGAAAATAGTTTCCACTGCGTGATCAGACGAATCAATTGACCAAATTCACATGTTCATTTAAAAGGGCCTGTAAGTATGTATGAGTTTATTATAATAATTATTCATGCGCTGTTTAACATTAGACAAATGTATTTAAAAGTGCTACGAGATAGATCCGGTTGAGCTGCTGTTGCCATTAAAAAGCTAGTTGGGTTCAGACGGAGTCAGTCTGGTTTATGAACAAGGTTGAAGAATACAGCTTGTTGTACAAGTGTATTATTTCGAAGTCGTGAAATGTAGTTCTTTTTTTATTTACGTCCTTTACTCATATGAAAATGAAACAGGCATTGATTTTAACTCCTCTGTTTGCTTCAGCTGATCAACAAGCCGCCGATTTGTTGCTAATCCTTCAACATGGTCAATGTACATAAAGGTGTCCTCGTTGAATGGTAAGGAAACTAAGTGATATAGAGGGAAACTGAAAGTCACAAAAGTCATCTGTGGTTTTATTGTTTCCCCAAACTATATGTACATGCTTTTCTTTCCTCTTCTCCCATCATGCTCTTTGGACCAGTGACCCTGCCATGAAGCAGTTCCTCCTTTATCTGGACGAAAAAATGGCTTTAGGAAAGAAGTTCATCCTTAAGGACCTCGATGACACACATGTCTTCATCTTGGCAGAAGTGGTCCAAACCCTACAGGAACGAGTGGGAGAGTTAATGGACCAGAATTCATTCCCCATCACGCAGAAATAACCCATTGACCTTTGCAAAGAATTGTCCTCCTTGGACGGTGAACTACTTATCTTTAGACATTCTTTCAGTTAATTGAAATTGAACCGTTGTTCATCCTTTGTTACATGATAATAATAAAAAAATAATAATGGCTTACATTTTTGTGAGACTTTTTTTCTATTACTATTTCTGCATCCACCACACTTTGAGACTTTTTTTGTCTGTGTTGCGTCAAAAGTTACCTCATAACTTGGCAGAGCACCCATGAAAACTGTTTTTCAAACCTGAAGATGACCATAATTTTTAGGCAACTTTTCACTATGTGCACTGAAATAGGATTGAAATCATGAATCCCTAATTATCCTAGAAAAGGGAAATGTAATTGTCTTGAAATAATTAATTTTGATAAGCTGTAAAGAAAATGTGAGTCACAATAATCTAAATAAACAGAAACATTAAAAAGAACTTGAGGAACAATAACGTACTGACTTGAATAGCTACACTTGTGCCAAATGACTACTTAGACTCTTTTGAATGTAGTCAATTAATGATATCAAATTAACCAAAATAAACAGGAAAACGGTGAAAGACAGGTTCCGGTACACTGAGTTTTGTCTCCCCCTGGCGTCCAGCCCTGGAGCTGCACCCTGACTGAGCAACATGTAGTTTGCCCCATAGACATATATAGATATATGTAGATATATGTCTATGCTTTGCTCAGCACTCACGTGTCTCAGCATTACCGGCTCGATATTGCAATTATGTAAAATTAAAGTAAAAATGCATTTAGGTGAACAATAGAAGTTACACGAGTAGACAGCATCGGTGTGTCCAGCAGGTGAAGTCAGCTACAGCCATCGTGCCACGAAGTCTTCAAAATAAGAGGTTGTATTTGAAAAATTTACTTTATTATCAAACGGTTTGGGGTAATCTCAACTATTTATCTAAAGATACATAGCCATTCATTCAAATGATACTTTAAAGCTAAATTTGAGGCTGGACCAAAGAGATGTAAAGTTCGTTTTGCTTTGTTTTGAAGAGCAACTACAGGAAGTACTATTTAGTGGTAATTTGGATCTCTTACCGAAGAACCATGGACGACTATCAGGCAGAGGAAGAGGTAAGTCCGACTTGATGCTGAAAACTGATTACCTATGCACATATAAAGCTATTTTTGGAGATATTTTTCCCATCTGAGGCTACAAACGACATCGTGATTGTCTGTTTGGTGTCTGTGTGATTCGGCTATCGTAAACTACTTCGTTTGTTTCCCACTTGACAGACCACGTTCGTTGTCGATGAAGTGAGTAAAATCATAAAAGAGGTGAGTAATAAACCACCAGTGTTAATGTGTCTTATTTTTATTCGCATTGTACTATTTTCCTCATTATTTTCACAGTAATTGTCCATTTTATTTTGAGTTTCTCGTGGTTGCTAAGGACACATGAACGGTTGCTAGGTACCACACTGAAGTGGCATTTATTCGTCTTTTTTCATAAATGTACTTTTTGGGATTTATTTTACGACCGATACAAGGCTGACCAAGTCATTTCCATCGATTGGTCCATGAGTTCCCGACAGTTAGTTGAATTTTGCCCCAACAGTCGGTGGAAGTGACCATAGGAGCGAATGCCTACCAGCACAGTAGAGTAAACCAGTGGAGCACAGGAGTGGTGGAGCAGTGCCTCAGTCAGCTCAGCAAGCTGGGAAAGCCTTTCAAGTACATCGGCAAGTGGACCCCCTCTGGAGAATTGACACCTCACTGCTTATGGTATTCTCTGAATGGATGCTGACAGTGTTGATTTTTTGTTTTGTTTCTGCCAGTGACCTGTATCATCATGCAGAAAAATGGAGCGGGGCTGCAAACAGCCAGCACTTGCTTCTGGGACAACACTACTGATGGTAAAAACAAAAATCACTCGCTGCAACAACTGTAAGATTAGCAGAACGAGTGTATGTTAGTAAATAGTTGCCTAGGTTGTATAAAAATGTATGTGGCTTGTCAAACTGGAGTATTTGTGCCAGTGTGACTGAACAGCCCTATGTTTGAAAATAACATTTCATACTTTTTAATGGCATGAAGTTTTACTTTCTGTACTTACATTTATGTTTCATCCAACAGGAAGCTGTGCAGTGAGATGGGAGAACAAGTCTATGTACTGCATCGTCAATGTTTTTGGTCTAGCCATCTGAACCTACAAATGGTTTATTACCTGTACCACTCTCCCTATTTATGACTGGCATGTTATGTTTAAACATTCTGGCAATAGTTTTGATTAAATCATATATCTTTGTGTGAATGATAATAGCAGGACTGTGCTGCTATTACTTTGCTTTATTTACATATCACATGACACTGCTACAGACTCAGCCTTTAACTAAGGGAGCGACAGATATTACAAATACTTACAGCATTTCAAAACAACCTCATTTATCCACCAACATTAGATACAGTCAGCCTGATAGAATTAAACAGATACATATATATATATTTACAAAGCTGAGATTAGAGCTCATTTACAAACAAAGAAGGGAGGAAAAAAGCGACAAGGCACCATCTTCATTAAAATATTTTCAAAGAGAACAGAAATATATATTTGTTTTGGCTGTTTTTGTCCATAAGCTCCTGTCTCATAAAATAAAGCAGGGTGGCAGAAAGAACGTTGGCAATGTAGGCAAAGTTGTAGAGAAACTGATCACTTGAAATACATTTCACAGAAGCAAAATATGTCCTGTCTGCAGTGTGAGCGCTGAACATGCTGGGATAAGAATGTTTACCATGACAGGCCAGTAGTCCATCAACACTAAGTTGTAACTAATTTCAGCTCATACAAACCTATCCATCAACGTCTGATAATACAGTGTTAAATAATTTTTTTGGCAGAATAAATACAATTATTGAAAAGTGCAATGTAACAGCTGCTTTCCAAGAAAAGAAGAAAAAAAGACTTGTGGTACTGAGTGCAGTCGCAGTAAGGCTTTCCCCAGTGTTTTTTAATAATACCCGAGGACAAAGAGGGAGAATCTAGCAGTCATGGAGTGTCTGAACTGGGGACATGGTCATTACTGTAATGTTGTGGGCTGTATCCCTTAGTGGTTACTGATTTTTCAGGCTAACAAAGAGCAGAAAGGAATGACATGCATGTTGAGACAGTGATTTTAACGCAAAAAATTAAAATGGTTCCAAATAAACCCCCCTTTCACATCAGCACTTTTCGCTTCTCCTTTTTTCCCCTAATCAGGTTGTGATGAAGTGCTGGTTCTTTTACAAGTAAAAAAACTGTATTGTTTTAAATTTCTGCTGTCTTTGAGTGGTTACCTCACCTTTCCAAAGTACAGTACATTCAGTAGAGATGTCATTTCTTCTTTTAAAAAATATATTTATGTACACTTACAGTGTATAATTTCATGTCATCTCTGCGCATACACAAGACAATATGTTGCGATTAATCCCTTTAGTTTCCAGCATAGACATGAGGACACGTCAGTCGCTGTCAGTCTCATCCTGGTATTTGGCCGTTGCTTTGATAGCACGTCCATTTTGTAAAGGCAAGTCTTCGTAGTCACTCCTGTTCGAGAGCACAAATGCATTCATTTGAAGTTTACAGTTGCAGCAGCATTGTGGGTAAAACCATTTCAGAGGAAAGGGAAGTCGATAAAACATTTACCCGTAAATGACTTCATCGTCTGAATCGTTAAGCATGGAGAAAGCTGGATTATCCTTCAGCTGGGAGTCTGGAAGGTTGTATTGACAGGAATTAAACGACAACCAAGAAGATTTGTTTGATTAACAGTCAGGAAATGGCAAATGTATGACTTACCATAAAGGGCATTTTTGGAGGGAGAATACACAAACGCCAATGTGTACAAGTAAAAGTTGAGTAGGCCGTAGAAGGATAGAAATTCAGCTGGTATGTCCTGAATCAAGGAAGAATTCCTCACTGCAGAATGTATAAACAGCTCTGAACTTTGTTTCAAAAGGTGAAATGGAGGCCAACATTAAACCCAGCTGAAAGGATATAGTTTTGATAATGGGTCGACAACTCTGCCACAAAACTTTTCTGCAGAGCCTTGGCGCCGAACCTCAGGTAGAGAATGATCACGCTGGAGGAGACACGGCGTGAGAGAAGCGCATTCAAACCAAACAGGAAAATGATCTGCTAGTCCCTGAACTCACCTGATGACAAGCACCACAAACGTCAGCGCTGTCAAGAACTTGAGCCGAAGATCTGGAGATCAAAGAAAGACGACGCATTAATGTTGCTACGGTAATGGCTAACGTCGAATGAAGGGCCGAGGAGTGAGGCGGGCCGTGATACCTGAGTAAGGCATGTTCTTCAGTTCAGAGCAAGCTCTGACAATCAGGAATATCAGGTAGAGGATGTAGAGCGAAACAATGATAAGGAAGAACACCTTCATGCCCTGCAGACATGAGAAAGGAAGTGGATATGTTATCCAGACTCTGCCTAATAAGGAGAAAACCAAATGACAACACTTTAAAGGTCACTGTTACCTGAAAGTGTGCAATATCCATGTTGTTCTGATAGGTAGGATCCGAGAGTTCATTAACCCTAAAAAAATCAGTGAAGCAGAGCAGATCTATTCAGTCCTGTTCAGAATCTCAGCCTGAACTTCTATGTATGATCACACTTACGTTTGCCATATGCCGAGCGTAACGGCTGACAGCCATAGAAGGCCTACGATGATCAGCTTAGGTAGGTAGAATGTGAGAAATTTTCTCTCGCCCTGCAGATAGAAACATAAGAGGATACAAAAAACAATCCATAGAAGCTCACAATGAAGGAATCCAAGGAAGTATGTTTGCACACACCTGTACCCTGATGCCGTGGTACACGCAGAGCCAGAAGAGCAGCAGAGCGCACAGGAAGAGGGCCTGGAAGAAGGCATCCAATGTCCCCGGAAACCAGCTGTTCACCAGGAATGCCAGAGGGAAGAACGGATCTGAAAAACATTGAATAAGACCTGCTAACAGGATTCATTGAGCGAGATAGCCAGCTGAAATGTAGCTATGTGCAAATCTTAGAAGTTAGTCCAGTGCAATAAGCTCCACGTTAACATATCTGGATGTAAAATATTGTTTGGTAAAGGAAATAGAAGTGTACCGTTGTAGAGTAGAAGCAAAGGGAGCAGAATGGACATCCACTTCTGCTCTATGCCCCAGTCCCTCATGGAGAATTTCCTCAGTGAATGAGCAAACATGCACTGCAGAGTAAAAAGAAACCGTCAGCTTCTGTTCGCCATCACGTTTTGGATGAGATGTGGCATCAAAATGGCCTCAGAACAAAAGCAACGTTCTTACCGTCACCATGAAGGTTAACACCACGAAGACAAACCGGAACCAGATTTCCACTTGTGAAAAGGTGGGATTGTATGTTTTCCACTGAAGAAAAATCAAACAATATTTACAAAAAAGCAGTCATGTGTGGCCTGTTGTCGCTGGGCGCAACCAAAAACGGCAACGCATGTAGGATTCCCGAGTGTTTTTCACTCACCACAAACTTAACCTTGATTTCATATGTGATATTCTCTAGGCCTCTGAAGCTGACAGAAACCTTGTACTGGGTGTAGTTCAGGTAGCCCAGATGCAGCACGATGATCTCATCACATTTCTGTACGGGTGAAAAAACAAAACCAAACCCTGCATCACTGCAGTGAACATCAACCATCTGCAGGGGGAAATGTACATAAAGCCTAGTTTTGTATCTTTTAAATACATTTGGTCAAAACAGAGTTGCTCACTGAGAAAAGAAAAGGACGCTGACGGATACTCACGGCCCCACAGTGCAGCGTCCGCGATTTCTGCTGCACGGCGTTGATGTGCATCATGCTGGCGTCCTGCATCACTCCATTAAGCTCTACGTTGATATCAAAGGGCTGCTGGAAATCTCCCACTGACACAGACAGCAGGTATGGTCGTTGTTAGGCGTGCAAAAAAAAGGCATTAAGGGGAACCCAATCTGGGGAAACCTAAGCATTTTGGTTCTGTGGTCTTACTGTTGCTGTTCTCAGCCTGCATCAGGCAGGTGAGCCAGAGCTGCTGATTGTAGGTGGTGAGGGGAGGAGACTGTAGACTGAAGGGCCCCGTCTGAAAGAAATGGCATCAAAGGCACACTGAGAGCAATTCTCAACAACACAAATCACTAACACAACAAAGGGAAGCCCAGATTGCCTTTTGATTCGAATCTTTTTCAAATCAGCTTTTTAAGCCTTTTGTTATGTTTGCTTGAACGCATAAGACAGATTTGATGAGGGACAGTTGAAAATGAGCCATTTGGAAAATATCAGCACATTCAATTACATGACTAATGTGCTGACAATAAAAAGAAAAAAAATCACTTCCTTAAATACCCCCTCTTAAAACAGGACGATTAATGAAAACTAAGCAGTTTTAAAGCCTGTGAGACAGAATCTGAGTGTGGTACAATCACAATGGTTACCCGACACTGTCTGATACACACAAGCATAATAGTGATCGGTCATCACAATAGCAGGGCTGTTTCAAGTCCAAATTCAAAAAGGAAGAAACCTGCTTGATAAGCGCAACCTCACCACACTTTCACACCGATTGCTTAGGTATCTAGAATGCTACACGAATAAAACACCATGATTCCACAAAAATATTTCTTTATTTTATGATTTTAAAAAGCCAGCAGAATGTTCTGTCAAAAGAAAAGGGAGCTTTGACTGCAAATAACTCGAGCAACATGAGCCACAGAGTTGATCTTTCTCATTTAAAGATCCAAAGCAATAAAAATAATAAAGTATAATATATTTATCCATGATTCAAATGCCAGGCTTAAAAAAACTGCTATGAGCAACTTCTTGTTTAGAAAGATCTTACCTTTACTGAGAAGTTCTTTGCAACAACATGATCTCCATTATGCTCCTGTTCTGCAATAATCCTTGGACCTACATAAATGAACAGAACATAAATACATTGTAACCCTATTATGTAGATTTGAAAGAAATCTAACTTATTTATCAGAGCTACATCATTTTGCTTTTTTGGTTAGATTGGATGAAAGCTCTCTATTGAAATCAGTTGGAAACGGAAACATCTATAAATAAAATGAATAACAGTATTTTTGAGCAGCATCCTGTTCGGATCCTGTTCCAGTGATGCTCATCTTTCATACCTGCAATCCCAATGAAGACTGTGAGGCCAAAGCAGAGCAGGAACACCACAAAGACTAAGACAAAGTGCCTTTTGGATAAGGTGTAGAGCCGCATGGGGGCCAGCCTGTTACAAGGAGACAATCACTAAATTGAACATATTCACAATTCTACAAGAAAACAGAAGTGCTTCAAAGTTTAACGCAGTGTGGTTCAAGCCGGATGTGTCAACACTGCTAGCCACCGTGCTACGGCATGCTAGCGGTTACAGATTGAGAGATAGAGCTCCACAGATTTTTAAACGGATGTCTTTGAACATATTAGCGTCAGTTACAAACGGCAAGAGTGACCACCGGGGAAACGTTGCGCTTACAGCTCCATTTCTTTCGGTGCAACGGCTTTCCGGCGAAAAACAGCGTTAGATTTTCCCCGTGTATCCACATCCGCGTATCAACATCAGCCTGCGACAACTGGAGTGCAACGTCATCCAATGGGATCACGTGACATGGCATCATTGCGGAAAGTGAGCAAACGCGGTGCAGAGGGATCCAAGATGTCTAACTTCCGTTCTTTCTCTTGATTTACTGCACAAAGAGCACCTTTGTGTCCACAACAGGGCTATATATTTGATTTGGGGCTAGAGTATATTTTATTTAGCCCAAAGTCTCACGGGGGGATGTCACCTGGATGTGAAGTTTGGCGCATGCGTAGCAGAGTGATTTTATTGGTCACGATCGACTTTTGATGTCTAATCCTTAATGTTTCATTAAAAAATAAAAAGAGGAATAACAAATATAACAAATATAGTATATAGTAATATTTTTTCAATCAATGAATGGAGACGTGAACATCTGAAAAAATATCCAATTAAAGAAGCAGCACTTGTTGCCTGTAATGGTTTTAGGCCTCAGTCACGCTTACATTTAGGGTTTATTTTAATAGCTAATAATATGTTTATAAAGGCAGTCTATGTATATTTCCAGAACATAATTAATAAGTGATCAATTTCCACAGTTTTGAAAAAATCATCAAGATGAGCATTATCTCTTTTAATCAAAATGGCAAATACATTTTTTAAAAGCGATCGGTGGTGTCCTTTATTCTTGCTGTTGATTCTTGCTGTACCAATACGAAAAACATATTTAAGAGAAGAAAAAAAAAACATAATCGTGAATATCAGAGACCAGATTCTCCATTATGGTATGGTGACTTACCTATAAAAACGATCATCACGGTGAGGTGTCAAGTCCTCCTTCAGCTCGTTGTAGGCCTCCTGTATTTTTCTGCAGAAGTATTTCAGCTCGCTGAAAAGAGGGTTTTCCAATCCGGACGAATAGTCGGTATCCATTATCACACAGAGCGGTCTGTTTTCGCAAAAATGGCGAAGAGGAAACAATCTGCGGCCCTCAGAGACGAGCACGGAGACCTGCCTGTATTGTTACGAGGTTAAATTAAAAGTGCAGCCGAAGCTGTTTCGTTGTGCGTCGGTTCATAGGATAAAAGAGGAAAGCTGTTAAAAGGCAGACACCGACGGCCAGCATACGGGAGTAGGGTCACGTGGTCAGGCTTCAGCACCACGGAGAGAGGCAGGCGGCATAGTGGTGATGCTCCAAATATACCAGCTCATCTTTGTGCTTTCCCCAGAAACTGGTTACATGAAGAGATTTTTTTTTAAAACAAAAATAAATAGATGAAATGAATGTCAAAATATAATTGAAATAATCTCTAGAAATTCCAAATGCTTTGATTTGAGTCAGACATGATTAGTCATTTATCCCTGTTAAAGTTATTTTTGTAAAAATGTTTCACTTTATTATGGAATGCAGTTTTCATACATACAGACAAACAACTATGGGAGAAAGTAACACCTCTCCCTTCAAAAGTAAGAAATTCTTAAATGTTTTTGGTAATTACATTAGTATTCCAGTATTACATCTCTAAAACATTAGCTGGCATATTTAAGAGGCAAGAAACAGTGTTTTCTTCTGAAACAATGACATTTTTATTCAAAAGTTGCATGACGAATACAGTTATAAAATAATTTACATGGCATGCCTTACTATCCATTCACTACAAACGTTCAGTCACCAAATCTGACTCAGATTTTTTCAAGTGTTTTTGTCATTTTAAGTCTACATCTACAAATACAAAGCACTTTTTCTCTAAAGGAAAGCCAAATCCTACAGTATCTACAACAGTATCTCCTTAACCAAATCCGTTGGCGATGCGGAAAATGAACTCGGTGGTTTATACTAGTGAGCTCAGGTGAACAATGTGTGTTAATGTGTAGAAACCATAACCGCACACTTTTGAAGATAACGGATTTAACACTGATGGGTTTGGTAGACTGCACAGCTGAACACAAACACACCTTTACTTGACACTTACACTCTACGTAACTAGTCTAACAACTACATTAAACTGGGCACTTGCTCATTCACATCTTTTTCCGTCCAATGACTTCACTTTGCAGTGAACATTTCCCCTTCCCCTGACCCCACAGTTCCACCTCACAACTTGGGCTACACTTCACACAAACTCATCAACACAAAGAAATGTTCAGAAAACTCCACAATATACAGTATGTATAGATATCTTCCCCTTTAGGAAACAATCTCATAAATAAAATGTACAGACCAGCATCTGAGATACAGAATGAAAGTATCAAAATGTGGTCCAAAGGACAAAAAAGTAAAGAAGTAAAGAATTTTCATCCCCCTACAAAATATTGCACAACCAACACTAAATGTTTTTTTTTCCTTTGACATGCTCATGTTCCATTAATTTCTTATGGAGGTATCCCCTCCCCGATCCTTACAGCCCACCACCCACACACATGCATCAGTTGGGCTTTGGAAAGTTCTCGCTAATTAAATTTATAATCTCATCGATTCAAAAATCAAAACTGAAGTGATACTTCCTTCTGGGCTTCTGTCACTTTAGAGAATGCATTTTTGGCACATTTTTTAAGGTGACCTCATCTGTTTGAAGCAAATTGTTCAAGCCTAAGTGTTACTGCTCTTTCTCACTCTTTGTCAATTTCGGCTGCCTGGACAACTAATTTACTACTATGTTGCTTATCAGGTATGCCAAGTTTAAATAGTTTCAGTCAAAAACTAAAAACTAAACCAGCTTTTCTGATTTCAGTCAGCTTACTACACGGACAGATTTCAAAAGCCTCATTCTTTGTTGGAGCCTTAAAAGATCAAGTGACACTGATCTCAGCCAAACTAGTGGGTGTTGCTGTTGACCTTAATAGGAAAACAGCTCAACTCCACACCTGAAATATAACACAGTGGAGACAGGCGTAAACAAGAAATCTGCAAAAGTCACCTCAGTCTCTTTACAACATTTACATATGATTGAGTTATTTACACGACTTCTGAGTAGAGTGTGAAATGGCATAAGTGAAATATACAAAAATATTTCCTGGACCATGCTTACATGATTCTTGTGGTCTTAAAGAGAAGGGACAGTCTCCCAAACTATGTACTCACTTCACAGAAGTGACAGCAGGTGACAAATCACTTCATGCCAGTGGTTAAGTTCACACTAGGCCATGGCGACGTCTTTGGCGCCGTTGTCACCACATGTAGATAATTAACTAAGTATAGGATATGTCAGCCAAAGCTATTCTGTAAACCACTTCCACCTGAATTCTCCAAATATGCAGCAATATTCTAATTCAGTCTCCCAAATAAAGCAGGTAAGAAAACTGTAATGAAAGGGTATGAGGACAGCATATCACTTACAACAACAACATTGCTCAAATTTATAGTTGAATAATGGACAACATGTACACATAAATTAATCCATGTCGCAGAGTAACATTTCCTCTTCCTTCAAACTTGGATATGGTAAAGATTGCATTCCACCTCGGCTACAATGACTCCTTTACCTTTGTAAATTTCAAACAGTGGCACACATTTCACAACAGTGAAAAGTCTTAACTCTTAGTAGTGCTCCTACATAATGCATATATCTAAGCCTCAACTCCAGCCAAGAAAGACTGAGATATTAACACGAGTAAAGGAAGAGAGAGCAAAAACAATACGACCCTCCCAACCTCCACCATTTAATAAAATCCTAAAAGCAAAAGTAGTACAATAAAGTGGTACTGTTTCACTAAAGGTTTGTACAGCAATGGATTTCAGTGCCCAGTAGTACCTGTGCGCTCTTGGGAAAGTAACTCTGACCTCTAGAGTGTGGTTTTCAAGTATTACTGCTGCTTCTTCTCTAACTGCACCTCTCCGTGAACTGTCTCTGAGCTTCTTTGACCTAAAGCAGCATTTATTTGCATGATGATTAACCAAGCTCAGCTCTTTTTCCCTCGGTGCTTTGCAGGGTGCCGCTGACTGCCGCACAAAGCAGACCTGTCAGCATCTTAACAAATTACGGTCAATGCTTATTGCACCACGTCTAGTGGCAGCATTGTGTAGTGCAGGGTGATTGTATTTCTCTCTATGGCCTGGGCAGATTTGAGTCTTTTCTCCAAAATCCACCTCAACAGGTTGTTAATCTCAAATGAAACTGCTGTGCCCTTTTGGCAGATTGCATCAAAGTCCCAGATATAACTCGGGGTAAATGGGGAGAAAACATCTCATTTGAGGCGTTGTGTGACGTTTGCCAAAGCCACAGCAAATGCCTGGACAGCAGAGAAGGGATACTGGAAGTCGAGGATGTAGGCATTGCCATCAATCCTGCCAAACTGCATCACCTGTGAAGCGACAATAAAGAGAGAGGTTAATAACACAGGGAAGTTACTGCCAACCCCTGCTCAGCGCACATACAATTCAATACTTTTGCTGTAAAGCATGAAAAGCGAGACTCAACTCACCTGCCTGCCCTCCAGTTCAATCTGAAAGTTCTTGGCTGACTCCTGTGTGACACGCCCGCCAAAGTCCAGCTGGTAAACCTGCGTGGCTTCGTTCCAGAGAGGTTGCTTGTTGGCCATGACATAGACAAAGCCCTGACTGCCCAGCCCTCTGTCCTCCTTCTCATTTGCTTTTCGACATTTGATCTCATCAAGCTCAGTGGCAGCCCTTTGATTCCTCTTATTCTTCCAGCCCTTCTTACCACTCTGGCACTGATTGAGCAGCTCATCACCACTGATGAAGAGCTCTGGCTCGCTCTCTGAACTGTCTTGGAACTCGCTGTTGGCAGTGGCCTTGCTCAGCTTTTTAGCCTTTAACTGCTGCTCTTTTTGGCCCTTCAGCTTCTTCTTGTCTCTCCCTCCAAGCCGTGGACTGGAGATGAGCGAGTTGAAATCTCCGAGAGCTCTGCCTTCCTTTTTTGATTTGCTCCCTTCAGCAAGCTGCGACACGTTAGCCTCTTCAGCTCGACCATCCATCCGCTTGCGGTTCTTCTTGTTAAACTTCTCTGACCGCTGAGGCACAGGGCTCTCAGTCAGTGAAAGCACCTCCTGAAAGCTTTCAGCTGTCTCTGCCATGGCCTCCTGTAATGCCCCATGGCTCTGTAGTTCTGCTGGTGGTGGAGGAGGCGGGGGTGGCGGAGGAGGAGGTGGTGAGAGAACATTTTTGTCGAGTGTCATGTGGGAGGCCTTGGGTGGTAGCGGCACGGCCGGACTGGGCATAGGCGGGCAAGAATTATATGTTCCCCAGGGTGTGTGAAGGGCAACTGGAGGAACAGGAAGCCCAGTACAAGCACTGCCACCTGGATACATTGGTGGAAGGGGGCAGCAAGTAAGGTTAGCAAGGTTTGCAGGATAGCCCGGAGGTATAACAAGAGTGGCATCCTGCTGTGAAAAGGGAACAGGAGCCACCATTTCCTTTGGGGAGGTGCAGGGGCGTGGTGAGGTTGGGATGGGCTGGAGCTGCGTTCCGTTACAGCCAGTTGCAGGGGGATACTGGAGAGATATTTGGTAGCCTGTAGCTGCTGCAGCAGCTTGGAATGATGCAGCACTGGGGCTGGTGGGGGACTTTGGAGAAAGGACAAAAGGCAGCCTGGTTACATCCAAGTGTTGAGCTGGGCTAAGAACAAGAGGTGGTGGTTTGTGTGGAACAGGGGGGGCAGAGGAATTCAAAGAGGCTGTCCTTTCCTGAGGTATCCAAACTTCCTCTGTGGCAGCTGGATCCCACTGATAAGGTGGAGGTCGTTTGACAGCACCTCCTGGTGCATCACTTCCTCCCAAAGCCAGATGCCTCAGGGACTTGTTCATTGCTTCATCCTCTGCAAAAGCTGAATTAACATAATCAGCCCTGTCTCTGTTACTTCCCCCTCCTGACACACTCCCAGATCCTTCAAGTGAGCTCATCAGACTATAAGAGGACTGGGAGGCCAGAGGAGTTGCGCTGTTGGAGTGAACGATCACTGTGCTGTGTGGTGCTCCATTCCCTGGAGGGAAATCCTGTCTGATAATAGTTCCTCCTGCTATTCCATTAGCACTCCCTGGGGCAGTGCTTCCAACACTGGATCCACTGCTACACTGACTGCAGGTGTATAAGGCTGTTGGTACCCTCTGCTGGAATGAGGCTGCTAGTGCACTATTTTTAGCTTTCGGAGGAAGCGGCCTTGGTGGTTCCAGCATCTGAGAAACTTTGATTGCTGCCTCTCGGCTGTTCCTCCGAAGTGTGGCGTGGATCAGACTGCTATCTAGCCTCCCACTGAGGTTCCTTCCAGCAGTGGTGGTCTGATTGGCTGGGTCTGGGTATGGAGGTGGGTCTCCACTAGGTATGGAATAGCGAGGTGCAGTGAGCCTGTTGAGAGTGGCAGAGGTGTAGGGCAGCTGAATTTTCTTGTCAGCTGAGGCGGACGATGAAGATGAGGTGACCCTGAGAGTGGCAGAGCTGCCAGGTCCCTGGAGTGTATACACATTCTGATTGCAGACAAGGCGTGTTCGAGGACGACATACTTCTTCCACATTCCCACTGCTGTCAAAGGTTGTTATCCTCTCATAACCCAGTGGTGTGGGATACTGAGCCTGTGGCTGACCTGAAGGATAAAGTTGGAACTCTCCCTTCTTAAGACAAAGGTCACCAGGGGGAGGAGTTCCACTTGTGCCTGTTCCAGATGAGGTGCCGATAGCTGCAGTGGAGGCTGATGCTGATGCAGCAGCTGCTGCTGCAGCAGCTACAGCAGCAGCCACAGTTCCAGGGTAAGGGGGCGGTGGGTTCATCTTACTGAGCTCCAGAGCAGCACTGAACACAACTGTATCACCATCAGCTAGCTGTGGAGTTGACCGAGTAGTTTTGATCTTCAGTAGGTGCTCATGTTCGCCTCCAACTGTTCTATCAACTACTAAATCATCAGGAGGATGAGGAATTTGGATCTGCAGTGCCCCTGGCTGCAGCTGGTGCAGTGCTGCACCTGAAGGCTGGCCTGAAGACATCGAGGACACTGGGATTTGAATTTGAAGCTGCTGCTGAAGCTGGTGGTGGTGCTGCTGTTGTTGCATCTGCTGCTGCTGATGGATGTGTTGCTGTATTTGTTGCTGTTGCTGCAGCTGCTGCTGAATTTGTTGGTGCTGTTGCTGGAGCTGTTGCATCTGTATGTGCTGCTGGATGTGTTGCTGATGTTGCTGCTGTATGTGTTGGAGCTGCTGCTGAATATGCTGCTGTTGTTGTAAGTGTTGGTGCTGGAGCATCTGCTGCTGCTGCTGCTGGAGCTGCTGCTGCTGGAGCTGATGTTGCTGCTGATGCTGCTGCTGGAGCTGATGTTGCTGCTGATGCTGCTGCTGGAGCTGCTGCTGCTGGAGCTGATGTTGTTGCTGATGTTGCTGCTGGAGCTGCTGCTGCTGGAGCTGATGTTGCTGCTGGAGCTGCTGCTGCTGCTGCTGTTGGAGCTGAATTTGTTGGTGGTGTTGCAAAAGCTGTTGTTGCTGCTGCTGCTGTTGTTGACTTGATTGCTGTTGTTGTGGTGGATGATGAGACGATGGAGGTCCAACCATTAGACGACCTACTTCCAGTCCTCCAAAAATGACCTGACCGGGACTAGAGTACCTGGTGGGTACCGTGTACTGGGCTGTCAAGACAGTATCCTGGTTTTGGTCTGACCCACTGCCAGATGCTCCAGCAGGGGTGGATGTGGGATTGCTCAGCACATCCAGCTGAACATTCTGATTGGCTAGGAGTGATTGGACCAGACCAATGCTTTGAGCTGGGGACATAGCCTGAGCAGGACTATGAATGGGGGCAATAGGGATGTTCACAGTGCAGGGGGGATTGTCATCAGCACCACCTGCAGGGCCTGTGACAGGAAGGTCATCTTCATCCTCACTGAAAACATTGGGACTGAAAACAGGCAGGTTGATGTAGTCCATAGAGATCTTGCGAACTTCTGGCAAGTAGATGGTCATCTGCCTGGGCTGAAGATGAAGGAGGCTTGTCTTATAGATAACTATGAGGAGTACAGAAGTAGTTCAATTAGGTTCAAATAAAAATACCCATAGTGGATGAGCATAACTAGAGCAAAATCTACAACAAGTGAGGTTGTTGGCAGCTTACCTGCACCAAGATTGGTTGGTAAGAAATTTGCCAGCCCCACAATCTTGAATTTTGTTCCCCAAATATTGGATGTCACCTGAGCAAGGTAATTTTGCTGCAACACAACACAAGAAATGCTGCTAATTACAGAGTACAAAAAACAAAAACAAATGTACAGTCAGGTACATCTAAAACATACTTTACGTGAAATATTTATGACAAAGGGGGAATGAAAACAATCCATTATCTGTAACTGCCTGATCGAAGTCAGGGTCAGGAGACTATCCCACCTGGTGCTGATAGTGTCCATCCCGCAGAGTGAACGAACGTCCCCCTTAGGATTCTAACCAGCCCCCCTCCCTTGTTGTAAAGTGACAGTGCATACCAGAAGCATTGTCATTCCAAACAATTATTTTTCATTTACCTGATTGATGTCATCCAGTTGAAACTCTCTCCGGGATAGACTGGGTGACCCAATTGAGGGTTTCCGTATGGGTAACCGTGGCGACCTAGAGATGTCTTGCGTAGCCCGGGATAGTTTAGGTGATTTTCTGGGGTCAATATTAATCCTGTTGGTAAAGGGACAAACTAAGTCTCTACAGAGAAGGTAGCAAATAAAAAAAGAAGGTTTAGGCATGCAGCAAAACAAACAACAACAAAAAACTAATAAACAAAACAAAAGACATTTGGCTTTACAATAAAATTGTTCACATGAAACTGAAAAGTGCTAATAATGCATCCTGCCATAATCTTTACACATTGTGGCAGGATGCAGCGATCAGCAGCAAGATTCAGGGATCTCACAACAGACCAAGGACTGAAAAAATAGTCATGTGATTCAATATCACATGCTCATATATTGTGACATCAAATAAGATGAAGGTGTAAAATTCCTGGAGACAATTTTCAGGCAACCTTCATTGGAGATGCTTTTATTCACTTCAGGGTTTGATTAGCTTTTTCGTTCGGATTGGTGCTGTCTAAAAGTAATCTGAAAAAAATGTGTGACTTGGTTTATTTACTTGCTTTCTAACTTCAATACTTTTGAAAGAAACTAAGGAGGATTTTCATAATAAAAAGGTTGCAATCAAAAGTTCTGACAGTCATACAAATGAAGCTTTATTGACAGATTATTGATTGTGACATGGCATGATGTTCATGCTGTGTTAGAAGAATAGTTAGTTACCTTGGGAGTTTGGGAGATTTGCTTCCTCTTGATATCTTTGGAGACTTCTTACCAACCCAATCATCACTCAGTTCGATGTCACTGGAGTCTGAGCAATTGCAGCTGTCAATCATTGCCGATATCAGACTGTTGCCATAAATCTCATCTGAGGAAACAAAACACCGTCATTTAAAAAGAATGAAGTGAGATTTCAGTCAATAATTCCACAATAATAATAATATGCATGTTTGGTTAATCTTTCGTTAAAAGCTATAAAGCCAACTTCCTTCCTCGTTACGATTTCTGCAAAAATGCTTTTTCATATAAAGGGAAAGACGAAGACACATATATGACAAATATACAGTCAAAGCCAGTGTCTCAGTGGGGATAATTCCTCTTTTCTTTTGTCAAGAAAAAATGCGTCTCCAGTTTTGGTCAAGCTAATTTATTTGACACATATTAAAGTGCGAATAGGCAAGAACTATTTCATGGTTGACTTCATTCATCACTGTATAGGAAGAAATAGGGTTGATTTATGAGGAGACCTGGGGCAATCAGAGCTCCCATTAAGCAGACTTTAATTAATGTGGACTCAGTCTGCCTTCTGCAAGTTAACCACTCTCTGTGAGCCAAGGCAAGAAATCCAGAAAATTACTGAAGGATGTCAGAAATGTTTCTAAATGGAATTCATCTAACCTTTCTGTTACAAACAAATATGATTAAATCAGGACAGACCACAGAGCTAATTAAATTGAGGCGTTATCATTTTTTAAGGAGTGAGCTCAACATTTCCTGTATTTTGTTGGGATTTTGTGCTGTCTTTTGTTATTCACATGCAGTGGCGGTCCTGCCTTGTTTTACACCCACCTCCATCCATGCCCCATATGATAACATGAATGGAAATTAGCTGAAATGAAACATTTTCTTTGTGCGATGATGCGCTCTTGGAAACTTTTTTTCCCCTCTAATAAGCGGTGATCCCTTTCACAGATTGCACCCTGGGCGCTTTCCCACTTTGTCCATAGCAAAAACCACTTTTGTTCACATGAATAAACTCAGTCCCACCTGTTTTCCCATCTGTCTTTGGGTCCATTATGACAAACTCTGGGCGCAGCTTGCTGATTCTTCGGCCTTTCAGGATTGGAACCAGACCACCCAAGTACTCCAGATACAGAGTATAGCATGGCCCTCCCACCTCAGGGTTATCCTCCGTTCGTTTCATGGTGCAGTGCAGACGTTCATTCCCAGAAGTCGGGTAGCTCACAAAATCCCGCATGTTGTTGGGATCGGGGATGGGTGGCTGGAAATCATAAGAGGTTTACTAACTAGCCATATCAATGCAACGACCATTAACCTCACAATGTTTTTTTGTTAAATCTGTTTTTCTGCGCTACACATAAGGTGAATTTCAATTCAAATTATTTTGTCTTCACATCATCTGTAAAAGTGTTCGATCTGGGAAAGTCGCTGTTAATTTACAAAATGGCATCATACTATGCTTTCAATGGATTTTAAAAGGGTTGAATCCTTCCGCCTCATGTTACCTTGATGGTGGGGACAAAAGCAGTTGTGACGAAAGAACACAGACGGGAAGGCATTGTGAGCTTGGCAACGTCTTTTTCCTCCTTTACTGCTGTGGCGATGCCCTGCTGGCAGAGTAGCTGCAGCGTTGCGACACGGTGCTCTACACGCACCACGTAGAGAGCCGGCCCTGATGCCAAGAACAGGCGAGAGTCCCGGTGACCCCAGCAGAGCGTGGTGATGGGACGCTGAAGTGTGAAGGATAAGATATGCCGTGAGGAACACATTCTCATATAAACTTAATGTCAGGCATCAGAGAGGGGTGAATGTTAAGACTTTTAACTTTAATGGGTGTGATAAAAATGTTTAAATCTTTGATGAAGCTTAGCTGGAATGTGGAATTCATTTTGACCAAGAAATTAAATTAAAGTTATATTTTGAATCTTTGCAAATTTGACAATCTTAAATATAAATAAAAGTGCCAACAGAAAGTTTCAAATGTGACTCACATCAGTATAAATACTTTGCAGCTTCTATTTAGTTTCAAATGAGTCACTCAGTTACTTCACCAGTTTTGCTGGTTAAAAGACAAAAGCTTTAACTATTCAATATGGGAAATAAAGTCACTTGCCAATTTGAATGGCTTTATGACGCACAATGTGACATAAATTAAGTAATTCTTGTTTCAACAGCTGCAGTTCATCACCTGGGCAGGAGTGTCTAGAGTGTAGATGTGTTCTCCCCGAACATTGTAGAACTTAACGATGGCATTTCTGGTGGGGGGAGGGCAGGGGTTGTCAGGGGAGATGATTGTTCTCTCCATTCCTGCTACTACCAGGAGATCTCCCTGTGAGCACCATTGGACCACAACATCTGCAGCAAACAGTAGGAAAGGTTATGCTGTTATGTTAAGTTCCTAGACACATACTTTGTACAGAGCTAAACGAAAATGGTAAGCTATCGCACACTCAAAAAATGCTGGCTAATTAATGTGAATAAGATGAGTCCCACATACCTTTTAAACCAGTGCAGATGAGAGTGGGTGAAAGGTCATCGTAATTGTTCATCAGGCTGATGTCCCCAGAGGTAAAGCTGACTGTCAGCAGCGGTTTTTGGGTGTACACTAAAAACAAAAGAACATAACAAGCATCTTAGGCAAGCACTGTGAGAGTTACAAAGGGAATAAACTGTCAACAGAAGTGCCTCTGAACAAATCATCCATCATCATGTGGAATACTGTTCTGAGACTTGGAGCTTGTCATCTGGAAATCACTACATTGATTTCCTGAAATACAGGAGTCAGAAGTGATTTGCTGGAGGCAGATATTGGTACGAATCAGAGAGGAACTACACACATCAATGTATCAGTGGATGCTGCAGCCATTGCTTAAAACAGTCACACCCTTGAACATGCATAGTCTTTAGAAATTCACACAGGTGACCAACAGAACCTGGACATTTATGTTAGGGTATGGTTGAGAATTGGCCAGGGACAATTGCAGATCAGTCTATATTCTATAAATATAAGGTATCAAGAGTTACAAATAATTTGACTCAAATAACTTCTATGTTATAAATAATAAAGACAGATTGACATAACCATCCATTTTCCATTTCATTTAGTCTTGCAACAGCCCTAATAACATTCACATTAACATAACAACCCACCTCTAATATAATAACAGGCTTTTAAAATTATTTTTACATTGAATCAGATATATTGAACTGTTGTAAAAGCAGTGCGTTTGTCCATGTGGTGCAATGATAATGGTTTATTATCATATCATAAATACAAGACATCTGGCAGCTGGAGGATGAGGTGGCACAGTGTCTCAGTCAGGTTGTCAACTTGAGAGATAATTGCTATAAGGGGTTAATCAATTCCTATTGACTGGTTTCATTAGTGTGTTAGAGCATAATCAGTCATTCAGCAAAGGCAAGCACTTTTTAGCTTCACCACTTGGCCTGTGGTGAAGAGAGGAAGACAAAACAGCATAGCAGGAAGAGGACAGTCCCTAACACATACAGGCTAAGTACCTGCCAGAAAATGAGCTGAAAATTAAAAGAATGCAAAGAGGTACTATTCAAGTTAGCCTTCCTTTGTTAATCAACAAAAAATGTGTAAACCCTATATCTATTTTTTTAAGTCAAGTTTTGCAAAGAATGGATGAAACGTAAGGTGCAGTCTGGAGTTAAAAAGTAAAAACAGGAGTTGTAAAGCTTATTTATTTTTTTGTTTGAGTTTATATATTAAGTGCATTTATCTGGGGCCAACCCGCAAGCCCTCGACCACAGGAAACTTGTTCAAGGCCTTTAGGGTTTCAACGTGTTTACAGGTCAGAGTTTCCTTTTCAAATAAATACTGAGAAGTGTACCTTGTGGTGGGGAGTAATCGTCAGAGTCTGTGTCACTCTCACTGCTGTCCTCCACCAGGAAGCTGGGATAATTCCAGGACATACTGACAATACCATCCGACTCATGCAGCAGGATGTGGGCCAGCATGCGCCCGTGGCAGTCCATCACTATGACCTGTCCATCCGCAGTACCAAACAAAACCTGCAAAAGAAGCACTGCAGTTATTAGAAAAAGAGAAAAAATGTATTAAAAAAAAAAAAAAAAAAAGCTCAGTGATTGACAGATTAAAGGGTAAAGGGCATTAAACATTACAGAAAAACAGATGACAAAGAAAATAAAAGCCAAAATATGTCCTAAACAAAAAAAATCAAACTATATAAATGGCCTGAAGACAAAAACAAGGACAACTACGAACAGTTAACTCGACCAGACAATTTGACAGCATGAAAGCAAAAACACAGCCACACTAAACCAAAACAGATTCAAAACAGTGAAAGCTTGTTGTCATCCACAAATAATCTCCCAGAGCAAGAGTCTGCCATCTGAATGTCAAGACTACATACTCGAGTTGGCAGATGACAACCTAAAATTTCAACATGCATTTGGCATACAGCCAGGGGTACATGTATATTTCCGACTCCAGTCATTTTAGCAAAATCAGATAATGGTCGTGGCAGTGCAATTGGAGCCAATTGCTGTCCTATAGGCTCTTTTTACATGACACGTGGTCAGGCAGTAACAAAATGTCCTCATTTGTCCCTTCTCATACTTTCAGGCGGCTCCTTGTCCTCACAACCATCGACTGAAGTCAGTTGAATGATTTGTCCCTTTATTGGGATCAAGTACTGCTCATTTCTGCTTGCAGCAGTTCCAGGCTGTGTGTTCTAACAAATTCCTGATTTTATAACCCCAGCAACATGTAACAAAATCATCATTCAAGTTCACTTCAAACCTATTCCAAAAAAGATACATGCATACTGGGAGGAAGCCAAACAACGTTCATGTCTAAGTCCAGAAATGAAAACAATCAAATGAGGACCAATTATTGTTTATGTGTAGGGAAAATTGAACATGTTGGATGGGAATGTTACCTGCTGGTCATCGGGGGTCCAGATACCACAGGTAATCTGGCTCTCCAGGTTAATCTCAGACGACCAGTGTCGCTGCCCACTGACGGAGCCCACCAGGACAAAGCCATCACGATACGAGATGAGAGCTTGGGTGCCATCATGTGACCAGGTAAAGTCACTCACCTTCAAGAGTCAACAAATATATTTAAAAATAGAATAAGAAAACAAAAAAGACATTAAATCTGTTTGGCTATTCCGTTTACTGTTTAATAAAACACATATTGACTGTTGGAACATGCACTAAAGAAATTACTCAGTCTTATGATAAAAAAGAAAGAAAAGAGAAGCACTGGTTTGAAAAGGATAACAAAATTTAAGAGATGCCAAAGAAGCTATTTTAGGCCATATAAAAGCCAAACCTTTATAGTATTTAGGATTGGCTAAATTGATCATTAAAGATACGACTGGGTCCGAATGCATCAGACTCAGCTAAGTAAAGGACAGCAATAGAAAGAACACCGTTTTGTCACCATTTCTGCTTAGAAAATACTTAATCAGCATTTATACTGTGGCATCATTATCACCATTTTCATGGTGAAATGTTTGCAAATTACAAATGTCTAAATGTTCACTTTTAGCGTTGTCTTTTATGATTCCATGAACACTTCATGTTGAAGTTCTACAATTCTTAACATACATTTAAAATATATTTTTTTCCTACAGTCACAGATATCCTTTGCATTAACTTGGTGTCTCTTACCTGAGCTCCACGGTCATTGACCAGCTCCACTGACCAGCGTCCCTCATACTGAATCCAAACAAAAATCCCCCCATCTGTGTCACATGTAGCCAGTTTCTGGAAGGGCTCATTCCACCGTACCAACACCACCTTTAAGGGAAAGGGATCAACATTTAGACAGAATGCTGCATGTCCTTTGAACTTAGTCCTCAAAGATGTCCGGTATTGTGTGTCAATACTGTGTTATGCACCCATTTATGAGAACCTTGATCAAGACACTTCTGAAATTCAATGTTCATGCATTTCTATACGCTAAAATTAGCATCATGTTAAGATTGAAATAGAAAAAGTGGGTTAACCTAATTTTGAGGAGTTTAAAAAATAATCTTCTAAACATTCCAAAGGCATATTTATTTATACTGCCACTAATCAGTTCCACACATTAATGACATCGTCATGCGACCAACTGATACATGAAAATCCATGCAGACATTTTTTATTCAAAGCTGGCCATCCACTCAGGTGTGTAACCTGTACCAGGTGACTGAAGGGTGGTTTGGTTTCTGTATTTAATCGAACTGATAACACAGAGGGCTAATCAAAGGTCTCAGATGCAAAATAGAAAACATTGCAGATTAAACTGTTAACAACAATTTCATTATTGTATTGGCACTTATTTCCATCCCCGTCTCAGTGGCCTCCTCCCTGTCTGGCTTTCTGTAGCGTGACTCAACCCGTCCCTGGAGGAATAATCCTAAAAAGAGAGCAGCTCTGCTCTCACTGAGTGAAGCACGTGGGCTTTACATGCTTAAAGTCACAACACAGGACAGGATTTAAGTGTTCTGAGTGTAGGATACTAAAAGCCTGAGCTTAAGCTCCCTGACTGCAACACAACAGGTTGGTCACTGCGTGCTGCATGATCTAAGCAGACTCTTCCAAAAAAAAAAACCCTCACCTTTTAGCAACCCACAAGAACACGTCACTGAGACATAAGCCGTATAACAACAGATCAAGACATCTTGCTTATCTATGAACCACACTAACATAAGGGTTTCAATTACAAATTTGTTGACTTAATTTCAAGAAACCAATTGTTATCAACAAGAGCACAGTTATACTAGCAATGGTTTCAGTTTCCCCACAATGTCAGAGGAAAATAAAGAAAAATATCTTCCTTTCAAACATAAATACATCATTCTCCTGATCCCACAACTTCTATCTGCAAGATCATTCTAAGAACATATTTCTGCAAGGTTTAAGAATTAAATACCTGCATAGACCATGTAAATCTAGATAAAATTAGACAGTGATTTAAAATTAAAAGGAACAAGAGTCCAAACATACAAACTTCTAAAAGATGATACGTTTATTCCTGATAACTTCTGACAAGAAACTAAATTTTAATTTGACCTGCATAAGACAAATAAAAGGCACAATCTAAAGCACTTCTGTATCATCCTGAACTGCCCATGATCATCAAAAACAACATGGCATCTATCATTCCATCCTTCAGACACCACATTCCCTCTTTAACGATGCCCTCAGTGTGCAAAGCTAACAAACTTCTGCAGTGTTGTCACACACAAAACACTTGCATAGATAAGGAAAACTAATCTATCTACTCCATTCATTTATGCACCGTTTGTAAAATCTCATACCTAAATGGATTTCCCGGATGGCATAATATTCCAACTACAGGGTGTTTTAAGTTTAACCGTTATCGACACTGAACATTCACTAACAATGCAAAAAAAAAAAAAAATAGCATAAAATAAATCAGCATACGGTTTACACACGCTCTGCATCACGTGGATGCACACTTCACTGCAGTCTCACATAGGTGAGAATAAACTGTGTATGTCTGTAAAATTAGCTCAGTGTGGAGATTAGAGTGAGCTTGTGAGGCTTCTCACGGGGGACGGGGGGGGGGCACCTCGCTGTGACGCCGTGTTCAGGGAGATCAGACATCACATGGAGACAGACAGGATAAGGAGGAGAAGCCACAGGACAAAAAGGAGCCACGGGGATCACAGAAAAGACCATTTAATTCACACAAACAAATACAGAGTTAATCTGACACACAGAAGTCAGACATTTTGTTCAGTCTTATGTGTTTCACAGTGAAACGGCGAGTGATCAACAAACCAAACCAGCAAATGTTAAAAGAAGACTTGTTTTTACAGGTTGGAACATGGAAAGCTGGGCCTGCAGACATGTGCACACCATCAGTCTGCAGGAGGCCTCATGCACGCACGTAAATGTTAGCATTTACATCAGACAGACCTCACTGGGAGTATCAGTGTCTGTGCAGCTCTTTCTGTATTTGACCAAAAGTTCACTTATACAATTGAAGAGAAGCACTTCAATCACTGTAGATTCAGTCATAAAATGCAGGAAAACAGAAACGTGCCTTCATGAATATGAGTAATTACACTGAATTACACTGCACTGACAGCTGAATTGATTCAAACGTGACTGTTCCATCACAAAAACATTGCAGAGGTAATGATTTACAAAGCAACTAGTCACCAAACAGAGGGTGTTCAGACGTGTTTGCTCCTGGGTTCTGTGTGTTACAGATGGCCCACCACAGCTGCTGCTTGCACAAATGTGCTGTTTATGTTGTGACTAACGCACACCATTTTAGGGACTGTAAACGAGCTGACCCTAACAATTTAACTGAGAAGACCAAATCCAATCAAATCACGGGGCACTTTTGGGTTATGTTTAACAGTGAGGACTCTTCAGTGTGGGTGATGGTGACAAATCAATGACCGGGTTTGTCGCAGACACAGGACTTAAGCACATCCTTCAATAAAGATGAAGCAAACATTAACCTCTGAAAAGATCAACCAAAGAACGTTGAATAGAGGTCAATCCACCGAGAAAATAATTCTTCCCTTTCCTTACCCAACCCCAATGCCTCCTCTGATCTGGATCTGACAAGATATAAATCAGACACAGAACTCTATTAAAGAAAAACGCTGTGCTGTTACAAAGGCAAGGAAGTGTAAATGAGCAAAGCAGGTCAGGAATTACTTTTAGTGTGACAGAGGGGTAATGGGACAGGACCTTCAGGAGAAGTGCATTCTGAGATGTTTATGCATAGGTCTAGTATGTTTTAAAACCTCAATTGTGAGTGTGCAGCTGAATTGTAATGGGTGGCTAAATAGTAATAATCAGTGTGATGATGATGCTCTGAAATTAATTCAGGCAAACAATTAAATAGGAATGCTACTGAGAGTATGGGTGATGAACATTGACTTTACATAATATTCTTTCTAAACTGTCATGAAAATAATATTTTAAGAAAAACAGACTGCTCACATTGTCTCAGTTTTAGCAACAGTTTGCACTTTGAGAAAGTACAATATTATCAAAAAAACCACCAGGTTAGAAACAGTTAATCAATTTGCCACTACAAAAATCTGAGACGTTCAGACTAAAGCACCAAGGAAAAAAATGAAGATGTTTTCTGGTAACATAAGCTTCAAGTTAGACGTGGTCCAGCATTGGGGTTTGGTTTCTTTAGCTGAATAGTAGCCTACCTGATGGTTAAGCTGCAAACAAAAAGATATTGTGTTGGAAATTAAAACTTTGCTAGCTAAGTATTTTCTTTTGTGATCTGAGATTGCTCTGCTGAATACTTCTTGAAAGAGTAATAATGTGGGAATAACTAAGTACTATAGAACCTGAAAGAGGGGAAACGGAGATCAACTTCAATAGAGGTGTAAATGAATGGAAGAAAAAAGATCTGCTGTTGTGTCTGTTATTTTTACCCAAAGAATGTCACAAACACTACTGAAGACCTTCAGAAATCCTGCCAGGTATTGAAAAATGGGCATAATGCGACATTAAAGTTACTAATGTCTGAATGTCAGCGTAAACAAACTGATGAGGCCATTGCTGTTATGTATGTCTGAAAAAAGCTTTTGTGGAAGGCAACAGTTATGAAGAACTTGGATAATGAGGGATCGTTATGTTTACCTAATATGTTTAATGACTATTCTTTAATAAAGCAGTAAAGATCACTGAGTGAAACAGCAAAACTGGAAAGAGTACAAGTCAACTCACCTCTGAACTAAGAGACATTACATAACATACACAGCGGAGATTTTTTCCTTTCCTTTTATATTTTCAAAGCCATTTGTTTTGTGGGATAGAATGAGGCGCTTTTATCCTGCAAAAATCACATCTCTAAAACAGAATGAACCCAAGTGTTCAGATAAATCTGTCTGATCTCTGCCAACAACATAAAAAACTGCCATCTAGAGGGTACACAGTTCCTCCTGGAGAAGTCTGAGTGAGCAAATAAGTACACCTAAGCAGCACCTGAGGTAGCAGCTGAGGCAAAGCATTACGCAACATGCCCTCTCCAAGGATGGATTACTGTGGTAAAGCCATTTCCAATAAGCACATTTAGTGCTACCATTATACTGCAGTGAAGAGGTCATATACTACTGAAACCTTAGCAGGCTGTCCTGTCACGAGATCACAGCAGAATAAGCTAAACGCATAATTAAGTAACAAGAGAAGGGGTAGAAGAAGGGTAGTGACTATCACAGATTAAGAAAGAAGTTGGATGACAATGGAAAGCTGTGATGAACAGGAAACGGCCAATTAGACACAAGATCAAGAAACACAGCCAATGATTTAGACTTCAGGTTATGTGGAACACTGGGTAACAGCCTTACATTTATTGGCTGCATTGAGAGAAAAAAGGATTTCTCTTGCTTTGCAATCCATATTGTCCCCTATAAGTGTTAACAGGTTAATAAGCAGAATCCCATCAAAATTGTTTACCCTGGGGTAACCGTGCCCCACTTTTCAGTCAATTTCAAAGAGTTGTGTGTACCATGACTATTGTTAGTGCATGCCCAAGGACTGACCAGAGAGTCTGATTTATTTATGATGCTTCACCAAAAAACAGCCAACTGGAAAACATCCCACAGCTTGAATGAAAAATGAAGGACAAACAAACATTGAGTTTTGTTCATTTATAAATTATTTGTGCCTATTGATCCAATAACAATATGTAAATTTAATAGAAAGGTTTATGATTTCCTTAAACATTTTGATAAAAGGTTCAGATTAGAGAAAAAAATAAAATAAAAATTTCATCAATATGTAGTCCATAAAAGTCAAAGATACAAAACATAACTAAAAGCTAAAAAATAAAATGATCTCATGCCCTGGGGTTACTTATCCCTGTTTAATTAGGGCCTTATTTGTCTCTCTCTGTTGAAGAGAATAGCCTGGATCTGGCCTCGAGGGAAAGTGAGAAGGTGGAACTCCTCCCTTTGGGTAAGATTCATCTAAAGGTCTCCTGTGAATGTGAGGTAGGTGTGCATGTTTTTGTTTTTAACTTATAAAATGAAATAAAAAATACTTATGAGGATGTGGAATTAGGGTCTCTGCTCTGAATGACAATTCTCTAGATTTAGCTGAACCTCAGAAGACATGATTGAGTCTGCACAGGGTTGCTTGGATACCTGTCATCTCAAATCAAAGCCCAGCTAACAAATCTCATGTTTTTGCTCATATTTTATTCTACAAGTTAGATTCTGAAAAGGAGCAGAGCATAATTGCATTTAGTCTCTAAATGCCATCTTGGTCTCTGACGATAACAACACAATGCTTGGCACAAGATAATGATCTATGGTACAGATAACACTGATGAGGTCTGGTCCGTCTTATTATAAATTTTGGACAGTCACTGTTTTATAGCAATTAACTTTTGTCCCTCACTAAAAGCACAATTTCATTCACTGTTCAATTCAACGTCATTTCCATCAGCCAAGATGATGGAAATTAAGCTTTTGGCCAGTAAGATCTGTCAAAATAAAGTTCTAACAAGGTTTCAGTGAACCTACAGAGGGATCATTAACAGCACTGCCCTCTTCTTTAATTAACGAGTTGCTGAGTCATTTACAGTGATAACAAACATTAACCCCTGACAATGTTACCTTATGCCTCTATGCTCTTTTGGAATATTATGGGTAAAATACTCATTAAAAAAAATCTAATATTACAAAATAGGAAGTCTCAAGCCAGGATCTAAATTCAAATAATAGCCAATGACCAACAAATGGACTAAAGAAAGCATTGATCAATATTCAACCAGTATTCTTATGTACAGTATCAATAGCAGAAAACAAAACAAATCAACTTAAAACTAAATATTAAACATTTGAAACGTTTAAAACAAACAACGCACATTTTCAATTCGATTTCAACTAAATTGGATTAAATCATAATCAATGTAATCTGAGGGCTTTTTGTCTGTCTAATCCAAACTATTTGGTCTGAGCCGACACAAACGCATGATACCATAATACAACATATCTCACCGCCTGCAGAAGACAAGTTACTTGCATACAGTTTTCCCTATTTTCACTGACATTCACCATCAAGCCTTCCTTAGAATGTAAATTTACAAAGAGACACGAGTAAAACTGGCTGCTTCTGACTGGCTGCCTGTTTTGTTCAGCATCTGGACACACTGTTAAAAGGAAAAAATAAAAATACCACATTGTCAAAAAAATCCTTGATCTATTTTGATACATCTCCCAGAGGGATTATTTTTGCAGCACCGTAATAAAGTGAGATGTAGAACGTTGCACTTCTATCTATTTTCAGTTTAATTTCAGAGCAGAGACTATTTAAATAACTAAAAATAAAACTATAAAAATAGAGCTAGAGCACAGGGGCGAAATCTTTGCTTCCGCATTTTTTTTTTGGATGTCTTGTTGATACATTTTAGCAATACAAATAACTCTGACAATACTGTAATTGTCAGACATGCATAGTAATTAAACACTAATTATTTTTTGTGGTACAACTAGCACTATCAATTAAAAAAAAAGGCAGCCTACCGGTAATCATAATAACTTTAAAACTGTCTACACTTGCTTTTAGAAATTATGTTGGCAGCTTGTCTTAAACTGGATGGAATCACCTGCTAACTGTGTGCAGACAGAGGTTCTGCCCAAGCAATCAAGCCAGTTAAATGTGGTGTGATTTAACCCACAATCACTTTGTATGAACCTTTTTTAATATTTCCCTCTGCATTTCCTATTTGAGTGAAATATTTGGACAGAAAACATTCCTGATGGCTGCCGTTTTCAATCACGACATACCAAACCTTGCTCTTATGCAGAGTTTGTTTGAGTAAAAACCCTGTTCTTAGCTGGCCACTGTAACAAGGGGCTTACGGTGACCATAAACTTTTTGTAATCTTGCTTATTAATCATGCTGCCATCTTGCAATGATCATATTCCTCGTGTTCTGTGGACATTTCTCATTCATTCTCTAAATGATTTCTGTATTTGAAATTGAACTACTCTTTTCAGTAGGAAAACCATTTATCTTACTACATTTTTTTGTAAGGTAGACAATGTTATAAATATAACTGAAAAGCAAAGGTCCAACTCTGAGAGCCCACCAAGAGAAGGGCCAATGTGACCTATGTAACAATGTGAAATGAAAGTTTGTCCTCCACTTGTGAACAGAGCAAGGACAAAATGGCATAGCTGGTTGATAGCAGTGCAATGTTTTCCAATCCCACCACACTGACAGTCATAAAATATTATATCTTTATTAAAAAAAGAGCTGGTAAATCATCGTGACCTTAGCAAAAAATATTTTCATCAGGTTAAAATCATTGAGTAAATCGTAATTTTGCATTAAAAATACTACTGAAAGTACATTTTGCTCTATTAGATTAATAATTTCTGTATCAATACAAAAAAGGCAAGAAATTTCAACATTCAGAATCAGTACTTGGACCATGTACAAGTTGGCAGAGTTAAATGACATTTGTGCTGCGCTTCAGTCACTCCGAGCAGGGATTCATCCACTCTCCCCTCAGCTGCCTTGTGGAATGCTGACACAGCACCTTGCTCCATCTGACCAACAAGCTACCCCGACTAAAACAGAAAACACAACCTGTGTGCAGTTCTGTTTAGGCCAGCCCTGTCGTATCCAGACAGCAGCACTCAGTTCTCTTCATAGCAAACATGAGACCGAGAGTTAGTTATCTGATTTTTATTATTAAACTCGATGGCCTCAGTGCACTTGTGGTGAGAAACCTTGGAGGCTTTAACCACAGTAAGAGATAAGAGCAATGCTGGGGAATGGAGTGCTGCAATGTTTTGACTGGGAGCAGCAGGGAGATCTGATGTAAGAGTGTCAAAACATGAGCCACTGAGGATATAGAAGCTTTGCCTCCAACCACAACCAAAACATTTATGAACTGATAACTCCCTTTCTGGTTACATAAAATCAACTTCTGTACAGAAATTGCCAAATATATTTGTGTTTGACAAACAAGTGGAACAAATTTCACCTGCAAACTCCCTCTCTTAATATGGCTAAGCAGCCTGTCTGAAAGGGATTAATTATTTCTTATTTATAAAGACAGGTTTAGGAGAACCTGATGTACTTTTTTTAATGGTATGATGATATGACTAAGAGACTAAATAAAAAGTACAATGTGACATAGTAAAATCAGACTTATCAGATAAATTGCGTTACTATTTTTTATTAATTCAATCTAGCTGATATGTGGAGAGGAAGTAAAAACAGACTTGAGTAAATGCAAAGGTCATGCACGCTCAACAAACAAAAAGAAACATACCAGCCTTGAAGGAATGTCTTTCTTTTAAGATAAAATTATTTTTCATAAGAATCACAGTCAAAAGAGTAAAGACTCAACAGGGGCATAATTCCTTCTTAGGGTAAGGTAAGCCATTACAATGCAGATCATGACACAAAGGAATCATGTTTTCTACAGTTCCTTTGCAAGACAAAGAAATTAAATGTTTCAATTAAACGATTTTACAATCAAAACAAGCTTACCTCACTATTGTGTCCTCTGAGATTGAAGTTTACTCTCTGTAGGGTGGATCTGTCCCGTCTGCAGTGGCTGGATGTGAACGTGACCCCAACCACTCCCCGACCATTCCCGGTAGCGAGCCAGCCCTCCTCATAATAACGCTTTCTGCAGACTGGTTTCTCCTTCTCACTTTTGGGGACTCTACCTTTCCAGGACAGGCACAGGATGTTGGAGTCGCTACAGAGCACGGGGCCATGCTCCACGGCTGCAAACATCCCTGCAGCGTTCTACACCACCTGAACAAAAAACTATCCAGAGGGAGGTTCTTTGTAGGGGTTTCAGTGCGGCTATGAACGCTCCGCCTTATCCAAGGTGAATAATACTGTGTCAGATGTGAGAGAGCGACATTGGTGCATAGTACTTTTGCTTGGCTATCAGGGTTATCTGGAACAGTGATTACAGGTGAGCAATGGAAATTTCTTTTAAAAAAAAAAAACTAACAAAAAGAAATGATGTTACTAAACTGCTGACTTTAGCATTGCTGGATTAATGATGTAATTAAGCCGGAAGGGCTGCCAAAACAAAAGGCACTCAAGTCATTGTAATGTATTTGATCAGTGAGCTGCCTTGTTGATGCAGTTTTTGTAACAAGGCAACAATGAAAGCACAGTTTAAAAAAAAAAAATTAGAAATTTCCTGTGACGACTTCAAGAATCATTTGAGCAGTGGAGCAAAAATAAAAATCCAAAGAAAGGTTTGCCTCATAAACTCAAAAACAGTCAGTCAATGTGCACCTTCCACCAAAAACCCTAGTGCTTCCAGTTACTGTGAGTAACGTTTTACTCCAATCAGTGTTCCATTTCTATGTTGCTTGTCCTCCTCATTTGTTCCTGGTAGTGTGCGTGAGAAGAGGAGCAGGGACTCCTCTCCATCAGCTGTCAGCCCTAAGGAGATCTGCTTCTCCCTGTAATGTCATCACCTCAGCCAGTCTGCCTCGTCAAGCAGCCTTGTGGATTCCAAAGAGGGCTGCTGGGTAAAATACAGTGAAAAAAGTCATTATCATACAAAAAGAACATCCCAATTTCTTACACAAATGGGCTTAAGATATCCAAGAAAACACAGAAATTAAGATTTATAACGATGTCAAGAATATAGGACCAGGAAACGAACAGAATGAAAGCGCTAAAAGCACTCACCTGCCGCCCACAGCCGTCAATTTAAATATTTATTCACTAGTCTAAAATAGTTCCCCACGTATGTTACTCTTTGGGCAAATGAGTTAGTTCGAGGACTATATTGCTCAGCGGAAGGATATTTAATAGCCTATTTTACAGGAATCATCCACGATTCCGGCTTCCGTTTAATTGGACTATAACCCTCCAATGTCTGGTAATCTTGAACCCAGACTTTTAAACTAAAAAATAATAAAAACATAATGTAAATTTAATAAAGAGGCGAGACTAACTGCATAACAGAAAAAAACAACGCGCTGATAAGACAAAAAGAAAAGACCGAGGTGAAGAGACGATGCTACAAGAATTTACACCCAAGCCGCTGTAAAAGGTTGGGTTCGACAGTTGGTTGTAGTCATTTAATTTCAAATACAAAAACTAAAAAACAAAAGAATCAGTATCCAAACCAACCCTCAAAACAGTAAATTGCACATAAGTTACGGTTTTGAAACCAGGCCATTAAGAAACACTGCCATTTGGCTGTGGCATTACCATAACAAAAACACAGGGATCGTGACATTAATGACAACTTATACTTTTTCTGGAGTCTGTGACACAATGCCGAAAACAAACACCATCCTAAATGTCCTGCTTGCTACTGCGAACTACAATCTGGATGCTGGATCCAGACAGAGAGCAGTTGGCTCCGAATACCAAAACATCTCATCCGCGGGATTAATTTTACCGGTCTAAATTTATCTGCTTTGTTTTGTAACACTAATCTAGCCTAGATGTTCGATGATAGGTCCAGATAACGTCCTAATCAAGGGGTAGTGTCCCAAAAAATACATTTTTGAAAAACCTTATTTTTTATAATCAAAAAAGAAAAACTCATAGCTGACTGGCTAACCAACCAGCTAACGGAGCAGAACCAGAGGCACCATCGGCGGAGACTGGCTCTGTCCATCCGCCGCTGGCACTCGTCGCTAACACAGCTACAGCTAGCGCGTTAGCCGCAGGTTTATTCTGGTGTTTACTTTAAATTAAGGTGTAGCTAGTCGAAATAACCGTTCTTCGGCGGCGTAATGTCCAAAGCGCCAAGACAGCACCACCCCCGTCGATAACAAAGCCGAAGACACATCAACGGTCAGTGAGGAGCTTACCTCGGCTCTGTCTGTGCTGCCGCCGCTTCCTCTGGTGCAGCCTGTGCTACTCTGACTATACACTGGCAGGGCCCGACAGCTGCTCCACGTGACGGGCACGTGACCCAGGCCAATTGAATTATTCACACCAATAATCTTAGCCAGCTAACTTTAATCCTTCACGTGCAGCAAGAAAAGTAAAAGGTTTTCATTGCCAAACAAAACTCGGTTCGTTTGTCATCACTTTTAAACCCGGCAAATGTTGAAAAGCCTGCAGAAGGTTGCTGATTTTACTGCAGGGATCAGGCAGTGGTTGAAAAAAAGTGGCTCATCCCTATAAAAAAACAATGCTTTACAAACAGACTGCACCTAATGTACACGAATATAGTCAGGGGTTGCCTGAAATACAGAAACGCAACAGGCTTAAGTGGATGTTACATTACAGTTATGTGTTATTACCATTAATGGATTTTCTTTTATAAAGGTGTTATTGTCTTGATTCTAAAATGCAGCAAGTTAGGGTTCTCAAAATGTACCTGATATGTGCCCTGTGAATAATTTAAAACTGATCAACATTAGAATTGCTAGTTTTAAACGTCTCATAATTGTCTTAAATATATTATGTCGACACACTCACACAATTTAAATCATCCATCCATTTACTGAACTAATTTCCAAATGGGGGGACTGGAGCCCATCCCAGTATTCAGTGGGTGAGAGGCAGGGCCGGTTGTTAGGCATTTAAACTTAATTCTTTTTTATTTATGATGAAGAAATGTGGACCAGCGTCAGTAGTAAATCTGTTGTACCTCACCCTCCGGTACACACGAGGGCAGTGTGAAGAGAGTAGCACATTTCCATCACCTCTGGAAAACATGGCTGCACCCTTGTCTGTCAGGCGAGAATTATTTACTTTGGCAAGGATACTGAGCCGAGTTTCACAACAAGTAAGACAATTTGTGTTTTTTTATTCTGAACAAGATGCTCAAGCCATGAAGTTAAACGATAAACGTAACTTATCGGTGTACAATATGTTGTGGTCGTCCGTGCCAGTCTGCTGTGGAACCGTGTGATATACTAATAAATACCCAATTACTTTTTTTTTCTTAGGTTCCAAGAAGTTTGACCACAGGCTTGAGTAATAGAAAATGTGGTATAACCAGGTAAGAAACATCTTTCTTGTGTGCTTCGTTTAAATCTACAGATACACATATTTTCCTGTAAAAAAAAGCATATTTAGTTATTCCTTGAGGAAGGGACGTGTGTTTTTTAATAAGTGATGACAACATCCAAAACGGGTATATAAGGATGTTTGTTACTCATTCAACATTGTGCACAGGTTTCATGTCCCTCTGACATCCAGCGCCTCCTTCCACATTGCAGCGAGGTTGTCATCAACGCCTTCATCTGTAAGTGCTCAGTGGTGTCACACTGATCAGTGATTTACCCATCATAAACAGATCTCTCACTTAAGTATGAACTTTTTAAGCCTGTTTACACTTGATATAATTAGATACTTTAAACATTTTATTCAGACGCCCAGTATGCAGATTTCTTTTGTGCATTGTTTCCCACCCAGATCACTGTCACAGAAGAGCCGGACACCCTCTTCCAGAAGGTGGTGATTTTGGTCAAAGGTCATGACAGAGCTGTGCTGGACAGCTATGAGTTCTTTGCTACCTTGGCGGCTAAAGAGCTGGGCTTAAATATCAGCAAAGTGTGAGTTTTGACAACAGTTTATTTGATTTAATTTCAGACTTAACGCAGGGGATCCTTAAAGTGTGAGGCAGCATCACCCTGGTTGGCTCAGTTTCACAGCCCAGCCAGGAGAGTGTGATTATTTCAACAACATGATTTCATTATCTTGGGTTGGCTCTGAGTGGTTTTGTTATTAAACAACATATTCTTCTTATTTGCATTCGGTATAGCAAAATTAGTTGGAAATGATGGAGTGAGTGTGGCCTTCATATTGGGAAAATGTCATCATCTGTTTCTTCTGCCATAGTTTTGAACCACCCAAGGAAATAGAGAGGCTCACACTCCTGAAGTCAGTACACATCTTTAAGAATCACAGAGTCCAGTATGAGATGAGAACACATTACCGCTGTGTTGAGGTGAGAAGCTCGAATTATTCATCCATCCATTTTCTATACCCGGAGCCTCTCCCAGGCGACAACGGGCGAGAGGCAGGGTACACCCTGGACAGGTCGCCAGTCCATCGCATGGATAGCTCAACCTAGTTCACAGGAATATTAAGCTAATAGCAAAATGTTGCAGTTTTTAATATTCACAGAAGTGAAATACTGTCACCTTGTTTTTGTAGCTGTCACACATCACAGGCAGCACAGCACAAGTATACCTTGAATACATCCAGAGGAACCTCCCTGAGGGTGTAGCCATGGAGGTGACAAAGGTACGAATAGTGCATTCGCACACACAGTCCCCACATTATGCATTCCTGCTAAACACCCAGTGCAATTTAGAGAATTCAAACTCAAATCCTTTACATTTGTTCTTCTTACTGTGTTCACATCGTCAGACTGCCATGGAGAAGGTTCCAGACCACATCCTCGAGCCCATGTGGAAGGACCAACCCAGCAATGAGTCCAGCCAGTAAAACTGTGACGTTGGCGCACATCGAATGTCTTTTCTGTTATTGTGATTTTGCATAATAGACTTAATAGATCCTCCTCAGCTACAGACCATCCTCATTGCAGATGCGACATTTGTCCTGACAGAATTGTTCTCCTTGTTCTCTTGACTGGAAATGGATCTTTTGTGGTTACGAGTAAATGAATTCTGCATTTAATATCAACTGTTCTTTTGTTTTTGCCAGAATTGTGATTAAGCTCTAAAGACACCATAGCTGGTTGATTAATTCTGGAACAATCACGAAGGACACAAAACCTGCACACTTTATTTACTTTAAGAATTTATTAAATCATTTATACACAAACACACATATACAAAGCTTCCTGTTGGGGTGAAAACAGCACAACAAACTCTCTCTTGTCAGTTGAAAACATATTACAATATATTATTATAATATTATATTCTAATTAAGTTCCCTTCCTCATCAGCAAATTTACAGAATTGACCATCAAGTCATCTTGACTATCTGTACACAATAACATTTTAAACTAGTATAAATTATATAAATATAAACAATACTTGCTCACATGCCGGAACTGTTCAAGTTTTTTAAATTCCTGTTTTTTTGGTCCAGAAGTAAAAGGTGTTCAGCTTGATCAAATACATTTTCTAAACTCAGAAACATATATTTTTCAAATCTCAACACACCTTCCAGTAGTATTCGGATAAATGAGGTGGCTCTCAGCACTGTTTGCACTATTAAAGTGTCTGTGAGCTCCAGCCTTCTTTTATCCTTCGAAAACTTTCTCTACATAAAAAGTGTCATCATTGGCTACAACCTGTCCTGCAATATGAAGCAGTTTTACTGGGGAAAGGATCTATCCACCACAAAATTACATATTAAAAGTCTTATTTTTGGGCATGTTCCTTGGACTTTGTACGCAAGAAACTCAATGTTCAAGACTTTAGAAGACCCATTTACCCCCAATTCCTCTGTGTCTTGCTGGTTCTGGTCTGACTGCTGGCTCCACCCAGCCTGAAAGAGAACATCTCCTGGTTTCAGAGAGGGATTAAGACACAAGCGGAGGCTCACCTTTTTCAAGTTATGCGTTGGGCCTCAGGTGTCACGTCGCTGGAGGAGGGGAGACGTGAGGGAGGGCCTGGGTTCCTGGGACCAGGGAGGTTTAACTGTACTGTGTGCCCCCCTTCAGGAGACAACAACTGTCAGTCTGTTACAAACAACCAAAAGTAGAAACAAGAAGGAACTGCAGAAGCTGAAGAGATAGCAACATGCACTGAAAGTGCTGCGGAGAGGCAAACTGATGGAAGAGGGGCTGAGCACTTCTTTGCTCTGCAGCATTGAATTCTCTGCACTTTTGGTGTGGCCCAGGAAGTGAAAAAGTCAAATCCTTGTTTGTGCTAGCAGTGAGCAAAAAATTAAATGAATAAAAAAATAATTTTTATGTATGTAAGGAATATTTTTTGTCTCACACGATTGCTTGTTATGTATAAAGGCCAGCCTAAGACACAGTGTAAACAGAACTGAAGATATTCACATAGTCAAACACTTGTCTTTGACTCAATGACCATACCATAATATCTCCAGTACAGCAAATACATGGCAAGAGACAAATAATTAAGATTAGAAGAAAACAAGCAGAAATTTAAAAGACTATTGCCTGAAGAAAGTTAAAATCTCTGAAGTGTATCTTCTTCAAACCCTGGTCTGATTTGAAGCCACAATAAAGCACTTGTCTCTTAGCACAGTAAAGAAATATGGCAGTCCTTGGTCATATCAGAGTGTATATCCTCTGCAGATGATGTCCTCCTTTTAGACATGCTACCACTGATGTTTTTTGTGTTTTTTTTCATTAGACACTCAGCCATGAACAATGAAATGCCTTGCAAGTGGAGCGGTGGAGTCCTCCGGTTGAATTTACTGTTCATTGGAACGCATCATCAATACAATTCATGGTTTCTTTTTTTTTGTTATCTTCAGTTAAACTTAGCCCCCAGCAAGCATGTACAACTGGACAGTGTGATCAAACGAGCATAATGTTCCACTTGGTCCCCCAGACAGCAGAAACAATTTAGATGTATTTAGTACACTGAGTATTTCAGCTCCATCTCACAACTTATTCTTTGTGTGTTACAATTATACTGTAATGACAACTCTCAAAACTGCTTGTAGAATAAACCAAAAAAAGAAGAAGTGGAGTTTATTCTTCCTTTTATTTTATTTTTCAGGACTATCTCACGTGTTGGTGGTTCTCAAAATACATTCACAAAGTCACAAAAGTGATGTTAATTACAGTGCACAAAGAGGCAACACTTGAAAAACCTAAACACAGAAAAGACCCATCTTAACTGAAGCAAATATAAAATTTAATTTACTTATATTAATAAAAAGGCTACTATATTTCTATATTGTAATTCAGTATATGACTTATTTAGAATGCCTTTTTTGTCATTGCACAGTGGCTTGCTGGAGACACACATGAATGTTCCAAACAGCAATAACCATAACTTAAAGTAGCGGCACATTTAAAATATGAGATATATTGATGAATACTTTACAAGTTCACTGTTGTCACTTAACAACTGCGCAAGTGTTTAACAATATTTGCTGCACTAGTTGGTGACATTATGCACGACTATCTTCATGTAACAAAAATGAAAAGTTAGGTTAGGTCCAGGGTTTACTTAAATAGTTAACAGGGATGCTTGAGGGCTATTGTGCACTAGTTTCCCCCTCCTCCCCCACCTACATATATGCAGTCACCCTTTTTTTTAATCACAAATAATCTACACTTATTAAGGCTAACAGGGTGACTTTAACATGAATCACACAACACTTTAAAAAAAACTTTAACATTAATTTTCCTCCCTTTCAAAACAGCGACTTAAACCTTCTTTTAACACTTTGTTTTTCAGAAAAAACTTCAAATACTTTCTGCAATACCAACAGTACTTATCAGTGACAGAATATGTGAATGCCTTAACAAATTCCAACTGATTTTATCTGCCCTCAGTTGTAACTACTCACTTTCACATCATGGCATTGCTGGCAGACAACACCGGTACCATTTGGCCACAGAGTATTTTATAGATACTCAACATACTCATGGACTGTGTTTCAACAGAAAGTTCAGGGGTGTCTCATTCACCGCGCCACTTTCAGGCTTCTTGTACTTTAACAGGTGCTCGTTTATAGTTTTTGGGGCATGCTGTGTTAAAAGCGTCGGCCACCAGGGGGGCCTGGCCACCTCTGGCCTCTGCCAGGTGGGGGGTGAGGCGGAGGAGAGACCGGTCCATTGTGGTAGCTGTGTAAAAGGATAAAATCACACATTGGATTCCTGGCGTTGGCCAATAGGGGGCACACTCTGATAAGAGCAGCCATCTCTGCACAGCTTTAAGTGAGGGGTGTGGGACCCCCTCACAATCGTCTGCATCAGTCAGCCAAAAAGGGAGAGAAAAAAAAGTGGGATGCCTCTCTCAGACTACAGGGCATGCACTGATTAAGTGTCTGAATTCAAGAAGTTCTGCATTAAACATATTTATTTACAAATCAACTGAAAAAAGTTCTGCTCTTACTGACTATTAAGATGTGATACTGCACTATTTCTTCTGATTAACAACTCTGAAATCAGTGTGGCTATTCAAGCGCGACCATATAAATTGAGCTAAAATTAGGCTTAAGAGAAAGGGATGGGAAATATTAGGCGTATCGAGCACAACCCGGAGAGCTTTTACTCAGATGTGATTTAGCATTCTCAAGAGCGTGTAAGCAAAGAGCAAAGGCTTATGAGCTGAAGAGTGATATTAGTACCAAAAATCCGTCTTACCCTCTTGGTCCACGGGGGTGGAAGTGGCCTGGGGGCCCTGGAGGGGGCATGCCATAACCTCCCGGGTGAGGTGGACGCCCTCTAAAACCTGGATGACCTGGTGGAGGGAGTCTTTGCCTATAAATAAGGACAAAATAAGTATATTGTCTTTGAGAAAAACATGTGATCAGTTTTGAATGCATCACGGAAATCAGATGTTAAAATTGACAGTAAAAACAATATAGGAACTGTGTATCCAGCTAAATAAATAAATAACTTAATAGATAAAAATGCTGGGATAGTCTGCTTAAATGGACTAAGAAAAGGTAAAGGAAAGCAGTGCCTTCTAACTTTGAAGGCCCCCAGGATAATTGTTTCAGGCTTCTGCACTTTTTTTTGTCTGTTTCTCTGTTAAAAGAATACCTGGGCATGGGCGGAAAGGGCCTTCTGAAGTGCATTGGCAGAGGAGGAGGAGGAGGGGGAGGGGGGGGAGGGCCCATTCCCATTGGTCCACCTCTACCTCGATGGCCTCTAAGGTCAGGGTAAGGTCGCATCCTTCCCAATCCTCTGCAAGCGAAAGCGGTCAGGCATCAAGTGAAATTCATCCCCACTCATATTTCCACATATTTCTGTTAGCAGTACCTCATGGGTCCAAGTCCATTCATGCCGTCATCCTTCCCTCGCCCTCTCCCACGGCCAGGAGGGCCAAAGCCTTTCACCATGCCTCGCCCACCTCGCATCCCACCTCGACCCATGCGGCCCCCTCGACCGCGGCCTTTGAATCCACGGCCCCTGGAGAAGGGAGAAACACAGGATGGAGCTCCAGCAACAACTAACCCACACTGAGCACACCATGGGGCTCAAACAGGCAACGACACAAACCTGGAATTTATTTCAGCTGCAGGTCTCTCATATTCATTTTGGGGAGTTTTTAAGGTATCAGTGACCCTCTCTTCTGCCTCTCCATCCATTTGAAATTACCTGAAAAGTCAAACACAGACATGGAGACATATCTGTTACAGAGCTTTTTAAATTATTTTTTCAATTTAGCTTCATCTGTTTTGTGCGCACTTGAGTTTACATTAATCTTATCTGATTCTAATAATTTTGCTATTACTCTTGTGGTTCAACATTTGGTTTGTGAAAAATTTCACATCTACAAAAAGTTAGATCCTTAGTTGTTTTAGGATTTTTAGATATCTTGCTTATGGATTTTCTTCTTTAAAAAATGTGCTCCAATGTCTTCAATATCATTTATGTTTCAGAAGTGACACAAATAAGTGACATATTTAGTTTCGGCCATCCACATTATGAACAAATTAAGTCAGATGCCATCACAGAGCAGGCCTTGGTAAATGTAAACCTTGGTTTAGCTTCTGTTCTTCTGTATTGATCAGTTCATGTTGTGCAGGCGGTTACTGAAGCAAGTCTGACAGTTAAGTGAGTCAAAGTTGAAAGTGGGAGTGCTATTAAATACTGGTTTAAAAATTATCCTTTTATTAATGAAAATGGAGTCTAGCTCATTTTACATTTACAAGAGTAACTCAAATCTATACCAATCGGTATTTCTAATAATAATAATAATAATAATTTAATATTTCTAATAAGCCCAGCAGAATCCAATTACTTTATCCCAGGTCGACTAAACCAGAAGATTTAGCTGAATCGTGGCCTTTATTACAGCCCACTATGTAATGCACACTGCAGTAAATCTGAGCCTTAAAACGCCGTGATTATGTCTTTGAAGGTGTACATCGTAACAATGACATTTTCACGTAAAACGATCCAGCAGAGCCAAAGGCACGCCGCGCGTCATGGAAACATTTTGTATCCTGACCCTCAAGACACAGTTGGCGCTGTGTGAGTACGTAAATATTCATTTCAGGACCATGGGGGAATGACAATTCATGACCCAATATAATATCTTCTACTATTAAAGGCATGAGATAGGCACAACAAGTTCATTTAACATGCCAACACTCAAAAAGGCCCCGTCTAATTTCAGGCGTTACTAGAGTTGAGTACGTTTGGCAATAACAGTATAAAAAACATTATAGCATGTTCTGTTTGAAAATTAATGACTGAAATACTAAAATAGTCAACTACACCGGTTAAAACGAGAGGCTTCAGATCAGCGTTAATCAGAAAGGGGCGTTCCTGGAAGCCTTCAGTGCTCCGCTGAGGACGAAAGCAGGAATTACTTACTTCAGGTATTTGTGGCGGCGAGGTAGATTTTAAAATGTAACTATGAAAAATGAAAATAAAAATACAGTAGAAAAAAATAAAATACAAAATTTTCCAGCAGCTTATGGGTGTCCTAAGCAATTTGAAATGGCGGCGGCTTCGCCAAGCTTAACAGGCTTGGAGCTCTGTTTTGAAGAGACGCTCGGCTGTAACCACGCCCACCAATATTCACCTTAGTTTTTGATTGGCTGCTTGTTGCCTCGGTCATCTTGTAGCAGTTCAATGCTTCCGTACTCAAGATCAGTCAACATGACTCCAGCTTTTTGCGTTTCTGATTGGAGGAACTGACTGAAGTACGATTGACTGTTGTCTTTTATGATCTGGACCTCAATTTAAACCATCATAAAATCTTAGGGAATGTTGAGGATATGCTTATAAACATAACTGCATATACAAAATTAGAGGCACGGTTAAAGGAAAATACTTTTTTATTACACTCCAAATGTGTCCAACAACTTCATAGTTAATGCTGTAAATCTTATCCTACAGGCTGGTGAAAAATATGACATCCTTTAAAAGAGAAAACGCTAAACAACATGCGGCAACTAATCCTAAAATTCTAAAACCAAAAATAAACAAGGAACAGTTGAATTATTCAAATCTATTTTATTACGTCAAGAATGTATTTTAATCTCATTGACAAACATTGAAATACTCCAAGGAATAACTCTTAACGCTGTATCTCATACAACTATAAACTATGTCTATTCACAATACCAAAGTAGGCAGCCTCATATACAAATACCTGCAATTTACGCTAACGATATTTACAATATAGAAAAAGAAAAAGCACAACTTTGAAGACAAAAATGATGTTACAATAATACTTATACAACATATTGAAAAAAAAGTCCAGTCAACTGAGGTCCAGATGAGAGTTCGTCCTGTGCGTAAAAGCTGTCCGTGCTGCGTTCTTTACGCGTGGCCCAGAATGTCCGAAAGCTTGTTGATGTATTCAATAGTGTATTTGAGCGTCTGAATCTTGGTTAGGGGCTGGCCTCTCTTGCTGTAGTCTGGCGGGAGGTAGTCGCGGAGCTGATGCAGAGCCTCGGCCAGACTCCTCATCCGCATCTTCTCCCTTTCGCTGGCCTTCATGCGCCTTTTGGTGGACATCTTTGACTTGCCGTGTCTTTGGATCACCGGAGTCACTTTGTGTCCCGTTGAAGTGAAAGAAAAGTCCTTGATTTCCCGACGCTCGGTGGAGTAGCACATGTCTGGTGATGAGCATATGGAATCCATCGAGGAGTCTGGTGTGGTGGACTGGAGTGGCTCTTGAGGGCTGCTCTCAAGGCACTTCCATTCGGACAGGATTTTAGTTGTAACGGCTTCCAGGTCCATGCTCGAAATCCAGACGACTGTAGGATGACATCCAGGGTAAATGACAGGCGGGCGGGTTGTGTGAACCTGATGTAGGAAAACGCGTATTTATATAGAAGCAGATCTCCGGAGGTTTATGGGTTCACAGCTCTGGCGAAGAAAGTTCAAAGAACACTCAATGTGCCAAAATGCGACCTTCCCGAAGGACGTCCTTCGTTATCACCGTAGTGTGAATAAGGCTAAATAGGCGGATAATGTGATAGAAAGACAAATAATTAGATTCCTTTTGTGGGAATTTACTCTTTAAAGTCTGTGGGACAACAATTATCAGTTTGATGTGATCTGTCTATTAAAGGACACTGTCTCACCTGAGATACTCAGGCCCCTCTGGTAAGTTAGAGCAGAGGTAAAATAAAAAAAACACAGTCTAGAATTAGTTTCAGAGCCATCTAGGGTTATAGAAAAAAAAGTAGTTAATAAAAAGCAGTTGTGTCAGAATGAATGGAACCAGTCCAGATATTGAAACATAGTTGTACGTTATTATGCAAGTTATTCTTTAGGATTGTAATCCTAAAGAATAACTCGTTTATGCCAGAATTATTTTGACACATTTTCCAAGACAAAATGAATGAGAAAAAAGTAGCATTATCCTAGCAAGCTGTCTTTTTTTTTCTTATGTGGGTTTTTATGCCAAGAAAAGCACTAAAGAGGCAGCAGTCTGACAATAAGTTGTTATTTGGACGGAGGATGCAGCTGTCACCACAGCTCCTGCCAGACCTTTCATGTCTGAAAAGGTGCGAGGCCTGACTCATGATCAATGGGAAACAACACTGCTCAGTTGTAAAAACCAAAGGATCTACCTCCCTTGTCTCTCAGCCCTGTGCGGCTTGTTAATGAGTAGTGGGTGAAAACAAGCAATTAATTGGTGTTTAATGCTTAAAACTGTGTTAATCCACATCACTAAACTCACTGAGGAAATAGATACAAAACTGCTGGACAAACTAACTTACAGTATGGACCAGTAAACTATGCTTCCTAATCAGCTTGCTCTGTTATATTCAATTGACAATTCTATTACTGATTATAACACATTATGGCTGGACGTGCACCAGATTACATGTTCCTGACTTGTTCTAAAGCTCTACCTGAATATATCTTGTCTCATTAACAAACCATGAATTTAAGCTATACGCTGATTACAATGTTAAGTAGAAAAATAAATAAAGCGTGGATGACATAGCCACAATAAGTTCACTTAGTGCTTGAAAACGGCCTAAACTCTTCCTGGACTATTCCAATTAACAAACCAGAATGCAAATGAGGATGCCTGCTTGTGTCTCAGTTTCCAATGTCAAGGAGGAGCTTTGGTGTTTAAGAAAGTGAGAAAATGCATGTTTGCATTGCTCATCCTGTGGCCCATCACTTCAGAAACTTCAGTTTCAGTCTCTCTGCCAGTGGAAGTGGACTGTCGCTGCAAATCACCGAGTCATCACTGTCCAGCGTAATGACAGGTGACACCGGGGTCTGAGGAAACGTAGCGACATCCACCATGGCAGTTTGAACATCCTGACATCTGTTTTTAGTGGAAACAGAAATGTTTCCAACCACTTCTGTGTGACATTTAGATCTTGGTCCTATAATTTGAAGCGTATGAGGAGCTTCCTCATTTGATTCAGTTGTTTTAGGGGCAGAAATCGGTTTCAAAGGGAATTTAGAAATGAAGCTGCCCCTGATCGTGTTTATGCGCTTTGCCTTGGTCTGCCTTTGGGGTCCAGAGTGTTTGTTCTCTGCATCACTGTCCTCGCTAGATGAACACACACTCATGCACACACTCTTCTTAGTGGTCTGCAGCATATGTGTGTCCTTTTTACTGCTTTGTCCTGGGTCTGACAGGCATCTCTGAGTTGAAGCAGATGATGAAGACTGGGCTGTCCTGACAAATTTGTATTTCTGAGGCAGCTTCTTGGAGACATTAGACCTCTCCTTTAGCTCCCTCTGTGCTGGAATTTGCCGCTCGGTTGAAGTAAGACTTTCGATTTCAAACTGGCTTTTTTCTGAGAGTGGCTCTATCTTGTTGAAAGCACATTCTTTCTCTGACACATTCCTGACGTTACTTGGAATGTGTCCACTGAGTTTTCCCTGCGGTTTGATTTCAGGAGAGGCTAACTCATAGTTCAGATGCTGCGACACCTCATCCTTGTATTTCTCCATCTGATTTGTTGCTTTGGCTCCATTTCTCATGAGCACTCTTTCCCGTAGAGGACACTCTGTGTAACAGAGCTTTGGAGCAGATGTGTGGTCTGCCTGTTTGAAAGAACTAAAACACTCAAAGTCTGTGTTTGAACCCGGCCTTGCGTCGGCCTCTGGGGTCGTCTTTTGCTGCGGTTCTTTGACATGGTGTACTTGTGAAGCAGGGGAAGACGTGAAAGACAAAGCATCCCAGTTGATGTCACTTAGATGTAAAGCCTCTATGACGGCAGAGACAGATTGGGATGCGACGGCCTCTGGCTCGGCACCGGACAGTGCACCATCTTCATTTTCCTTCAGTGGCTCCTTTTGGTTTATCGTGTCCAAAATCAAAACGTCTGTTTGATCTGTCTTTGAAATGTCGGCAAGCAGAGGTTGTGACAGAGAGACAGCACTCGCTGAAGAAGAACTGTGAATATTCATTTGAGCAAAGAGGTCGGAAACGCCATCAGAGACATCAGACGCCTTCTCCTTTTTACACTTTGGCTTCTTTTCTGTAATGATGAGACAGACAGTGAGTGTCACAGTATCCCTGAACATTTCCCTAATGATCAGGACACTTAAGGCATTAACTTTGGAATCTCCTGTCTTTGTATTCGATGTTGGAAACACATCTCGTAAAGCTTTCTGCTATCATTCACTACAGACTACAGAAATTTGCCACCACAGCTCCAAAAATTCATACCGTGTTATAAAAGGAGATCATGAACCAGCTGTTGTTAATGGAAGTCTCTAGTGTTCACTTAAAAATAAGACCTGTGTATTTGGAAAATAGATTAAAAAAATAAAACTAAAATCTATCTTTCAATATCTGATATATGGCACAATTTTTCAAATAAATGCAGAGATTGATAAGAGTAGGAAATCGTTGTGTTGCGTCTTCAGTTGCATTTTAAACAATGTGCAAACTTTCTCAGAAACGGGGTCCTTTGAGCAAGGAAGTACAAATAACTAATGAGAGCAGAGGGAAAGCAACACCTGTGGGGGAGACACCTCTCAGCTGCATTAAAGCCTTTAGTGTGAACTAGTTTAACCAAACCTCAACAAAACTACATGTTCAGGTGTCAGAGATGCAGTAATAGACAGCCTTGAAAAACAAGTAAAACCACCAGGTGGCTTTGATCAGGACTGTCAGTTCAGTGTGGGAAGTCTGGGAAACTTGTCAGGCTGGTGGGTAAGCGCTGGTGGAAAACATGCACACTTTCACTCTCATTAGGGTTCATTTTACAAGTACCTTAAAAGGCAAATGTCAGATTCTTATTATAACTACATGCACAAACATGCATTTATAGTAAATGTAATTTAACCATGTCTTACTTTTGGTCTTGCTCTCTTCAGCAAGAGCCTTGCTTCTTATGTAAGTCTCCACCATTTCTGGGAAGGCCACTCGAAAAAGAGACTCTTCCTCTACTGTCCTCACTTCCTGTTGGTCCTCTGCAGCACGATCCTCTGGAAACACATAATGTTCTGCAGAGAAAAGTCCCATTCAGATCCAGCTTAGTCTCCATATGTCCCTTATTTACTTTGAAAAGAAAAAAATTAATTGGAGTGTAATTGCTGATTTGAGTAAATTAGGATGTATACTGGCTTTGTACTAGTGAAAATCCCAGAGACCACCCAGGAAAAGACAACACTCTGCTGTTAGCGCATGTCTGTAAAAACTCGGGCAGCTCTGACCACGGAGCATTTCTATCTTTCTGAGTTCAGGACATGTTGAGAAAATTAGATAAAAAATGTTATTTTTCAGTTTTGTATTCAGAAATACATTTTAAGTGATCAATGATAAACTGATGTTGTTTGAAACAAAGTAGAGAGCCACCATCATTACGGCTTGGAAAGCTAAACCTTTGGTAGATGCTTCTTTTATACCCGACCTGACACCTTCACCTTTCCCCAGTAATTCGACTGATGGTAGAATCTTAAAGAACAGCAACACTTTTGTACATTATGAGCTATTTTCAGTGTTTCTGGCATCATATTCTGGAGTTCTTTATGAATTGTGAATCAATATGAATTGTTATCAATAACTTTAAATCTTTTTACCTGTGAAATTAAAGGTTAATCTGCATGAGAAAAATTCTGAAATGTTCTGAAATGGTGTGAGGGAGTATGTGGCATAAGTCTCCATCAAGGTGAGCCGATTGGGCCTTTTTCAGGAGAGTCATTTCAGACGGGCTTGTTAGTTGGGTGGAGCATGATATGACAAATTTCCCAGCTCAGAGAGGAAGTCAGTTTAGCACCTAGTGGCTGTTGTGACTGATCTGTCACCTCTGAATCCCACCTCACAGCCAGTCACTAACAGACAACATGGTGGCGAACACCCAGCACCCCGGCAGCCACTTAGGTTTGGAGTCGTGTCCCCCAACACATGCATACTTCATTTTTCTCCTGCTCTCATAATGGAAGAATAAGGTGACAGTATGCAAAATGAGCATGAGTAATTGAATAGGTGTGATGATTGTAGCTGACCTGGTGTGCTCCAGATGACTTCAAAGCAGGCAACAGCATTCCTCACCCTTGGTTTCAGTATCCTTTAAAAAAAAAAGAAAAAAAAAAGGGAAATACAGTTTTATTTTCAATATGTGAACTGTGACATTTTTTCATCATCAAAGTAAAAATCATCTGAGAACTTTAGGAATACCTGACAGGCTTGATTTGGGCGGGAACATCTCTTCCATATTTCTGGTTCATCAGTTCAGTGTAGGTCATCAATACTAAAACCTTTTCGCTGGTGTAGTGCGCCGGCCATTCCATCTTTTTAAAAGCAAATTTCTGGCGGTGAAAAGAAACAAGGTTATCATAAGCAGCTCACCAAATGGAGCCATTAACTGAGCAAACAGTCCATAAATCACCTGCATCGATAGTAGATTTGGTTGCCTCCTCTTAAACTGCGACACAGATTTGTCCTTTGAAATCAGAAACTCACGAATGATCTGCAAAATGAAATTAATGTGTTAATATGACTGATTAATTAAAAAGGTATACATTTTTTTAATAGAAACACTGATAATTTATGATGTACCTCCGTAAAGGGGAACTGCTGACTTGCCAGAATTTTCCTGAAAAAGAAATTATACACCTTAAGCTCTCTTTGTTGGTCAACAAGATGTAACATTCTAGAGAAAGAGTTATGGGTGAGCAACCTTCTTCAACCTTATTATTTTTCCCTATCTGTTACTTTCCTTAAAACTTGTTTTATTTTATTTTTTTCTATTTATAGAAAATCCATGACATGAACGTGAAAGGTAAGTCACAGAATGATTTTTTCTTAATCAATCTTAACTTTTAATCTTAGTGTGGACTTTGCTTGTACTTGTCATGTATATTTGTCATCATGTTTTATTTTGCCATCCTGACTCAGAGTGATGTATACCTCCTGATGTTCGCCTCCAGAGACAGGACCTGGCGGGTGTGTTCGTGGCGGTGCCAGTCACAGGGACACTGATAGTCAAAGTCCTGAGGTTGGCAGAATCGTCGGCTGTCACAGAGCACACAGCCGCCGCGCTCATGTGCTTTGGATGAGCCTGAGTTGGTGAGGAGTCTTAGGTTAGTCTTGTGTGTATATGTGAACATTGGGATGTTCCCAATGTTCACATATACACACATTATTCAAATCAGCAACAAATGTAAGAAGCTAGAGAAACTTCATGATTGTCACAAAAAGCAGGGCATCTCTCACCAGGATGTTGACATATGTTGCAATGAGGAACCTTCTTTACGACTAAATTGGATAAATCTGTGTTGTCCTCCTTCCACTGGATAAACCTTTAGCAATCAGAGAAATTTCTCATAATCTAATACACAGCCATATATACTGTCTACAAAGAGGAAAGAATATCTGCAGAATGCATGAAAGAAAGTGTTTACTTCTCCAAAAGTGATTGCCCTTTTAGTGTCTGGAGAAATTTCAGAGCCTGTTCTCTGCCGACTCCAGGTATGCCCTTATGGAAGGATAAAAAGACACAATTAACACAACTCATTCATGCGAATGATTTAGAGGTGACAAATGTTCAAGTTAATGATTTGTCTCTACCTTAGGAATATAGTCACATCCAAGAAGAATTGCTAGACCAACAAGATTCTCCCTGCAGAGATGCAACTGTGAATGCACTCGAGATGTCTGGTAACAGTCCACATGAGGGTCCTGGATGTCGGAAAAACAACACGAAACGGCCAAGTTATAAATTCAAGTGTTTGTTTTAGTCTGTTCTGGTCATTGATTTAGTTCAGATTTTTGGGGATTTTGAAATAAACATACTTTACTGTTCATATTGAAGTTCCTGTAGACAGTTCGGGCCCCATACAAGAAGGCATCTCCATCGTTGGTGATGCAACCATCCACCAGACCCTGCGAGTCCAGGTAGGCACACATGGCCTCAGCCTCTCCAGCAGCTGTCACCCAAGGTACCCCCAGATAGTCCAGCATCTCCGCACACTACAGAGAGGAGACACAACTGGGTTTGAATAATATATCATGAATCATTACAGCCTTTGATTTGAAGAAGACAGACAGATATTCCAACCTCTCTGAGGACAGCATTAAAGCGCCCTCTGCTGGCATGTGAGGCAGATTTGGGGGCAGGAGCCTTTCTGAATCCTCCGTATCTCGTTTCCGTCCTTTTGCGCATTGTTTCTGACTTAAGCTTCGGAGCTTCTCCTTCCATCACAAAGACGAGCTTTAGCCCCATCAGTGTGAGGGACGACACCCGGAAAAATAGATTCCTGGACACAAAATGGCATTGCATTGTTTTCAATACTAGCTTAACTGAAGATGAAGTATTTGATGGATCTATTTAAAAAAAAAACACATAAGCTTTACCTCAAGTGGGGCTTCATCACTCTCCCCATCATCGCCTGAACATGCTGGGCCTCGCACACCCATAAGCTCAGGTCAACTGCCAGCGTCTTTCCGCTCAAACTGTACAGCGGGACAGACTCACGAACCGGCTCAACAATCGACCATAATTCGTGAACACCCATTATGTATCACAGCTAAATGATAGAGAGTTCACTTCACACCAGCAAATGTAAAGAAAGCACGAACGCTGAACAACACAAAACAGGACGACGAGTCAGGGATTTCAAAAACTGGCGCCATTGGGCTGCATTCCAATTCGCTCAATTTGTCTCTACTACGTTACATTGCGACTGAATTGTTGAGCTCTGCATTAAAAACTAGAATATTCTATCCTTGATTTAAAAATAGACTGCTACAAAACGTTGTGTAAAGCCAGGTTGATCCCTAAATCGTTAATCTTTATAATTTAGGTTACGAGTAAGTGAACACATTCACAAAATCGATTGCAGCCCGTCGTCTTCAATTCAACGTCATATTCAAGCGCCTTCGAGTCTATGTTACTATGGATACGAAGCTTTTGTTTACATTTTAACGCTTTGCCCTCAGTTATGAGCTCAAAAATACAAATAGAATTAGTCGGTTTGATTAAAGACTACAATTTCCACGTTGCCAAGAATATTGTGGAGGTAACGTATAATTTTTTTAATCGCTGAATTATTTTCACCAAAACTTTAAAACTCCTGTGTGTCATTTCAGGGATTGAAACAGACATTCCCCGATGAATTCCTGGATCCAAAAATTCAGCCACTTCTCGAGTTTGACTGGCATGCATTTTTGTACAACAAGAAAAGGGTTGGTCATCCGAATCCACTCATTTTTCAGGGAGAGTTTAAAGCACAGTGTTTTGGAGCTGTTCTGTATCAGAGGTAGAGAGGGCTTTTGGATAAATGTAGCACATTAAAAGCATAGAGTAATTCAGAAACGATGATAAATTGCATAAATGATCATTTGAATCATTTGTGCAATATACAATCTTAATAATGATTTGTTTTTTATATATTGTAGATCTTCTTTGGATAATCTGAATCTCCAGTGTAACTAGAAACCATCTCATCTGCAAACCTAGTAGAGTAATTAGTACAGGCATATCTGTGAAACTGCTCCACATCAGTTACATCATCTCATGAGAGACAATAATGCAGTTTTGAATAATCAGGGTAACTGCTAACTGCAGCACAATGCTGAGAGCTGTGATGCTCTGTGCCCACGCAGCAAAAATACTTCTGTAGTTTGATGCCATGTTTATTCTGAAATGCTGAATCACAACATTACCATTCTTCTAAACTTGTGATTCAAGGAGCTGCGTGGCGAAGTGTGGCAGTATTCCAAAAGCCTGATGTGCTTTCTGAACGGCCATCTCCTCGGTGATGAAAATGATCTTGTCAGCTGGGCCAAGAATGAGTGGAACTTCACTTTCTCTCGGCCCCAGGCTTTCTACAAGGCTATCACTGATAACTACTACACCCAACACCTTCAGAAAACTGGGGTAAGTCATCACAACAGTGACATAGATAAGGAAACACAACGGGAAAATAAATGCTTAGATAGCATATAGATATTTTAAGCTGTTGGCTATGTGCTTTTGATCTATAACTTTTGGTAATCACTTTAATCATCAACCTTTTACCACCATGGTACCCCCAGTAGCAGAGGCAGAAAGCAGCCCAGATCATGGTAAAAACTCCATCAAGTTTTTTTTCTTTTAATCACCTTCAAACAACTTCAACCACAATATTCCTAAAATACTTATTTTGTTTCCTCTGACTATCGCACATTATCCTCAAAATACTGGATTGTGAATAAAGATAAAGTACTAACTAATCTTACCCATTAATACAGGCAAACATTTAAAGGACTTCTCTCAATGGGCTCCTTCTTCTTGAAACCACCACTTTAGTCGTGGAGACAAACAGGAGACAATACTGCTCTTTATTGTGCAGTAAAACTATAATTAATTGGTTATTCCTGGCCTCATAAGCAATAGGAAATCAGTAAAGTTCTTGGTTTTTAAGAAACTTAGCAACATTGAATGAGTTACATTTTTAAAAAAAGGTCTTGTTATAAAAAATGTGTAATTCATTCATTAAAAAAGAATATGTCTAAGACACAATAAAAATACCACACACTAGAAACGTAATGTCTATTTGCTTTTTTCTGCTGTAAAAAAAATATCTTCTTTCATTATAGCATCAGTTTGTCTTCATGGAGATTGAAATATCGGGGGAGGATGCTGGTAGGTTAGTGTTCGAGGTGAGAGCATCAAAATGGAAATGTCTATACTTGCCTTGTTTTTTTTCTTAAAAGAAGAGTCACTGCAGAATGTCTTGTGACCAGAACGAATTGTCTCTCTCTGCTCAGCTGTTCTCAGATCTGTGTCCAAAGGCATCAAAAAACTTTGAGGCTCTGTGCACGGGAGAGCATGGAGTGTCGCAGAGTGGCCTCCCGCTCTGCTACAAGCGCTCCCTCTTTCATCGAATTGTGCCCAATGGCTGGGTACAAGGTGGAGGTATGACAAAGCCACCACACATCTAAGCGCCCCTAAATATTTTGTTAACGCACAATAAGAATATAGAACATGACATTCCAATTTAGTGCACTACAAAATCAGGGAATGTAGTTTAATCTTAATTGGATTTATTTCTACATAGTAATGTTGCTGCTACTTTCTTTCCTAAGTATGACTATAGTGAAGTTATTTACATGCATGCATTTTTGTACTGCCTACATGCATTGGGTGCTTAAAACCGTAGCACAATGCACATTAAGTGACCTAGTTGGATTATCTGTTTTGACACGGACATCTCCGTATTCAGCCCCATCTTATCTGCAGATTTATGTTCTTTAAACAAGCTACTGGAAATGACCATCTATGTTCCAAAGAACTGCTTCTCTTACCTAATATTACCTAAATAAAAGCATTTTCTAAAAACACCAGAGGAAGTAATGCATACACTGCTATTGATCATTGTGCTGCCATTTATATTGTGGAGAATGTAGATGATACATACTATCAAAGTATTAATAACATAAAGGATTCATTCTCGCTGGTCTGATAACATGGTGTTGTTATTCTGCCCGTCTGTTTTCTAGATATTTCTCCCGGTAGTATAGGTAATGGCGGTGAGTCGATCTATGGGCCAACTTTTGAAGGTAATGACAGAAAACAGCAGAGCGATGAAGTTCTGACCAGGGTGTTTTAGTGGATTTACTCACTGCTCATTAACCTGATCATGCAACTGGCTCCTTTTCAGATGAAAGCTTTGCCATTTCTCACTCTAAGCGGGGCATTTTAGGAATGGCCAATAAGGGTCCCCACACCAACGGATCCCAGTTCTACATCACCTTGCAGCCAACACCCTGGATGGACCAGACATATGTCGCATTTGGGTTTGTGCCAATGACTGGAACTAAACATGTCCAAACAGTTAATTAACTTACCTCTTCATAAATAATTTAATCTTTTTTCTTTCTAAATATCTTTTATTTAATTTTTTTATTGTAGTCAAGTGGTTGAGGGTGTTGACGTGCTGAGGAAATTAGAAGAGGCTCCAACCTGCAATGAAAGACCAAAGTACCAATGTAAAGTCACAGCTTGTGGAGTGTTTAAACCGTAGCTCCAAGTCATTAATGCCTCTCTGGATATATATTTCAATGTTTTGATAAAGAAATTAAACCTAAATAAACTTATGTGTAGGTACTTTTGTAAAGGTATCCCCATCTTTTTTTTAAATCCTTATATTTTTATCACAATATGTACAGGTGTGTTTTTTTAACAGTTCAGAAAGCCAAATATATTCTGATGTATCAATGTTTTACACTGCATTAGGAAAATAACACCTTCCAATGTCCTCTGACTAAAAAACACGGCCAAAAACGTACACGATAACACAAGAAAATATCGAATTCATAAATGAGGAGTTTATATCAGTGCTCATTTACAGACTGTTTGAATTAGGTAACTGTAAATGATTGCATGCTAAATGCTTTCAATATGATGTGTAATGAAATATTGAGACGATTTTATGGTATGAATGCTCTGTATTTCTATTCAATTAATGTTAAAATTGAAGATCTGTGTGACTTTTACCGCAGATGCTAATCTGATCACTAGGGGGAGTTTGTTGGTCCAGCAGGTCAGCTTGCTCTGGACGCGAGTTCACTTGTGCAGAGCTTATCATGTTTCGGGTCAAAGGTGCATGTGCCCACGATTTTTTTATTCATTCCTTTATACTTAATTTTCATGATATCCCACTCTAAACGCCAAACAGTGTGACTACTATCTCCTCTGGTTGCTGGCGTTGCTGAAAACGCGCCTCTGTTTCCTGCCTGTGACGTGTTCACTGCTTGATTTCTGTCAGCCCTCCCATAAGAAACGCCACGTGACCTGTCAAGTAGGAAGTGTCGAGCTATTGGGCAGCAACAGCAGGAGCAGCAGCCACCAGAAACACACGACGGAGAAAGAGCCGCGCAGTACCTCCAACACTCTTTTTCTCGACGTTTCCTTCCGCAGACTCGTTTGTCCTCTTGAAACAGGCCGAAGTGTTAGTCGTCCGCAGTCATGTACCTGAAGGTGGTCTTTTTCTCGGTCGCTGTGGCGCTGATTGGCGTCGCGGTCGCCGCGGACCCAGGTAAGTTCTGCGACTTCTCACCGCAGAGCTAGCGGCTAATTGCTGGCCGGTTCCCCCGGTAAACCGGTTTCAACCGTCTTAGTTGCATTGTGTCTTCTTCGTACAGGGCCCATTGAATCTCTCCCTTCCTGGTTTGGTAGTGTCACGTCAATTGTATGGTTTCAAATAAATATTTTTTATCTTTCCTGACAACTTTTGTGATTTATTGCCACTCCTGGCTGAGGATCTGTAGCTGCGAGGACCGGCGGCTAACGCTTTAGCATGCTAGCAAGCATTGACCTGAAAATACATTTTTACGGTCACGTCAACTGTGTAGTTGGAGGAATAATGTGAGTTACGGGAGGACACGGGGGTAACGGATATGGGGAAAAGAAACAGGATTGTTTTAACCTAATCTATCAGGTGTGAGACAGCAGATCATCCTATTATATAACAGTGTTATGATGGACAAATTATGCCCGGAATATTTATGTTCACTGCTGTATTTAGCTCTGTTACCTATTATCTTTTTTCTTTTTTTAAGTATGGGGTGTTGTGTGCAATGACAATAAAGGAAGTCTAAGTCTCTCTAAGTTTTTCAATCAAAATATGTCTCTTTATTGACAAATGACCATAAATGAATCTGCTTTATGTCATTTTTCCAGATGGATGTGCCTCTCTGTCATGTGAGGAATGTGGAGCCAATAGTGAGTGCCAGTATGTTAACTGCACAACATGTGAGTATCTCCTATATGTGTGCCATGTTGTCAAGAGAGGGAAAATCACAGGTTGGGCTTTGTGCAGACAGCTGGGCTGTTTTGACATATGAATGCTGGGATTGAAGGGAGGGTCCTCACCTTTTTTTTTTTAAACCATAACAGAGCTGTCATTTCATGGTGATGTCTGTCAGCTCAGTGGATCTGAATAAACCCTTTTTGTGGTAAATAACTCATTTAAGACCAGGGTTAGGGTTTCAGGTCAGCCATCTTAATACCAAGATGGTCACATTTTAGCATTAACGTTCTTCCCATGCCTCAAAGTTTTGTTCTCTCACTAATGATATGTTTTAAAAGCATCTATATTTCATCCTGAATACAACTTTTAAAAATTGACTCACATGGGTTAAACTGCTGTGCCTTTACAGAGTTTAGTTGTTATCTCTCTTGTTTATCTTACAGTTAGACAGGTAATTTTAGTCTGTACTAGTGAATCACTAAACCAAGCTCATGTTAGAGGATTATTGTGGGCAGTTGCAGATCTTTTTCTCATTGGAGCATTGAGGGACTTTTTATTGTGGTTTAGATGCCCTACATCTCAGAATTGCTTTCTAAATCATTTCATTATGTTAATGCATTTATTCGTCAAACCAAGAGTGCTCAGGATATAAAAAATGTGACTTCTGCAGTACAGAGGCATTTAGGAAATGGGCTGCAGTTCTTCCTGCGTTTTTTAACCTTATTTTGAAGTCCGCTGGTTTCAGTTTTAAGAATGTATTATCTGGTTTTAAGAACTTGAAGTAGCTAAACTAGGCGACTCAACCAACAGTTCACTGCATCGCCCCCTGCATGGTTTGTGGTTTTTTGTGTTTTTTTTTAAGTACTGTCAGCAGAGGTGCTGTTAGTTGTCTTGCTCAATTGAAGTTTTAAGGACTGTAGGTTTATCCCACAAGCTAAATTGGCACACAAAAATAATTTAAACGTTTGTTAGCTTGCCAGTTTTTAATGGAAGTGAAGGAGAACTGACTTTATTGAGCAAGAGTTCAGTATGTGTGGTCTAGTACATCTCCAGTCACTTGTGTGATTGTAACTAAGACAAACAGGCAAGGAAGCGAGGGGATGTGTGGCAGGGGGGCTGTGAAAGGAAAATATAACAGCGTAAGTGGTAAGAGAGTGTGCCAGTAGGATAATATATTCACTTAACGATTGTTCTTTTGATTTATGCTCTACTCTCAGTTCAAGACAACAAGCATATGGAACAAAACATCAGTCCACTTGAGGCTCAAATAATGGAGGCTATTGATGTTTTAGTCATTTTAACGGCAACATGGGTGTAACCAGCAAATCCAGAATAAACAGTTAAAATTAGTATGACAGGCACAGGTATTTAAACCATAATGGGAACAGACTTGTTTAACAACTTCAATAAGGGGCCTTGAGCCTCCCTGGGAGAGGCTGTATTGAAATACAGTGATCCCACACCACCTTCTCCTGCTTCAGATAAGAATGTTAAATGACCCTAAGATGAGCATAACTCAATGATCTATTGAGTGGTTGAACAGGACTGGCAAGAGTGCTGCTGTGTGTCTCTTTTCAGAGCCATGCAAGGCAAGATGAGTGGGCTTCATTGTTTGTCTGGAGGAGAAGCCCGTACTGGTTTACGGTTGCATGCTTTGCACAGAATGGATGGGGAGAAAAAAAACATCCACTACCCACAAAAGAAATACAAAGTTGAATATATCAATCTTTAATCTATACAACCTAATATCTTAAATGAAATGTTGAGTTAGTAATTATTTTCCTCCCCCATTTAAATAAAACGAGCTCTCTTATTGGAAAAATTTTACTTTGCCTTACAGAGGCCTACTGAGCAACAGTGACTGTCCACTACCTAATCTTCAGTTAAAACTTTCACAGGCTCAGGAGTGGGTTATCTTTTTCAAATGAACTCCACTGACACCAGACATTTCAGCTCTGACTATGGGATAGCTCCTCTTGTGCACTGCATAACCGCGCGCTGCGGTAGCAAGTAAAAGGCTTACCACACTGCAATCATCGGATTTAAGGTGGTTTAAGGATTTTCTGTAAACAAGCGCTTGGCCTCAGGAGCACATTTCCCCGCATTCTTTTTTTGTCTAAAGCTCAAAAACTTTAAATGTATCCATGCAGGCTCTGCAGCGCCTTCAAGTGCAGACTGTTGAGTGCTCTTAAAACTGGAGGGCTCTTTTCTGTTGTTAGCATGAAGCCCCACGTGGCTATGCAGTATGCTGGGTACACTGCATCGCGATAATATTGTCACCATCTTGGCAAACGGTGAGAGCGAGTCCTACCTTTCACAGCTGCCTGTCAGATAACATCACCCTGGCCAAGGGCGAGGGGGAAAAAAAAATCTTCTCCCGCATGGCTCACCATGCATCAGGTAGTATCAGGTCTTACAAAAGAAACGGAGATACAGTGAAGCCTAAAATTCATCATTCAGTGACAAATGATGTACATAAATCCTAGTTAAATATGTTATTCTCCTGGCCATTCGCAATCCCTCTGTAAAATAGTGCAGTGCAGCACAGTGAGCAGACAAAAGAAAATAGAAAATGGATCAGCTGCACAGGAAGACAGAAATCTGTGGCAAGTCTGCTGTTTGACAGCCGTCACTGTTCAGCTGAAAAACGAACAAATGACTCATCACCAAACCAACAGCAAAGTGAGCAAACCTGACCGACTTGTTCAATCGTGAGCTACCAAGCTACTAATCATAGCAGAGCATCTGTTTTGGTTGTACTTGGACTCAAGGCCATAACACAAAGATGAAAAAATCTGATACAAGGACCACAAAGTCCGGCCCTGTAAACTGTGAAAAATGTAGTGCAAGCTAGTGAGTCATTTTTTACCTTATTTAGTGTTGGGCAGAAGATGCTTTTACAGTTGCTGCAGACTTGCTTTGTGTAAAAAGTTATTGTATTTGTAATTTATAGGAACCCATCTGGTGGGAGTCATTAGGGTTTTTGTCTAGAGGCTGCGATGGTGTCAGCCGGCAGGCCTTTTACAGCATGGGGTGTACCACAGAGAAGGAACAACTCTCTTTACAATGTTCCATATTCAGAATGATGATGCCTCCATATGTTCAAATAAACATGCAGTTTACACAAAAAAGAGTTTAAAGGATGCAATGGCCCTCCCTGTTAGCAGATTTAACCCTAACTGTTAATGTTGAGATTTTATTTATTTATACATTTTTTGTTTTCTTTATTACTCCGTCAGATTGATTTAAAGCAGACGTACCGAATTACTTGCATACAGCATATTTATTGAATTAAAATGGTATAAATGTTAGCTGTCAGCCAGCTTGGTTTGAATGGTGGAAAACCCGTGGAAATACAATGGTTAAGTTTTAAATGCAAACTTTTCTGAAACCGGCTTTAGGTTATAGGTAGTTTCACATAAAGGAGTCATATTTGCATCTCTAAAATTGGTAAATGAAAACTTATATGTTTAGTGTAGTGTTGGGTGTGAGGCCACATACTGAGAAGCAGGGACTTGATTTTTAATTTTTGCAAAGGTGGGAACACTACAGATTTTATCAAAAACTGTGTTTTGAGTAATTTCCTCTTTAAAATCTGGACAATATAGATTTGCCGTGTCTGTGCCGGAGTTTTCCTAGAACTGCAGCTTCCCGGCAAAGCGATTGGGTGTGAAAGAATGCAAGATCACAAGATGCTGACCATCACAATGACGCATTTATTTATCACCGTGACACAGACCAGGAAGCTGACACAAATCAGTGGAATTTTCTCTTGCTCCTCTCCATCGCATTTGTCAATCAGTAAAATTATGCAACGGAGTTCTGTCTATCTTTAGGCTTAAGTGTTTGGGACGGGGCAAAGTTCCCTCCTGCTATGGTTAATGAGTGATCAGATTGTACAATAAAAATGATGAAAGACTATGAGTCAACCAACGGAACACATACAAATCAAACCGGTGTTCATGTATATGAAATAATCTCGGAAAATAAATTTGGTAACATTTAATAACATTGGTTGGGATTTGATGTGTCGCACGACGTGCCATGCACAGCACCAAAATGGTAGTGTTTGGGGGATGGGGAGAAGTAGGACAGACAAGCCCCATCCTCCAACCGCAGGATGTGGCTGCCCTGACCTTCCTGGAAAGAAGTTGAGGAAAGAAAGTTGAGCCACGCTCATCACATTTTGTGGTTCTCTCAACAAATTTTTGTATTGTTATTTTAATTAGATTTATTTAATAGATTTTTTTTCTTTGGTACACATGCACACATTGCTGCTGCTGATTATTTGGCTTAGTGGCATGACCATTGCCTGGTCTGAAATCCCCTTAGCTCGAGTAAATGTCAGTCATATTAAACTTATTTGGGGTTTTAACTCTTGTTGTCTCTCTTTCAGCACTAAGGTGTCGCAACATGACTCTTACTGGAGACAACGAAACCTGCAGCAACGTTAGCTGTTCTGGTAGGTTAAGCTGCATAACATGCTTAAGTATTTGTCCAGAGTTTAACATTATACATTAACATGTTCTTTTGGACCCAGAGAGAATCAGCAGACTTTTAAAAAAACAATTTTAGCACTCAGTCTCTGCAGATTCTGTTTGGATCTAACTTGTTCTGTAAACTTTCAATTAACAGTCAGTCTGAGTAATTTTGGTCTTTGTGTTATCTGTCTGCTTTTTTGTGTAAAAAACAAAACAAAACTCAGCAAGGTTTTAGAGCAGGGGACCCCACAGTCTGTCCCGGAGGGCTGCTGCCCTGCAGGTTTTAAAAGGTTCCCTGCTTCAACACACCTAATACACTCCAGTGAGCCCGCAGAGCCTTTAACCTGATTCATTTGATCTAAATCGGGTGTGATTCAGAGAGACCTTCTGCAGGACTGCAGCCCTTAAGGACCAGAGTTGGGCGGCCCTGGTTTAGAGCAGAGCAGATGCGAGGGATCGTTTATATTTAAATTGGACATAATCTTGTTTGGGTGCTTTGTCTTGCTTTCCTTTGTACGCTCTGTCTTGGTGTCGGTTTCCTGTCCAGCTTCTGGGTCCCAAACGTCTCCGTCTCCAACTACCAATGTTTCTACGACTACTCACCCCCCCACTACAGCCCCCCATACCTCTGCTGTCAGCACTACCACTAACAGCAATACCACAGGTAACTATTCCCTAAAAGCCTCTGCTGTACGTGGCATGTGGTGTCCAGTTTGATGTGTGTGCGTTTGCAGTGTCCCAGTCAAAGTACTTGAGAGTCTGGGGAAGTCACCGTGCACAGTGATGGTCATGATGAAAGAAACTTCTGACACTCTCATGGTTGTGTTTCAATCTAAAGTGCCTTCTTTGGTTGTAAAGGTTTTTTGATTTTCACGGATGACTACAATGTGATGTGTGGGTTGTACCCAGAGACGTTTCACTTGTGGACAGTTTTAGGACAGTGGTGGTGATGGAAATGCCATGTCCAAGTGGTCAAAACTGGATTTTGAAGTGTCCTAAGCAGGGACAGCAGGTCAAACCTAACACTGCTGCAATTTTTGTTATTTAACAAAGAAAACATCTCTGAAATATATAATGACATCATCTTCTGCCATTCGCTGCAGACTAGTGCAAAAAGAAAAAAAGAACCTGTTGGTGTTGAATTCTCTCTGATCAGCCTCACTGTTGAGTATTGATTCTGTTTTAAATGTATCAGAGCTGTAGAAAGTCACTCCAACATTTTACATTCCTGCTAAATCAAAACTGTATCAGGTGAGGTTTGGGGTGGCCCAATTCATGTGACTAACAGGATGTAGCAGCAACGGTAAAGTGGAAGTTGGGTATGAGTCATTACACATTCTACTGTTTTTTGTGTTGACGTGGGAAACTGTTTGCATCTTTTGAAATATGAAATCAGGTGTCAGTCAGTTATGACTAAGCGATTCGGCCATACTGTAAAGGAGACGTGAGCTCCTGTTTTACTCCTCATCAGTTAAACAATGCCAGATCAGTAACTGTTATCATGGTGACAAGATTATGTCAAATCAGTTTGGATTGAAAGAGTGACAATGTAAAGAACCTGTGACAACACAATCTTTGTAAGGGCTGATTGTGTTTGCACTGTGACCCTCCCTACAGACAACACAACAGTTGTCACTGTCACGACTCCTACTGCTGCCAACGTCTCCATGTCCACAACTGCAGCCTCCCCTTCAAGTGAGTCTGACGTCATTATAGAAAGGGTCTTTAACCTGTCCTGTCATGTGCACAAATATATGGAGACCATTCTCCTTTTTTGTCGTCCTTTCACAGCTGGACCCAGCACAGTCGGCCCCACACCAGCCCCCTCTCAGAAAAGCTCCACCTTTGATGCCGCGAGCTTCATCGGCGGAATAGTGCTGGTCCTGGGCCTGCAGGCCGTCTTCTTCTTCCTCTACAAATTCTGCAAGTCCAAGGACCGTAATTATCATACCCTTTGAAGTGGCTGCACTGTAGGATCCACATCATTCAACTTGTCCCCACCACATTGACCCTTCCAGAGAAAACTCCCCACTCAGCACGCTCTCATCAGGGTGGACTTGAACAGTGTTTCTAATAATTGTCTTTTGGTAGTATATTTATATATTTGTTTTTTTTTTTGTCCATGCTGCGTCACTGCTGCCGTAAAAGTGTTCATAAAGGCAGCCATGCATGCCTGTTTGTATGCCTGCTCAACTTCACAGATCTGACTGACAGGCATTTAGGTCTCGAGCAGATGGATTACATCACCTGGTAGCTACCCCCACCTCCATCATGTTGTTAGTCATTCTGCAAAAAGCATTTTCCAGCATAGCGAGCTGGCTTGTGTTATTTACAGCCCTTCTCATTGCTCCGTCAATTAAATGCACCACATGAGAGTTAAAGAATTGGTCTTGTATATAGAGAAGCTTTCCTGTTGATGCGTGGATTTATACAAGTGGCAGATTGCATCAGATCCCCTCCCCTCCTTTTTTTCCTTTTGAATCCTACTTTGGAAACACTGTTTGAGTTCACTGCTATTCTTAAATGTGACTCCTGATGATTCAGTTGCTTTTAGCCTGGTAAATTGTAGGTTTCCTCTCCTCCATGCAGCTGTTTTGTGTAGATGTGTTCTTTGGTGATGTAAGAGAGGCAGGATAACTTACTGACGGGGGGAGAAAAGCAGCATCCAATCATCTGATGTGGGGCAGAAAAGAAAGTGTCGCTCGATGAGCGTCTCCCTCTGCATTGAGGAGTGGCGTTTTTTCTTTCTTTCTGCTGTTCAGTTCTCCTGGGAAATCTTTGCCCAATACAAGATGTTAAAAATGTCAAACGCCACCTTCAGTAGGACAGCTCAATGCAATAAATTATTTAGGAGTTCATTTGAGAACCACAAATCTCTGAGCTATTATTTCCTATCATTAAATCTGTCCTATTCAGGATGCAAATGTGAAGCGGGTCCTTCTGTTCAGCAGAGTTGTTAAACGGGGATCTAAGAGAATGAATGTAGAGTTTTTCTGAAATATGGGTGATTCACTTGTTTGTGTGGATAGAAATTAAGGTTGTTAAAGAATGGCCTGCACCTATCTTGATGTGGGCAGTGAAGTGCCTTTAATGTCCAGTGCGAGTTAAAGCAAGTTGACTGCTGCTTAATTCCTGGTTGTCATTAGTTTCTGGTAAGGAAGTAACAGCATGGCAGTGCTGATTATGGGTAAGAGTCCTAGTCCCAGCTGGACTGATGAGCCTTTTTATTGATGAAGAATACAGCAGATGGCTATAACTCAAAAGCCTCAATCCCTCTGAAGGAGCCACTGGTGACTGGAATGGTTCATTTAAATCTACATTTGATTTTCTTCGTAACATTAAAAAACATAAAAGCCCAAATTCTCTTCCCACCACATGGTTTCTGTTTCTGGCCTAAAGCGTGTTCACTACACATGAACAGTGAGGCTGGCAGGAACTTTATTATTGGTGCAATAAACCTGAATGCACCTCTATTTTTTTTTTTTTAAAGGAATAGCAGGAACGAGGTTGCTGAGTATTAAAGTGCATTTCAGTTTAAAAAGAAAAAAGGAAAAAAAAAATGGAGTGTTGGTTTTGTCAAAGAAGCACAGCACCTCTGATCTGGCTTTTCAGTGAAAACGACAAAAGCGCAGAGATGTAACAGCTTGGGGGGGGGGGCTGTGCCACGGCTCATGCTCAGTCTTCTAATTAGCTAGCTGCTAACTTTAATATTTTTTTCTTTCTTACTGTACATTGCCATGCCCTGTTTTGCTCATCACCCAAATTTCCTCCTAAGGAAAAGCAAAATGAAGTGTTTGCCATTTTTCTCCTAGTGGCTTGACTGCCGGGCAGGTTTAGTTCAGTTGTCTTTTCCCTCCACTATCGCATGCCAGATGCTTGAAGTTGTGATCTCTTTGTTTTTTTTCTGTTTTTGTTTGTTTCCAATGCATTTTCTCATTGCGTACGCTGTTAGGAATCTAGATACACTCAAAAACCACTTGATTATTTGTGATTAGCGCATATTCTAGTTAAAAGAATGCCTTGAAACAGTGTGCATTAAAGCCAAAGTCCTGAGTTTTGGCATGGAAATCGAGCATTGCACTGATGAGCTTTGTTTTGTAACTTTGCCTTTGTAAATGTTTTTCATGTTTCTGCAAAAAAAAGAGAAAAAAAAATCAGATGCTTGTACAAATACTCCTAAATATTAAGATGACTGCGTGACCACAAACGTTAAGAAATCCATGAATGCAAACGGTTTGTTTTTGCTTGTATAACTTGAAGTTGCATGTTTTCTGCTGCTCACCATGAACACGCCTTTTAACCTACAGTCACCTGGTGGCATTAGGCTGCGGCCCAAAGACCCAAACGGAGCAGGCCGGCCCGAGTCTGGCCTCGGCTGCTCACTCTCTGCATGTGGAGTCCCTTCACCCCAATTAAGAGAAATGTTTTGAATGTTATTCACAGCTGTTGAGTGGGCTGCTGTATGTCTGAGTGCTCTGTTTTCAGCATTGTAGCTGCATTCCTTGAGAACACACCATCACGTGTAGACATTGTGGTGTCATAACACCCGTCGGTATCCATGGATACCTGTTGTCCATTGTGTTGAATCACTGCAGCTTCTACAAATTGTCCGGTCTGTGCACCTCCTAAGGAAAAGTGCCTTATTCAGTTTCTATCCACAGTCATTTGTGTTGTAGAATTACACGCCACACGTACTGAATATTGATAAGGCTCTTTCAGGCCCACCTGAAGTGGCTGCCTGTGATGTTTTCAGCTTAAATGTATGTTTTTGTTTTGTTTTTCACACTCAGCCTTAACTTCTTGATCAAACCCACAGACCATTAGCAGGTGATAAGCTCTCCAGGCTACGACTGGGCAGAATTCATTTCAAACGGGGATAGCTTTCATCAGCGTTTGATGAATAAGGAGCAAATGCTGCTTGAATAATTAGTATCAAATGAATGGAAAGGGTTTGGGTGTGATGAATGCCGTTTGTAGCCTGGACATCCTTTCACCTGCTCTCTGTAATCCAACTTGATGGTAACGCTGTAACCGCAGACTTCTCTATTGCAACACTTCCCCGCTTGAACAAGACTTTGGTTGTAATTTGCAACGTGCTGCATTTGATGACTTGTTTTCAGTCTTTTATTGTCTGGGATTTTCAAATTTACAAATTCAAATGTACTCGGTCATGGAGGGCTCACCTTTAAGTTTTCAGCCTTGCAGTGTTCGATTCAAAGATTGAGTCATTTTCCTTCCTTAGGCCTTGTGGCTTTATTGCTAAGTGCACACTCTGTAATGCTGTATCTTTGACTCATTCTTTAGTGCCCATTAGTGTTGGTGTGGTACGAACTTTGGCTTTACTCTCACAAACATACACAGAGCCATATGCACACACTTGACAGTGGTGCCACAATGCCTCCTAAAATGTTTTATCTACCCCCCCGATTTCTTTTTTCTTTTTGTGCCTCTCAAGCCTTTTAATTTCTGCCTTGTTTTCTGTTGTTGCCTTTAGTTTCACAATGTTAAGCCAATAAAGTTTGAATATTGTTCAACAAATCCCTGTATTTACCTTTCATTTGGCAGCAGTGTCGACTTCCTTGGCGCTTAAAATTTACACGAGCGGTGCGTGCACACACAGGCAGGCCTCGTGGGGCTTTGTCGCCCTGGTTACCGCAGCCCTGACAACAAAAGGTGGCTATCAAGTTCTCTCTTTTTTCCTTATCGCTCTTGCAACCAACCCTTGGTCAACAAACTCTCCCGTTGAAGAGGAAGTGAACAGCAAAGCGAGGCGATCAAATTATATTTGTTTTAACATTATACAGCCTGTGTGCACTTTCAATACTCAGTGGAGTCAGATTAGATGTTTGCAAGCAGGTCTCAGTTTGCTTCCATTATATCTCGTTTCCACTCAGGAAAAGTACGATTTTTTTAAATTTAGTTTTTTTACAACTTTTTTACAACTGATTACGCTGCACTCTTTTTATATTTTATACAGTGTTGCACATTTTATTTTAGTCTGGTATTTTCACTAATTAAAGGCTATTTTAATGGGTTAGTGGAAGCTATCAGAGACATGCACACCTTATTGTGTTAAACTCTCTCAACAGGCATCAGAAAAATGCTAAAACTAGATTTTTTTTTAAAACCTTTTTTTTTTTTTTTAATGAACTGCATTATGAAAAAAATAAAAACACCAAAAAACATGAAAACTACTCCAACAGCTAGTTCTTTTAGAAAAGAGTCCTGATATAATTTATGGGTGTGCACCCATTGAATATGTTTTAAAGATTTTTTTTAAATTAATTCCTCAACTTTAGTGGCTGCAACATTCGACTCTTCAGTTTGCAATTGTTTTTGAAAAGTTAAAGGCGCACAGACTGATTGCAGTCATTTGCAAATACTAAGACCACAGAGGAGTGAATAAACACACACCCATTGCTGCCCATTTGTTGCACACTTAACCAGACGGACTGTAAGGGCCACAGGTTGTTCTTCTGTAGCAAAAAGCCATGGCTCCAAATAAATGCTGGGGAGTTTGTGTGTCACAACTGAAGAATCTCTGTCCAGCTAACCGCATTTCTGAATGAGGTGTGTGTTGAATAAGGTTGAATATAGTTTATTTGTGCTGGGCAGGCTGTTTTTCTTCCAGTGACCAAAAATCTCCAGCTTGCTAAATTTCCCAGAAACAAAGCATTTTTAGAATCGACTGCACCAATTTGTCTCTGTGTCCATTTTAAAACTGCTACTTTATTTATTTATGCTTTGCTTGTGCGGTGTGATCAAAACCTAAGATGGTTTAGTTGGATGAGAAATATCCTTTTGTTGGTTAACTTTTTTGCTGAAGGGCAAGCTGGGGTTAAGACATCGTGGATGCCATGTATCGATTTGTGCTACCTGAACACCTCCGAGAGATAGTCTGTGTTTGAATGGCACAAATAGCTTCTGTTGGCACATCTTCCCACAAACGCTGGTAGTAAAACTCGGCCAGACTGTGAACACACCCTTGCCATTCAGACAATAGGGGGCTTGTGAAGTCACAGGGTATCAAAGCGGCAGGGTCAGGAGAGGCCACACGCAGCAGGACAGAAGTTGTAGATGGGGGCAACGAGCAATCTGGACTCGTGTTAGCCAGCGCGCTTGTTCTGTCGAGTCATGCTTTGTAATCTAATATGAGAGCACAGAGCAGCAATGCATCAGGTTTTGCCTCTCTCTGTCCATTTAACCAAGCAGTGAGCTGAGGGTCACGCAGAGAATGCCAGGAGCGAGGAATCTTAGCTACACAATCATCTGAACACAGGAACCAGTCACAGCCCTCATCTGTTGTCTTCTCTCCTCCATTTTGTGAGTTCTAGAAGGGGAACCGATGGTGAATGGTGGAGTGTTTTTCCATAAGTGTTTATGCGAGAAACAGAGTTCTTCACATGTGTGCTAAAGTAGCTGCCGAAGGAAAAAGTGGCCCTTTTGTTGCACACAAAAGAAAAAAAGTTGCCTGAACTCTGATGACCGTGAGACTTAATGTTATTAGGCAGCTTCACATGTTAGCAAGGCCATTAAACTTCGGACTGAACCAAATAAATTCAGCAAATATGAGTGTCTGGTATGTAGAAATGTTTCCTGTCGTGCTGTTTTGGTTGCACGTAAGAGAAAAAGAGCAGTTCATCCCACATGCACAGAGCTAAAAACCCAGTCATTTGACTTGTGGTCAGGGCTGCATTTACTCAGCTGTCCAGCCAGCTGCTCGACCAACTCTACAGCATATTTGATCATTTTGCACTGAACACTGTGAAAGACCAGAGCTGAACTGAAAAAAATATTTAATTTAATTTTTAAAAGGTTATGCAAGACCTGACATGACCTAATGCCAAAAGAAGAAACTTCTGCGTAAATATCTAAATGCTGCCATCTAGTGGTACTTTTTTGGGGGGTAAAATGTGTCCCTTTTAAAAATAGAAAGAAACATGTACTATATTTAAGACCAAAGCTTTATTAAAAAACAAAATGTAAATCAATCCATCTTTATTTCAGCAGTCTGAATGACATAATTTAAACAGTTTAAAGTGAAAGTCCATCAATGCTCACCCATGAGGGACCCATACTGGCTAATAGGTTTCACAACGTGAAAAGCACTTTATTCAGTCTGTAATTTATTACCAAAGCTTGTTCACAGGCTGTTTATAGGCAGGTGAAACAGACTGCAGGGCATCTTGTACTTTATTTAGCTCTGTGTGGGAGAGGCTCATGTTTCCCAGAACAAGTCATTTTGTTGTAGGCTTTTTCTGAACTTCTGGCTTTCTTTGAGAAGCTGAAGGTTCTTTTGACTCATCATACCTTTCTTCGCTTTCTGTTTGGTCTTAACGGGGGAAGGAGCAGGTGGCCTGATCCAATTCAGCGGCCTGGCTGTGTGATCCTCGTCATGTGACTGGCTCTGCTTCAGTCTATGGACCTGTGATGATGCAGAGGACAGAAAACATCACCAACTAACAAAAACCTAACTAGAACACCAGATCTTTAAAGACGAAATATTCAAATTCTGTTTTGAGTAACATATTTTTTGTTTTTACTTTAGTAATTATCATCCATAAATCCCCTCTGGTGAATGAGAGCTAACATACCGCATCCTGGTGTTTGCGGAGCTTGGAGATCTGGGCTGACTTCTCCTCCATCCTGATGACCAGTCTCTCCAGGTCTCTCTTCAGGTCCTCTCTGTGGCCTCCATATTGGGCCGCGTCTATCTGCTGCTCCAACTCCTGGTGCTCACTGGCAAAAACATCAATGTATCAACACTGATCAAGGTTTTTTTTTTTTTTTTTTTTAAACGTAAATATGTCAACAAAGGATTCTCACAAACTCATCTGTCCAAGCTCATCCTGCAGAGCCAAAAGTATGTCGGACAGCGAGCCGAGAGACGTCCTCACTGATAGGCTGTCGGGCTTCAGGGAAACAGCAGCAGATGTAGAAAAGTCCCTCTGGAGGCTTTTCCTGGCTCCACATCCTGACCGGTGCAGGGCGCTGACTTGTTCACACAGCTTGGGTTGATGGTGCTTCATCATGTGAAGGATGCTTTGTAAATTGGCGTGAACTGAGTGGCTCGGACTTATTGACTGTAACAGATAAGAGAGAAATAAAGAGAGAAAAAAGTCAAATGCATCAAAGGAAAAAATATTTAATGAAATTTAGTTTTTGAATGTAAGACAGAATTTCAGAGTGACTTACTGTTCCTGCAACAAAGGGCATCTTTTTGTGCGTCGGGCTGCCCGATGCCAGCTCGGTCTTTTTAAAGGCTTTCTGAGAAGGACACAAATTCCAAATAAGTCCAACGTTCTTTTCTAAACGGCAGCGGTTTATTAGTTTTGAAAGTGGAAAATGAAAAAGACCCCAGTCTTGTTTCTTGTTTTCTTCTTTGGCTTCGTTTCTTCAGTGGCTGGCATGGACAGTCGCAGGTTGACGTCTATCTCCCTCTGCAACTGCGGAAATGGAAACATCAGCTCACTTATCAGCAGTTTAAGAACAATCTAATGGAAAATCACATTCATTCACAGCCAAGAATTTACGATGCACACAAACATGTTTCCAACCAAGGAGTCCAGTTAACTTGTGTCAGGGTCAGTGTGAGTGTGATGGAGACTTTATCTATAAAAAGTCTAACATTTTCTCAACCCACACATCTGCTTTTTCCCTTAGCGGTTAAATAAGGGTGACATTTCCATTTATAGATGTGTGTGTAAGAAGAAACACACAAATGTGTGTTCAAATGTGATCCAAATGAAAAAATAGAAGGACCTGAAATAAACCAACCTTATGGCAAGGCAAGTTTATTTGTAGCACACAATTTGTGAACAACGGAATTCAGAGTGCAAACCTCATCTGCCTTCTCCTGCACTAGTTTCCGTTCATGCTCTTCTCTTAGCAGCCTATGCTCTAGAATGGAAAGTTTCATCTGAAAGTGACATATGATGAAGTGGTGAGCATACAGCTTGGCTTGTGGTGATTTGTAACTTAGACCGAGCCGCACTACCTCTGCTGCAGTTTGGGTTCTGTTCAATTTTTGACATTCAGACTCCAGTTTCTCCAGCTTCTCCTGCTGAGTTCTGTTGCTTGAGCTGCTGGTTTGCTGGCCTTGCAGTGAAGCCTGGAGAGGAGTAAAAGGGGAAGCAGGGATGAGTGACTCATGGCAATTATAGTCCAGACACAGCTGAGAAACGGCAACCTAAACACAGATTTTAAACAAAATATATTACTGAACCAGAATAAGATAAGCCTCACAGTTAAGTTTAATCTAAATACAGACCCCTTCTACCTGATTTTCCATGAGCACATTCCTCTCCTTTTTGGCGTTTTCAACCATTTTCCTCATGTAGTCCAGCTGCTTCTCTAAAACCTTACAGCGAGCCTCTGCAGACTGAAGCTTTAAGTCGAGCTCTGTCAAAAGCATAATCAACTATTTAAAAAAAATACAGACGATAATTTGCATTTTCATAACATCTAAGACATTATTCATTATCAAAGTACAGTGTGCTCTTTTTCACTTACCTTTCCTAACAGAGCTTTCCGGACCGGGTAGGTTAGCTGCAGTTTGACTGAATGATGCAGTGACCTGCTGTCGCTTTTGAGAATCATGTGAATACTGGATGTAGCTCTTCTCAGTTTCTGTCCTCTCCAGCTCAAGCCGCCTGATTTTCTCTTGGAGGGTTTTTAGTGCATCAACAACAGCTGGGGGAATAGTAATACATTTTAAAAAAGCACTCATAAACACAGTCGAATATGACAAAAAAAAATATATGTGCGATGGGACAAGTTTTGCTGCACCTTTACTGTCTATATTGCGTGTAGTCTGAGACAGAGGGCTGGCAGTGTGGTCAATGCTGACGGATGAATGAGCAGGAAGCTTCAGTTGTCTTGACACTGATGGTATCCTGTCTGGAGGCTGGTAGTAACTCCCAATGTAGCTGTTTTTGGAAGGAGAGTCTAAAACCTACAGACAATAATAAGATGTTGCGTTAGAAACTGTGATAAAACTACAATCCTATAAGTATGTAGTCTATGGATTATTTAAAAAGGACATTTATTTTAAAAACAGTTCAAGATAATGTCTGACATTTCAGAAATGTTTTTTTCTGTTTATATATGAGTTTTTTCCATTTCTAATACATTTTCCATTCTGAAATACCAAACTTTCTAAGTTTAGTTTAGTTAAAAACTGTTTTGAATGTAGTGTTTTTATTGAAACTGTTACGGTTTGTTTGGCACCTTAAGGCCACCATACACTAACAGAGGTACGGATGATGCGTTCGAAGAAAACAAGCGTCTTTTGTGTAGGAAAGTTTTTTTTACAGAGGTTACAGCGTTGTAAACTACTGAACAATAACCCACCTCTAAATATAATTCTTAATTTTACAAGCAAGGAGACAGTTGGTGTCCAACAAGTCCACCGTGTGCTTCCGAAAAGCTTTAGGATGTGAGGTATTTCACACAGGTGATATAACTACAAATTAAATACCACCATATGGCAGATATAATATCCGTTTCCAGGGTGTGTCGCATATCTAGTACGATAATAAAGGAAAATACAAACACATTGCTAACGTCAACTAAGCTAATAGATTCACCACAGCGAAGCTAACGGTCAGTTAAACGTTACCTTGTCGTGGTGTGACTCCATTATGAGCTAAAAAATTACTCTAAAACTGCTCAGATGTCTTTTAACACCCTCGCGGCTACAAAACTAGATTTTAAAAATGACGCTCTGACGGTGAGGAACTAACTGTTAGTTGTTCGTTGTCATTTGTTAGGCAGTCCGGACCATTTTAAATTTCCCTCCGTTTTGCCGCCCTCATCACTATGGTTCCGCCTGTGCACTGCTTCCCCCTCCAGACTTCTAGGTTTAGTTTAACCCATGTTAACAGCATCTACAAATGTTTCACCACTCTCACATAATCTCAGTGTTGGTTACAAATAAGAAACATAATTACGGCTGGAAACATTTTCGTATTATTATGCTATCTACTTAAAAAAATAAAAAGCTCAACAATTACAGTAGAAATTTTTCAGCAAGGTCAAATCAAACTGTATGCACTTCTAAAAATAACAATGATTATATTAATTGTTCAATTGTATCTAAAACAAACTTACCTTTTGACCAGTACAAAATTGATTTTTCTCAACTCTGTGTTAATCAATGTTTTATTACAAGTCATTTATCATGACAGAGTTGAATGGCAATAACAATAAGAGCTGTTGTCAGACAAGGTAAAAAAAATAGACCTCATTAGCAAGTATAAAAGAAATGTAACACGTTTAATCAAAGCCATTTTGGTTTATTACTCCAGTGTGGCATTTTTTTAGACAAAGAGTACAATTTCCTCCAAAATATAACAGAAATGAGCACAACTCATATATTGTTAACATAGGAGGTCTTATCAGGAAAATAATCATGTGAACACAAAAGGACAAAAATAAACAAGATACATTATCTTGTGTGGAAATGTGCACAGGTTTAAAGCATATGTTTTGCTACACAAGCTACAAGTGAGAAGTTTTTGTATTTGTTTATATTCTCTATATTTCTGCACACACTGTCCCCAAATACAGATCTTACCTAACATTCCAAAGTCACATTTAACAACTGTAATTACACTGTTTGGGACTAATATATCTGTATTTAGATCAGTGAATTGGACAGTGCCAGGTAGGCATGTAAATACAAGTGAGGATGAAAATAAAATAAACTCAATGGAAATGTACAACATGTTCACCTTTCTCTCTGCTCTCCTTTTTTCTGCCTGTCTGTAATATCTGATAAACAAGGGAAAGGGGGGTTGCAGCTACCCACAAAGTGTATCATGGGGGATGTAGTTGAGAAAAGCTCCCCCTCTAACCAAACCCAGAGAGAAGATAATACAATTCCCAACAACTCCTCACATGATGTGGAGAGGACTCCCACAAACCAATCATTGGCCAGAATCCGAAGGTATCCGCCCCAGAAAGCTCTATAACAGCTCTTATACGTCGAGAGGCTCTGCCAATCAAATGTTCACCCTCGAATTGTTGCCTACCATCGTTCTGCCCTGGGAGTAAGTGGCCAGTGCTGAGACGAGGCGTCCCATTTCAGAAGACGTGCACCACATAATGTGGATAAAGTGAGTATGTCAGAGTGGCGTTTTTGTCAATTTGTCTTATAATGTAAGCTTCGTGCATGCTGGTGTTGTTTTTACCTGCGTTATCTTGTTCTTCACCGCTGTCTTTGTTCACGGTCAGCTTGAAAACAGTGACAAGAAAGCCAGAGACAGACAGGCAGGCAGGTTGAATGGACTTCTGTGACAGGTTGTATTTAAACACGAATGTTTGGTTAATATTGATAAAAACGATTACATTAACGTCAAACAAACTTTTTTCAGATCAATAGCTACTTATTTATATGTAAGGTTTCAAAGGTTGCCTAAATTCGTTCGAATTGTGAAAAGATAACTGAACTTAAAACAGCAATAAATGAGTTACTATACCACTCACCACTATGAGGAATGAATCCATGATGCTGCTGACATTTAAAGGGATAAACGTTAGAGGTTTCTTGTTGCATGTTTCTGCACTCAGTTCTATGACAGTTTTCATGACTGTATGGAAAAGCCTCCTCAATATGGCACAACAGCTTTGTGTTATAATGTTTAGGATATGTAGATTACTTTTGCATCACTTTGAGGAAGTAGTTGACTTATCAAGTCTTTATTACATTTTATCATTAAAACTAAACCACATTTACGTGTGATAAACAGATTTGTAGATAAAATCCATTTGACAGAGCAGGACATTATACAAAGAAAAAACGCTAACTTAAACGCATATATCCCGTATATAAGTTTAAGGCAATATTGGAAATTTGAGGCGTTTGGTCGACTTACTGACAGCAGTGACAATGTACACGTCAACCGTTCCCTTACATAAGAATATATTCAAAGACTAGTCGATGGTGCATATTTGTCTAATGTCCTATTTGTCTGTAGCCTGTTGTAAGACAGCACAAGCATTAGACCTACGGAGGAAGATGGAGGTGCACAGCCAGGAGTCTCTGGGCCGATGGGATGGACTGGGCAGCCGGGATGCCAGCTCCAGAGTTCAGGCGATGGACAACATCTGTCAGGTGGTCATGAGGAAAGCGGAGGCCATTGGGCCAGTAACAGCAATGTCCCCCTCGGCCATGGCTTCAGGAAGTCCTCCCAAAAGTGACTTGAATGAGACCTTGGCTCACCTTCTCATGCTTTCCAAACGGTGTCCTTTTGAAGACATCAGAGAGCGATGCGTCCAGCTTCTGCATGAGGTCCAGGTAGGAGACTCATGTGATGTGTGAGGATTTCACCAGCTTCCTGTGTTTGTCGTCTTTTTTCCACTGCCATCTGCCCCCGTCCTCTCTTCACCTCCTCATAAACATGGCAAATATTGTGGTTTTGTCAACTGACCATTGAGACAAAAGTATTGTTTTGTGAGGCGGGTACAGTCAATGACACTGTGGAGCACAACAGCCCCTCTGGTAGTTAAATTATGAAGCCAACTTGAAATGAAGGCCAATAGTCTGAAATTTTATGATAAAAACGGTTGGCCGTTATCTTATTATTCTGTCTAATACATAAATTCTAGTGATTCTTATGTGTTAATTAGGTGTTATCGAAAGATGGTCTGAATGTTCACACTAAGTAAAAGCAGTATTCTGGGCTTTGACAGTCTGGTCTCTTGTAACATAATGTCCTAACTATTGCCACGATGAACACGGATGCAAAAAGTGTACACAAATAAAGTTTGATCTTTCGTCGAGCAAGATATAGTAACAGCAGTCAAGATCAAGTGCAGTTAGTTCAGTAATTAAGTCGTCCTAATAAAAAGAAAAGCGTCCTTTGTTCATGAAACGATAGATCAGTAGTTATAAAAAGCGACTGTCACATCTCCACTCAAACTTACGACGTATTTCTTACTGATAAAAAAATCACTGACCTGAACAGGTGAAGCTATATTTACTGAAAATATCGGTGCCCTTACCGTGTTGAATTCCTCCCAAGATCACAGTCTTGGAAGATTCCGTCTTGTCCATTTGCAAGCAATGTGTTTGTGGCCACAACATAAAATTCTGGACCAATAGTCTTCTTTCTTGGAAGTTAGGGGCGGGTTTGAGGGTGCGATGGCCGTCAACAGTAGCAGCTCCTTTCTGTAAACTCAGGCTGAAGTGTGTGTCGCAGGTCTGATTGGTTTGAATTACCTTTTGACAGAAGAAGACAGATGCTTCATTCTCAGGCACAAGCTAATCCCTGTTTTTTTTTTTTTGGAAGTGTCTGCCTCAGAGTGAATCCACACCACATGCACACCAATACCAAGAGCAGCAAGTGGTCCGAGTTTGCAGTCGATTTAAACATACTCCAGTGGCAAAGCTACTTTCATGTCATCAATGAGGTAGTGGAAAGCAAAGTCTTTGGGTCTGCTGGAAATGTCTAACTCTGGATCAATCATTTGGTCTTTCACTGCAGCACGTTCATCTTTAAAGATTAAGGATACAATAAAAACGTGTCCACCCAGGCAGGTTGTTTGAGACCTATTCAGGGCGGCAAACATTTAACACCACCGTTTCAGATAGAAACGTCCCCCTCGCTGCCTTTGTGTCTCTTCCGCTCGACCTGTGTGCCAGAGCAAGAGCAGGAACCAGAGCGGGTTCCTGCAGAGGACTTCCCAGATGGTTCTGTGTTCCAAACCATCTGGCACATCCGGTTAAGTGTAACTGCCTACAGGTCAGTTATTAATGTATAGAGAGGTATTAGATTACAGGAATGTCGCTGGGCAGAACAGCAATGGCTCTTTCAGCCATTGCTGCCATCAACATTACACTTTTTGTTTCTGTTTAAATGTGTGTGCCTAACGCCTTTTGAATCCTATCAGTGATCTTAAGAGTGGGTTTATTTTCGCATTTTTAGCATGAATGTTGGTTAGCGTTTTATTATGAATGCATGCAAACCGAATACAGGATTCCTCCTGGTTCTGGTATGCTGGTCCACTTGGCGAGTCCTCCAACAACAAAAACCAAGCCCGGTGACTTTTTATGGCCCAGCTTGTTGTTATTCTGAGGAAATAGACTGGCAGTAGTTCCTGTTTGTGCGGAACTGTTTTTGGAAGATGGAGGAGGAAGGGCAGACAGAGATGAGAGAGGGAGAAAGCTGCTTTGAGGGTTTAGCAGTGCGACACAGAACACACCGTCTGGTATTTCTGAATTATGCTAAGCTGCATTTGCACAGGGCTTGCCAAAGGCTGCATTTATGAGCCCAGTGTGGCAGCTCATGTTGTTCCGGTCTCATTCTTAAATACCCCCCTGACCAGCACACACAAACACCTTTCACACTGACAGGGTTGGGGGGTGGGGGCGGGTGGATGAAGAGCGGGGGGCTCGGCTCAGACAGACCTCTAATTCTACCAGATCCACTATAAAGACAAAATCTTTGAAAGCACATACAGAGTCTTAGCCTAATGGAGAGCCTCCTGCTTGATGAGAAAAATGCATTTGAATACCATTTTAGCTTACAAAACTTAGTTTTGGAGTCATTTTCGGCAAGTTTCTGCTCTTCCGTGTAAATCCTTTTTAAACATGATATAATCTTAAAAAAAACAAAAATATCCTATTTTTTACAGGTGCGTCAGAGAGTTCTGATGTAGCATTCAGAAATGTTTGTTGGCTCCCTTAGACTGACATTTTTTAAAATAGCGCTTGTTTATGGTTAGGGTTGAAAAATAGGGAAGGGAAGATACTATCAGCCTACTGTGGTTTTTAGGGCTTAATTAACATCCCTTACATGTCCTTAAATCCCACTGTAAATCCCATTGTGATTTTGTATTTTTACACACATTTGAGGCTATCTTGTGACTGCAAATTTAAAGCAACGTGCCTCTTTAGTCTGTCTGAGTTGTTTCTCATGTATCTCCCTGTGCACATTGCAGAAACAACTGTCAGAGTGGGGTGGATTTGGGGGCTTGAGAGATGGAAATACTCTGTTGCCCTAATATTGCTGAGACGATGGGGTCAGGGGTTACGGGGTCACAAGCAAAAATAGGGTTCTGTGTGCTTAGGGAAGGGTCAGGTTCCCATAAACCGCTCTTGTGTGACGGGTCTGCTGGGGTGACCAAGGGTCAAAATCGCTTATCCATGCAATTCGACGAGTATGGTGAGCATAAGCATATGCTATCAGAGCACTGTGCCTTGGCCTCTGAGCCGAGAATTATTGATCGAGTACAGATGGACAACAAATGACCAAATGAAAATGCATTATTATGAATTAAGACAACAGCATTGTTTGTTTGAGTCTTTAAAAATGGTGGGTAGACTGCTCCAGTCGACTCTGACCTGCTTGTTCCCTCTCGGGCTGAGAGGAACTCTGTCTCCAGCAGCTGGGCAGAGACAGAGGTCTTTACTAATTTATTTTTCTTATGTAATCATACTACACTGTGCTATCCCTTGGCCCTTACTTAAAAGTGGGAGCTACCCTCTGAAGAATGGCCTGTTCTCATGGTGAATGCTCTTCCACATGTACAGCCCACAGCAATGAAATGTCAAGAATGTGCATTTAATACCAAGTAGACTTAGTGTCTCTTTGTATTTGAATCAGTCTGACCATAAGCACATTAAATCATCTGGTCCTCAAATTTCTGTAGAAAGTGTAATACAATGTGTTTTCATTGCTGCTGGGGCTTGTTCTACAGCCAAGGTTTTCGGAGTTCTGAATTCGTAATTCTACGTAAACGCATTTTGTTTCCCAAACGCTCTGCTATTGTATTCATTTGAATCATAAGCATGTTTTTTTTGCTACACTGATAGGAATAACTCCCCTCTTTTTATTTATCCAGATTTATATGGAAATGAGATGAGGCAAAGATGCGGAGGTAAAAAGAAAAGGAACAAAGAGATTACATGGATACTAACATAGTGTTGGCTCTAATTTGATGTTTAAGTTACTTTTGAATGAATAGTAATACATTTGGGCACAATTTGTATCAGCTTTCAAACTGAAAACACTCAATAGATACACTTATTTGGTAGGTCTGCTGTGTAACTGTAACGCACAGCTGAGGAAGACCAACGCTCGGGCTGTTTCAAGCATTTGCTGCCCCTCATTTTTACACATACTTATTTAACTAATTATGGACATTAACCATGACTAAGCAGTCCTGGTAATAAACACGTATGTGTGATTGATAAGTGAAACGGCCCTTTCGTTCTCCTACCAAAATGACTCGGGATATGTGTGAGGCTCCTGACCTTGACACCATACATTGATAATTTCCTTTTTCAGACTGATTTATTTATGTTGGGAGCATAACGAAGCATCTGTCATATATGATTTAAACAGCATGCCCTCCATCTGAACTTGAGTGTCGGTGCTGAAATATGCATGATTAAGCTCACATAGTGTTCATGTAGTGCCATTACCGGCTAAGCAACCTTCCGTTCTTAGAAACTGCATTGTATCATATTTGAGGCACAGCAGATTAGGCCTGTTTTGGAATCCTTGGCTGTATAACTAAGTATCAATGATGGCATACTTTTTGTGGGGCAGCACAAACTAATGTGACTTGACAACGTAGATGGACAGGAGATGAGCAGATACTGTACGGCTTGCTGTGAAAGCAGGGTCAGAGTCCGGTGTGGCATTTGTTCAGCCATTTATGTTCTTTCTGGCTTTCGCTGTGCTCGAAAAAAATCTGCTCATTCTCACGTGTCTTTGAATGAATGCAAACCACGTACCTTTCACTTGCGTAGTTAATGTGACATAAGCGTTTCTTTATCAGCGTGAGGCCTTCTCCTTAGAGCAGCTGAAGTAAACTCTGATTTCAACCCTGAATTCTGAGTGGAAGAGCCTTGAAATGGAAAACTGTGTGTCTGTGTGCGTGTTGGGAAGTGGGGGAGTTCATCTATTTTCATGCAGCTGTACTTTGACCCGGGCAAATTTTAAGTCACCAAATCAGGCATAGTTTATCTATGAACATCCCGGTTTAACCCACTAATGGTGGTTTTGGTTATAATTGGAAACTTGCTGATAGCAGTTTTCTGTTTGAAAAGTGAATACAAAAGGAGAATCAGTCACTCACTGGTTTGATCTGAACATGAAAGATCTGTTTTGAGAGAAAGTAGCACATGACAACTCATTGCCTTAGGGAATGAGCTCCAAACCAATTGGTGATGTAAACAGGGGCTATTTGCATCTTTTATGAGCAGTCTTTGCATACCCAGTGGATCCTTTAAACAACTAATCCCCTCCGTCCAAACCATGTCAGAAGACAAACCAGTGTTTTGCTTAAGGTGCGCTGAAACCAGCCCTATAGGGTTACATTCAGCAAAAGGTCGTTTTCACTCAGATCCTAAGTAAAATCTATTACTCAGATTTTTAGATATATTCTGTGTATTTATCTTTGTATTTGTTAACGTCATAACGTTGGAAAATAGATATGACAAATATGGTAATTATGGGCATATTGGAACTTTGGGACAGTTGGACAGTATTGATCTCAGCTGAGAAGGAAGTCATATGTCAGGGCTGTCTTGTTAAATCTTTCTGTGGATGAACTATTGTCTGACTCTGGTGTTCCTAAAGACATACACTTCTGCATATTACTGCATCCAATAGAGGATGTGTTGTCAGAACGGTGTTAAAAATAGTGGAGCAGAAATGTTTCGATTGTATGTGTTTGGAATAGGAAGCACACGGTTTCCATCATTTTAGGGTTTGAAGAAAACTGAACAAGTTAAATTCACTTTCTGGAATACACAGCTGTTTCCTCTGCTTGAAAAAAAGAGGAGAAAAACGAAAATGGAGCCTTTTAGCGTCAACAGATCAGATGGATTATAGGCAATGTCTTTCTTGTATCATGCCACATGAATTGGATTGGGGGGGGGGTTGCTGCGACGGTGACCTTTAGCCCAGTAACTGTAGAGTCAAATGCTCCGTGGACATGGAGGACGTGATAGAGGAATAAAGCTGCGGATTTACAGCTGCTTGCCAGCTGGGCAGAGTGGTGTTACAGAGTGGTGAGGGAGGGACGGTGGGTGTGACCCCCCCCTTTGAACCACCGGTGACATGCTCGGCCCAGATGATGGTTCATGTTGTGGCTGCCTGCCTTTTCTGCATGTCCTCTTGTAACTGGGATGTTTTAATGGGGTATAACCGCAAAGGCTCGCAGCTTTGATTTTTGCTGCCAACACAGATGAGCTCTCTGTGTCACATGTGCATCCTCTGACTCCTGACCGACTGCGGGGTTTTTCAAGAGGTGGAAAAACGATCCGTTTCTGTGCGAGACATCTCTCCATTTTTCATTGGACCATCGGCCCACAGCCGTCATGGTTTTGCCACATTCACTTTTGCACTCTTCCGTCTCCCTTTCTGCCGTCTGCCTCTCCCCTACCGGTCCTGAATAGCATGACCAGAAATAAACAGAGGCAAGCCAGCACCCCCACCCCTGAATATCGGTGGCAGCCAACTCACCCCATCCCATACCACTGGTACCATGACGACAAAGCTCATGCCCACCAAAGGATGGTGGGAAAAACATGCTTCAGCCTAATGCTCGACACAGTGAGACTGAAAACACGAGCAGAGAACAAAGAACACGCCTAATCCTTTTGCAACAGTTTGTTCCTGAAATATTTTGTATATATTCGTTGGTCCTAAAAGGAAAGGCAATGCTTGTTTTTAAAAAAAACTGTATTCAGACCTAGGACAGGATTGACAGTGACGTAGTTGCACATTTCCACATGTCCCTCCTCTCTTGTCTTCAGTGTACTGGGGGCAACACGGCTCGAAGGTGGGGCTCTATGTCGTAGGATCAAAGCGGAATCTGTGTGCTCGAATGCTTTCCTGATAAGTGAAAACTGACTTTCAAATATCCTGGCTTTATAGAAATTATAAAGCCAGAGTCTGCAAGAAATATATTTTTGCTCTCTTCATATTAATGAGCGTAAGATATCAGAGATGGTATTAATTGATTAAAAGAAGGGCAAGGGTAGAAAAACAAAGCAGGAGGTGGAACAAATTCAGTGAAAACTAATAGCACCCCATACGTACCAAGAGCTTTGCTCTTTTGTGCCTGAGCCTGGTGTAAAACCCTAATATTTTTACACTATAGAAGCAGACAGAAAGTGGGTGCGGGGGAGGTTAAAAATACAACTGCAACAAAGTGCTGAAGCAAGACATGGGACACTTTTAAAGGCAGAAGAATAAAGAGCCGGCAGCACAGCCAGTGAAATGAGAGTATGAAATAAACATGTTCCTCTGCTTTGCATTCATGTTCCTGCCTCAGGCACAGCAAAATTTTCCGTATTGCAGGAGAAAAAAAAATTGAATTGAGTAATCATCACATGGGTGGTTTTGAATGCACATGCCTTTTTCATTGCCGCAATGTATTTTGGGAACTTACATGCGAGATAAAAGAGAAAATATTCTCATTAAGTCGTATCTACCCAGCACATCTCTCCCTAGGTCTGTTGGTTTAATGTTGCCAGTTCAGTTTAGTTGAATTTTTTAAAGCACAAATCATCCATCAAAAGCACTCACAATTGTTCAGTAGTTTAAACTTCTGAATCAACAGGAAAAACTTCAATAATCCACCCAAGGGTCAATGGGTTTCTGGCTTTGCAGACTGCCTTTGACATTGTTTGGACTGTATTCAATTTGTTTCTTAAATCAATCAGAAAGACAAATTTCAATGTTGCGTTCACCTCTGAAGTTTCAGGTTAGACTTTTTCTAATCAAATGAATTTGCATAGAATGCATTTAATGAGACCTAATTTCCATTTAGGGGCTTTATTTCCATTGTGTACAGTTAGAAATGGAAAATACTGATCATTTAAGTTATTTTCACGCCCACATGCGTTTTATTTCAACAAGCTTAAATGTGTATTCTGAACAGGCAGAAAAATTCAACTGGATAATTACAGCTGTGCAGGATAATTCGGTAATCTGGGCTTGAACTGCTCTTCCTGCTTCTGTCAGTCTGGAAGCAGCTGTTTGTTGGTGTTTGGAAGTGCTAAAAAGCCCAGCACTACCCACATCTTTTAAACCCATAATTAAACAATTAATGACTCTCAGATGGTTGACACGGCTCTGCTTTTGTCTGTCCACAAACGCTTCTGCAGGTTCCTGATATTTCTGCTCACGGCGCCATCCGTTCATGAAAATTTGTATCGGAATTATAAGGAATTATAAAGGGTCTTTTTTTTCAGCTACTGTTTAAAAAAACAAAACCTCAGCCTCTTACGTTTTAATGCTTCACCTTTTATTCATTGTGACAGAATTGACCATTGACTGGTTTCATTGTGCCTCTTGTTGAGGCAGCTGCAGTTCACCTGTTCGGTCACATGATGGCGCTGATCACCAGAGGGTAGAACGCCTTTCGCTCCCCTCTCAAGTTGCTTGATAGGAATTTTCCATGTGCTGCTGGGCTGAGTGCATGCAATGCTGCGCATGATTTGAATCTTTTCCTTTTGCCCTGGTCATCGGGCGCTCGTCCAGCCTGTGTGCATGTGTCTTTTCCTGAGTGTGTGCTGGACTGTCTGTCTTTGAATATGAGTCGGTGTGTGTTTACACATGTTGAGAGATTTATAGCAGCGAACATTCAGGATTTAAAGGCATCTGCGGATCAGGTCGCGGAGCATGAATAGCCCAGTGGCTGTGGTCCAGACTTGAGTCTGATGTAGGCCCTATTAGGGCACAGACCACACCAGCTCAACACCCGGCCGGAAAACTCTACACAAACTAAATATTAAGGACACTTGCTCCAGCTTAGATCTAGAGAACTGTGGAAACACTAAGATGGAAAGCTGCAGGTGAAAGCTGTCCTCGACTTAACTTCATGACATGCGTCAGCCTGTTGAAGAGGAGGGGAATAAGATGTTTATTAGAAGATTCAGCTGTGACAGTTAGAGAGACTAATTTATCAAGATAGAATTGTTTGTTTTGTAGCTTTTTAAAAAACTGACTAATGTTTCTTGTTTTTATTAAAAGCAAGACTCAGCTTGAAAGAGTTGTTCCTGGTAGACAGCAGTGAGAATGGCAATCTGCTGAATAACTGGACTAACCAGAAGATGAGGAAGAAGCTGAACGATAAGCAGAAGAAAGACACAGGGATGGAGAGTTCTCAGGGAACCGATCAAAGGTCAAAGGAATCAATAGAACACTGATCTTGAATGTAAAACCAAAACACAGACAGATTTGAAGTGATCAGAAAGTGATGAGGGAGGTCAAAGGACAAGTGAGTAATTGTCCAGTTGGCAAGCAGAACCAGTGATCCGCTTGAACATCCCATGTTCCTGTGTATGTGTGTCAGCTATAACAGCTCCTGTGTGCTCTGTCTGTCAGTTATGCTGCCAGGATAAAAAAAAAAAGAAAGTATTCAAATGGTGTGTGTTTAAAGTGTATATAGTAGTAGGGTCCTTTTGTGTGTGTGTTTTAATTTGATGTATCCCTTAAACCAGTGTATCCCAATCTTGGGCCTTCAGACACCCTGCCCTGTTTCTGAGGTAAATTTCATTAAACTTTTTGGGATTTAGTTGAACTTATTTGAAGGGAGTTCTTCTTGGCTGAAAGTGCTCGGAGCTGAATTTGAACCCAAGATCTCCAAACCGCTTCCCTTCATTTCACTAAGAGCAAAATGTGCATAAAAAGCGGAATAACCAAGAGTTTAAGACAAGCTAATATCAGAAGATACCGAAGTTCCCCTGAATGAGCTAAATCACTCAATACCTCATTTTTTGCAATTAATTGGAGCATGTTGAAGTCGTAGTTCAGCGTAATGAAGAGAAAAAGGAACACAGTAGAGGCTGTTCAGCATTCCTACAATTATATCACATTTGGATGTAAAAATGATTAAAACAGAATGCCTCGATAGATTAACCCGACCGAACATGTTTTTTTTTTTATTTGGGCTTCTTATTTGGTGCATGCCAAATGAAATTGTACAGAATGTAAGTATCCCGCAGCATTGACTTGTCACATTTTCTCTGCGAGCGTACAGCTTCCTTCCTAAATCTGACAGGCTGACAGACATATAAAAAGCTGTTCGCTTTTGCGGACATCATCCAGTCCTGCAAAGACCTCACACGTTGGGACTTGAACTTAGCTGTGTCAGCACCAGACGGGTCATTTCCCACCGCAGTCATTGTGTGGTGCTGCTCACCAGTGATGTCTGTTCCTGCTTTACACAGAGCCGTGTGGGCTTAGAACTGGATGTGATGTTTTTTTAACCTGCGTGGTATTGTTTCAGGCTCAGTGTGTCGGGGTGGAGGGCATTGTGTATCTTCTCAGCGGTATTGTCCCAGCCTGATGTGTGCGTGCTTGTTTATGTTACAGGCCACTTTGTCAGGACGGTGACAGTCCCGCAGCTACGGACCCCCGCATTCCCACAGTCGTTCACCTCTGACCTCAGCTATTTTGCGCAAAAGTTTGAAGCGTACGCGGTAGAGGAGCCAGCTCAGAGTTTGTGCGTGCGTCCGTGATTGACGTGCAGGGTTTGTAGTAGCTGCGTGAGTGGGTTTGCCTGGTTGTGTTTGCTTAGTGTAGGAAGACACACTCCCTCGCATTGACCAGGGTCTCTGGCCTCAATTTGGACATGCACATTCATGTTGGAGGTTATTTGGTGTCATGTCAAACACACACACAAACACATAGCTGCAATAACACGCAGCTTATAGAGTGTAGTGAAACTGAACAGCATAAATCAACACAGAAAGACTTTCTGAAAACTTGATGAGATTTTAAGCGGACACGAGACAGAGGAGCATAGTTTCTGAACATATATTCTTTGCTATTATTTGCTCTCATCAGTTGGTAACACGTGCATCTGTTAGTTTGTGTTCAAGCGTGCCCTGTTTGTTCCACAGGGTCGGATTTGAAAGCTTACGTGTAAAATATTTGGTTTGACAAAATTTGGGGACAATTTTCTGTCATAGGACACTGTCACCTTCAGGATGATTTGTGCAGTTTGTAACAACGCTAGTCCTATTGTTTTGTACGACTTTAAGTCACTGTCAGCTGACTAGAAGCTTCTAATTTTGTAAATGTAATGGTATCCTGTGCTTCAATACTTCTGCTATTGATCCACATAGGCCACCCACACGCTGTGTGGATGTAGCAATCTATTCAGAAGAGAGCAATCATATCACTCCAGATCTCCAGATTTTGATCCACTGTATATGAGTAAATGAGGACAAATGTTTTAAGCACAGCAAATCTGACATAATTTCTCTGTTTACCTAGAGCCAAAAAGGGTTTCAGCTAAGCTAATTACAGTCAGGAATGCACAGCTACCTTAGCTGCCTCACAATTCTCCAGTCAATTATTCATTTTTGGGTTGTTTTTGTTTACAAGTGTGATTGTACTTTGGAAATCATTATTTGACATGTTGTTGTCCCTGCTCACAGTTGCACTATAGTGCCCTGATTTTAAACTGCAAGCAGTCATGGATGCATCTGGTATGGTAAAAATCAGCCCCTTCGTGCCAAACCTTTTCGGTGGCATGGTGTAATCAGTACACCGTGCTGCTGTTAGGGAACTGCAGAGAACCGGAACCGCATGTGAAAAATGAACTTAGACAAATAGATTGGCTGTCAGAACTGCAAATAAGAGCCGTTAACATTATCTAAAAATACAACAGAGTGTTGAATATAACCTGATAACTTGTAATTGCGGTGCAGATGGCGTGTTTTCCACTCTCTACATCTGTTTGTCACACGTATCTCTGTCTGCCCGTCTCCGTGTGTCTGTGGGTCTGCCCGCCTATGGTGACATTTCAAGGTGTTTGTGAGATCACCAGTGCAGTTTATATTTTTAAGCTGTTTTGGTCAATGCAGACGCACGTGTCTTGACTCAAACAAGACCCACGTGCGAAAGAGGAAATGGTCATGTTCCCCTTTTTTTGTGGGTTCTACGGCTTTTCAAGTTCACAACTAAATAGAGAATGGAAACTTCAACTCAAAGATGCAGAGCAAACAGTTGTTTACCCTTTAAATGCTGAAACACTTGCACTGTGTGTCCCAATGCCTTTATTGAAAGAGCTACATTTACATCATGTGTCAGCCTTCATGCCAGGTTTATTAGACCCCCAGTTGCAGCCAGCCAGCCAGCCAGCATGACACACACTCATTGAAGCACGTACCATCAGCGTGTGCCCGGCGCTCCTGGAATGCTTTGATAGTGCATTACCTAACAACAGCAATCTCTAATTGCATCCTCTTAATGACAGCCGAAAGATTTTCCTCATAGGAAAACTGTTGCAGGAAAGTGTTGGATGATCTTCCCTCTGATTGAGGATTTTATAACTCACCCTGTCAGCACAGTGTGGCTCGCATCTGGTTTTTACCTGATATCCAAAGATAAGAAAAGAGAAGTTCGATTAAGTGAGGCAAATAAGTTGTTTTCTAAAGCTAAAGTTTGTTTTAGCTTAAGGAGATCACTGTACATTTCTTTCTGCTGATCAATTTGGTTTGTTATTTTCTGGACTAGTCTTACAGGTTTTCAAGCTGCTGTTGATGTAATCCCTTTCACAACTGACAGTCTGAGTCCTGATTTGACCAAAGTTCTATGTTTGATTTAGTAGCTGTTCAGTGTGAAATGTAGAACTCAGTTCTTTGAACTATCAATGCTTTTTTATGTTATAATATATTCAAGCTTAAGTGGTTCCTGATAAAGTAAATTAGGTGTCCTTTTTCCAACCAGACCTCCTTCTGTTGCTGGAGACTGGTATTGCTTGAGAGCCAGCATTGTACGTATTTCTTACTCAGTGTGGGCTGTGGAGTTGCTGGTAGAGCATGTGAGTGCGTTAGGTCAAATACTAGCATCTTTTATGGTCTTCTGAAACTGATCAGATGACATGTTGTTTTTCCGCAGCAGTCCTCATCCCATCAAAGTCTCATTGTTGCGAGGGAAATTCACCCAATTCAAAGAGCCTGATGTGTATCTGCTGTTCATTCAAAGGTGAAAAGTGGAGTTTTGCTCCATACAGAGCGTGGTGATAGACATTATTAAGCCACGGTTATCCTTAAAAGAAAGAAAGCATCATTCCTAATTGTTTCAGAAACACACATCATTATCGTTTGAAACGTTTTATATGGAAGTGTGTAATTTAATTCTATTATGACTGTACTGGATTCTCTGGAACTTTGTGTCCTTACTTACTTTAGTAATTAAACAGCTGTTGGGAAGAAGGGCAAAATATCCCTATGTGTACCAAAACAGGAACCTTCAGAAAGGGTCTCAGTTAAGATTGAATGTAGGTCTCTGCGGTCAGTATCAGGGACATTACCTGGAACCATGAAAGTATTCTGAAGACAGGTGAATTAAAAAAGATCTATATCTGCTAGATCTTCTGTTACATTTTGTGATCACCTTACATTTTGTGATTTTGTAACATACTCAACAAGCCTGAATGTGATTGTTTCAGCCACAGATCTCTGTTAGCGTGCTGTATATCTGTTGTTGTGTCAAAGAAAGAATGAGCCCGTTGTTCAAAATGCCAAGGATAATCTATGAGGCCAAAGAGCACATTGAACAGAGAGCCAAACAAAGTGGAAATATGCAAAAACGGAGAACACAATACAGTTATGTGGTAGCATAGCAATAAGCACTGTATCCTTAGAAAAGTCATTAGGATGGAGACAATGTAGCAAGGAAAGTATCCAAAGTTGCATCTGGGCTTTAAAAAAAAATCCGAACAATGCAACAAATATTCACACGAGCAAAATTTTAAATGAGATTTTCTCTTATTATCAATCTCAGTTTTGAACAGGCTATAAACTGACTGTGTTGGCAGCATGTATGTGTGTCAAATTAGCTATTGTTCACATAATATAGATATAATCATATTGCCGTTACACCGTGCTGCATGACTATAATACGTGTTTGTTCTAATTCACATTAACGCCTTTATCGGCTGTCAGGCCAAAAGCTCAAATGCTGCAACAGAAACATTCAGGTGGCAGCAGTGTAACACAGAAGGCCTTCCTGCTCGGCTTTATTCAGTGTATCAGTGTGTATAAACAGAAGGAGCCGATATAGCGTGAGTGTGTGTTGAAAGAAGGGTTAAATAAATAAACGGGGGTCAGATCAACAGTAAACGAAGTCATCGCTATTTTTGGAAGTAAACAATGTCCAAATAATAAACAACATCAGCACTGCTCACTCTCAGATTGTGTCACTCATGCCTTCTCAGATCACATCCATTCACTGGGTGCCTATCCATGCTGGATGGATTTTCACTGATAGTTAAGGAAATTTGATGATATAATTAATAGTTAAATTATGTTTCCCTCATAATTATTTTTAAAGACAGGCTTTTCCAGGGATATTTATACATCCAAATTCAGGCAACCACAAGAAGGGAATGTGGGGAGGAGAAACCTTTTGCTGGAATTTATTAAATGATAAATAAAACCATTCTTTTTTTCTTTTTTAGTTAACAGAAGTTTAAGAATAGCAAGTATCTACGCCATGGGGGGATCGATGATGAGACACAAAAACAACTCCTCCATCTGGTTCCTCTGTAGCCTTTTGCTGGCAGGTCGCCAGGCCTCGTCTGTTCCTCTGTAGGTTTCTAGGCATCCAGTCATGTAGCAGTAAACACTCTGAGGCCCTCAGGAAAGTGGGCACATAAAGGTTGGCAGCCAATGATACAAAATATACCGAAACTTACCAGTTACTCACTCAGCTTGTTTTTCTCCCTCCCTCCATTTGCTGATAATTTTCATATATTGATAAATATCTTAGAAGTACCTTTTGAACTATATTGCTATTTTTCTTGATTTTACAATTTGAGAGAAGTAGTTAATAACTGGCATACGAGCTCAAGAAATCGCCTCATTCTTCTACGTGTAATGAAACATGTTTGAGTAGAGATCATCTCAGGACTCCACTCAGCAACAGTTTGATTAGCTTGTTTCAAGGGAGTTAGTGGCCTGCAGACCCACTTCTAGTCATTCGACGTCAGAAAAGAAGGAGGGGAAGGAAGGAAATCTATAAGGACCATTTGTTGTGAATGTTACGCTGCACAGAGCACAATGTGTTTCGAGGCGGAGAAGCCAAACACGCAA